TAGCAAAACATTAAATTAAGATTCAAATTTCTGTCTTACCTAGCTACTTTTTATTTTAATACATAAAAATATGCAAATACGTACAATCCGGGCCCTAGTAATAAACATTCCATAATCCAACAAATACACCACCTAACCGACACAACAATCTACTAATTTGGAAAAAAAAATGTGCTGTTCCGCTGTTTTATTATACATTGCTCAAACATTCAACAAGGTCTGGCATGCCGAGCTCCTATTTAAATTAAAAGCTTTTCTACCACCTCTTTATTTCTTATTTTTTAAATCATATAAAGAAAACCGTCACTTAGTTAAAAAAGAAGCTTCGAATTCTCTAACATTAGTATAACGTATTGAAAACTTGTTTTATTTTACTAGTTTGCAGGTTAGAATTGTTTATTAGCATACACACTGCTCTCAGCGCTCACTGCACACGGAACAGTAGCGTTTGTACGGTTAAAACCAAGTTTTAGTCATTACGCGCCGCGAGTTGGTGGTCACACGCGTATACGTATAAAGATATGTTTATGGTCGTCAGCCATGCCGAGCGGACGAAACCACAGCGGTTTTAGACGCAAAACCATTAGATTTGGTGTTTTATTTTTCTCGTCAGCCGTCGTAGACGTCAATCCGAAACATTGAAAACAGAACCGAATATTTAGTCGACAATACGGTGGACGATAAGCACTACAAGCTGTGCAGCGGAAAAATAATGACGAAGGGAATCGCACTCACGTCCATTTCGTGGTATTTTTCGAGACGTTCAAAAGTCAAGGCGCCGAGCAAACAGTACAGCACGACCATGGTGACGAGTAACACGTGCAGGAACAGGCACGTGAAAATCTTCCACGCGTAGTACACGAGCGTTGTGCACCGATTCGGTGTGTCATCGTCGAAATCGATGTCCATCAACATGGCGGACGGGCGAACAAACGATGTTTATAAAAAAAAAAAAAAAAAACAAAGCACGAGAAACCGTAGTTGTTTTTTCACCGCCACATGATACCACTGTACGGTTCACGTCGCCGTTACGATCGTGCGCGAATCGTCGGGACCGGTCGCGGACGGCATTTGGTACCGAACGACGTATTGTTGGAACTGCCGACGGTCGCGGTTTTTGTACGCAGACATTTTTTTTTTTTTTTTTTGCGTGACCGCTACACGCGCAGTTAAACCGTCCTGACGATGATGGTTATGGTAACACGGTTACTTCGTGGACGTGCGCGCGCGCTCGGTCAAGTCGTAGCGGAACAGCCGATTGCCGTCGTCGATCCAGAAATAAAACGGTCCGTCTGTCCCCGGGTGCCCGAGCGAACGATGCCGACGCCTGCGGCTTGCCAAGATCATGCGTTTAAATTTAGAACCGGCGCGGTGGTGATGTACATATAGGTGCGCGCGTCCAAAGGAGAGGACGTGTTGCACTACTTCCGCCCAACCCCACACCTTAAGACCGAAGCATTACGTTTTGCCGTTGTTTTCGTATTGGTTTCACCTGATCGTTTTTGGATCGATCGAACGCCCGAAAACGAGCGTATTCTTAACGAGTAAAATATAATTACAGTCGAAAAACGTTGATTTTTTGTCCTTATAAACACCATGATGCCGTACCTACCGGGTTATCCTGCTTACGGAATGAAGATTAAGTGGTGTAAATATTTAAATTGCAACGTGCAAACCTAAATTCACAAAAGGGCCAAACTCCTATGCCAGGCGAGATACAGAGATGGGGGTAAACGATATTGCTATAATGGTCTTTTCAACTCGAAACAGTTGCTCCCGAAAAAACGATCCTAAGTGAAAGAGATCAATTTATATTTCTAAACATGGTTAATACAGTAGGAGAACTAAATTTCTACGGTATGTTGAACTTTTACTTAGAAAGAAAACATTAAAAAGCTTTCATGTTCTCATGTGTTATCAAACATTAACGGATTAAAATTTGGGAAAAATCTAACATATCTAACGCTTATAAATAGCATAAATTTCGTTAAAATAATTTAAAACCATGAAATATCTTCAAAATCATCATAAATGAGTACTCGATAAATGTTTTGAGTAGCTATTATTAAAATTTATAAAATAATTACCAAATAATTAATATCGTAGAATCAAAATCCGTTGAAAACCCGATTTAGTCAAAACTTAATTTTCTGGCACTTCTGAAAAAACTTCGTAACTTTCCAGCAACATTTTTTGTTTTAACTGTAAAAAAAATCTTTTTAATTGTGACAAAAAAAAAATATAAATGTTGTCGAAAACTCGTGTTATATAAATAATGTCAGTTTTTTTCTACTATCAGTTTTTTTTGCTTTTATCAAGGAAACTTGAAAATTTAATAAAATTCCTTCAACTAATTCCTATTAGCAACCTCTCATGATTGGAATAATCGGAGCAATCATTCTGGTCAAAATCGTAAACATGGGCATAAAAAAAAACAAATACTAAAATCATGCATCATAGACCCGGTGCACAAGTCCGGTTTTTGCCGTTGCGGCACCGTAAATACGGCGTAATATTAGTAGAACTAATAGTTTCCTCGTTTCACTCAGAATATAAAACGTGCCTAGTGTAATTTTTAGGTGGGTAATCAGGCGCCTAAAATAAAACAATATAAATTTAAAAATGAAATATAATTATGTATGGAAATACGATAGTCTAAAGGTATTATGCATTAATAATAATTAGTATTTTAATAGGATGTTGTATCCTATTGTAACATTTCCTATAAACAGTAATTTCATAGGGAAAAATAAAACCTCCGTTTTTATTATATTTATTTATTTAATTTATTTTTATTTATTTATTTATTATTTATTTTTGTTATTATATTATACAAGTTTTAAATGTATTCTGCGTATGTACACGTGCAGACGAATCACGTAGTGTATAATATGAACGGTCAAGGTGGAAATTTGAGTTCAGTTGAAATCGGTCAAGCCTGATTTTCCTCTCAGTAAATGGTTCCCGAGAAAAGTATATAATTAGAGTCCAGATTTGTATACGTTTACATATTTGTAACGAATGTATGCAGTTTGATGGGAGTAAGAAATGTGGACGATTTGTTTAACAGATAATGCATAGGAAAAAGTTTATTTTGCATATAAATGCACATTTTTGGAATGACTGCATATTTGAAGAATTTCAAATATTTAATCATATTTTGTACAAAAACTCATTAAACCAATTATTTTATTTTTATATTAAAATAGAAACTAGATTATGATTCATCAAAAATTTAAGGTGAAAAATCTTCTACTACAAAATCTAAATTTATTCTTAACTGTAACACAAAAATAAAGGCATTCGAGTTTTAAAACAAATCGGATTAATTATATCAAAAAAAAAAAAAAAAAACAAAACAAAAAAATGAAATATAGCTTTCAGAAAACTTCACTGTTTGCTGTATGGCCAACATAAAATATGTATCACTGATATCAGTAGATGTGGATAGATCATTTCATATTTATAAACACATAATAAGTGTTAAGATATATATAACACCTGAACGCATAGAAAAACAAATGATAATGAATTATTTTTATAAAAAGTTAACATTATAAATTTTAAATTTAATTTAAAACTTTTTTTAATAAACCACATTTTTAATTTTACTTTTTAAATAATTAATTTTATTAAATTTCAATATTTTTTATGTTTCATAAATATTTACCAAAGAAATGGTATAAAGATTTAATACATTCTTAATTTTTTATTATTATTCCTAACTTAAGTATTTGTTTTATTTGTTGAATAAATGTATAAATATTTGCTTTAATTAATGTTATAAGTTGATATCTGTACTGGAGATACTAAATTTATCTAATTGAGTAGCATTAATATTTATGGGAAAAAAATGAATAAAATATATTTAAATGCATTTATTTTAGGTAAGAGCACATTTTTCCATATTATTAAAAAGAAATAAAAGCATATCAATCGCATATTTAAAGATTTTTTAATGCATAAATGCATACTATTTTAAGCTTTTTAAGTACATATAAATCTTTACCTTATATATAATATAATATTAATATACAACAGAATGATCGAACACAAATCATGTAAATGTTTATACATGTATTTATAGCTACTTCGGTTCTGAATTATATATCATTGTGCAACATTATATTGTTCCACCAAGAGGAATAAAAGTTTCAACTTATCGTTGTATGACGATCTTCTGTTTTAAATTATATAATATAATAAAATATACGTTATTTGAAATCCAATTTCCTTAAGAATGTCTGTTGCATATTGCTGCATATGATTTCCACAAAACAGTCGGATTTCACAGGAATATATATAACTGCAACTAGGACATAATCCAATTCTACGACAACTATTATACAAAAGTACTCGGTCAACAAAGAACCTATCCAGTGGAATCTACCGACAGTTTTTTTTTTTTTTTTGTGAATGGTCAGAACTCTTTTCGGATCGCATCAAAAGACATTTTTATAATCTTTTCTAAACTACATGTATATGCGATGTATATACATATATATACATCACGGATTCTGGACTTTTGTGATTTAGCGCACGTCACAATAAAGCTACTCGTATCGGGCATTCACGTATAGCTTTGTACACGAAACGCTCCCTAGGGAGATAAATATACTATATATCATGATATATAATATGTTCTGACCCCCCCCCCTCCACATATTCCCAAATTCGTAATAAATATCTAAGGATTACTCATAGTTCACGTTTAATAGTTTGGGGGATGAGGTATTCGTTTTCTATGCATTCCTCGGACCCGGACCAACAGCATAAATTCAATTTTTTTTATGGGGGAGAGGGATTAAATTGTAAACATAGCTTTATGCCAATATCATACATCTATTTTTATATCTCCTCGGACGAATCCATCATAATTGTCAAATGCTAATCATTTTATGTACACGTCAAAATATTCATGATACACAAGTTTTTAATTTTAATCGTTTATATTGTAGTAATCACGAGTTGTTACGTACCACTTTATTGCACATTATATAAGCTCTAATAATTTTGAAAAAAATTAATCACAACCCAAAAAAAAAATATATATATATATAACCATTCAATTACGTGCCTGGATAAAACTTTGAACATCCGTCGAATTTAAAACAAATTAATATACATACCTGTAGCTAAAACAATGTTCAATGCCTTCGATTTGAGATTTATTCTTGTGCTTACAATAACATAATAATAGTATAATTAAAATATTTATCCGTGTTAATTACATTTACATTTCAATAATTATAATTACTTGTTTGTTGGTCTTATCGTAAAGAATAAAGACATATTGTAGAGCAGCATTTCTAAATCGGGGGTAGGGCAGACCGGGTGTAGTTGTAACACTTGATATTATAGCTGTATCTTATAAAATAATATTTCCTATCGATTTTCTTCTTATGCCAATACATAGGAATGTTGATTATTTTTATTTTATTGACTATAGGCCTATAATAATAAACACATTAATTGATATATAGTTTGATGACATGATTTATTTTTGTTATAATCTATTACAGTATTGGGGTTAGTTGTAACATGGTGCGGGGTCGTTTAAGTTAGATTAAATTGGTAAGTTAGTAATTAATAAATTATGTTAGAAGATTTTAAATTTATTGATATATGAACGATCAAATATATAATAATATTATCTATTAATTATTATCAATTATTATCAATTAATATAAATTATTATTTTATTAATATATATAATCGAATTGAATAAAAACTTGAAATTTTGATAAAAATAATGTATTTATTCAACTACGACCAAGTAAAATGCAAATAGACAACAAAAATATGCGTTAGAACCACAGAAAATGTGTTAGAGAATATATATTCTGTCAGAACTATCCTACGGATGACGTCACGGTCCAATTTTTCCCACTCCTACTTTTTCATAATTTCTGTATGAGGAATCCTTTATAATCTAAAAACCTGTCCCAGTATTATCTATTGCCATATCATATTTATATATGTTCTTGATAATGGGTGATAGGATAACCGATAACAAATGTAACATAAATTGTATCAAAATAGTTCACCGTTTTTGATAATTATATTTGTTGCGACACAAGTTGTAATTTCTAAACCCTTATAAAATAATTTGGTACTTTTTAAAATTAAAATAGTACGCGTCATGCATCCCGATTTGTCACCTCATTTGCACACCAATGAATGCAATACCTTCACTTTCGAATATAAAGATTGTACCGAAAAAGTAAGAGATTGCCATTATGAAAATTATTTTTTAATTATTATTGTTGGACTAATTCATATTATTTTTTCTATTGACTTGACATTTTCAGCACAGATTTTTAAAATTTCTTGGAAGGTGTGATGATGCCTACAATCGAATGGTTCACTGCTTTCATTTAGAGGTAAATTATGTATTTATTAAAAATTTGGTTGAAACGTTTATACATTAGAATTAGAATCAATTACAAATATTAATTATGTATTAACATCTGTAACTGTAACTCACTACAGTATAAGTTGTCATTTATACGCACAAGAGGTGGCTAATCCCTTCTGCACCTCGTAATATATTTCTGTATTTTTTTTTTATTTACCCTTATTCAATTTACACCTTTAACTGAAATTGATGTTATAATGTATTAAATGATTATGAATTGTACAAGTTAATTTTTTAGTTATATTAAGCAAGAATTATAAATGTTTTATAATCAATGCATTAACACATGAAAAATCTACTTTTTATAAAGCAGTTTCATCTCGTTACTAATTGTTAGATGACAATAAATAAATATAAATAATAATTGATTAGTTGTTTTAATAAATGACCAACAATTTGTTACAAGATACAAAATGTAGACTAAAATTCAGATGTTCCTAAAATAAATTACTTTTTCTTGTTATTGTAATATTATTATTTATTAGGTATATGGTTGTTTTTTTAATCACCATTTATGAAATTTTTTTTAAATATTAAATGTATATCACTCTGCTATAAATATCTATATATGTATAAAATGTTATATATATTCCAGTAAATATTTAAAATTAAACTAGAATTATTGCTAAAATTTTTTGTATTATTTAAATATATTTCACAATTATATGTAAAAACTAAAATTACAAGATATGTACTAATACATATTTTACATAAATGTACTAAATTAATATTTAATCATATTAATACATAAACAATGAGTTAAAAATCTTAAATAGTTAATAACTATGATATTAGTTTTTATGTTTAAATCATATTAATTTAATTTTAATAACAATTGTTAATACAGTGGAGCATTGCTTATCCTCACTACAAAATTTTGTGTACAAATTTATTTTTAGTTTTATCATTTGTTATGTTATTTTTATTGTGTACATCTTATGAAACGTGTTATATTTTTATTTTATTATTTTTTATATTATGTATAAGTATTATAATTAGTATTATACCTAGTAAATTAGTTTTTAATTTTATTTTTAAATTTCTAATGATTGTTTAATTATCCGGCCCGCCTCTCAGTCCCAACTAGTACAGTTAATTGACACTACTGTTTTTGTTCATACAATTATTTATTGTATAATATATAAATCATTTTAATACTTTTAAATTAATAATATTTTATGAACAAAAGTATTTAAATGTTTTTCAGCGATTAGCTAAGCGCCAAAAAAATTATGAAAAATCAATGAAACACCAAGAATTAGTAAGACAAAAGATATTGATCGAGATGAGGGAAGAAAAAAAACAAGAACTAGAAATGTAACTAATTTGTATTTGTTTTGTACATAGATTTTAGGTATAAATATTGATGAATAATTAATGCAACACAATTGTTTTTAAGAGACTAGTTTCTTTATTTTCCTTTGATTTTTAGGAACTAAATTTAAAACACATAATATCAACAATATTTTACATCACAAAATTAAATAGAAAAAGTTAAGGTTAATCCATGTATTCTAATAACTTATAAAGTAACATATTTTTGTCATATTGTGGTAACAAAAAAATTACATATAATTGTGACTTTAATTGGTTACTGAATTTGTTTTTTCATTAACATTATCATTAGAAACTTTTAATAAAGTACTTAACGCAATTCCCAAAAACATAATCCAACCAATATGATTATTAGAAATAAATTTATTTCCGCAATCTTTAGGGTTGTATATGTCCAGCGTATATACCTGTAACAAAACCAAATACATTGTTTTTTGTTATCTTACATTTACTATTAATAATTTATATTTAATTACTTGATTAAACATATGAGCACCAGCTACACCAACAGCTAAATAGTATGGCCAAGTTTGACCAGTATTAACACCACATATTATAAGACTACTTAATGACATAGAGGCAAAAGTAGTTAACCACAATTTTGATTTAGATCCAAAAAGAACAGCGGTTGACTTAATATTATGCTTGCTGTCATCTTTTCTGTCCTAAAATGATAATTCAACATTTTGAATTAGTATTCTATGAATTTTTTGATCATTATATATAATTACTTGAAGACCATAAATAGTGTCATAAAAAAGTGTCCACATAACACCAGCTGCATACAATGGTAAACAGGCAGTAAAATCAATTGAAGAATGAATGGCAGCCCATCCTAATAAAGCTCCCCAATTGAAAGTTAACCCCAATACAAATTGTGGCCAGTATGTTATTCGTTTCATAAGAGGATATAATGTCACTAGAACTGAAAAAAATAAATACTTTAGGTTATTATTATTGAAAAGTTATTACAAAATGTTTAACTATAAAATAATTTTTTAAACAGTAATTAAATATCTTGTAATTAAAAAATTATTTAACTTTTTTGTCTTATAACTTGAGTTGTTATAATGCATTTACCTCATATACAATTTTATTAAATTAATTACCTGTTACCAGTAGGGTATTTTCAATTTTTTTTGGAAGGGGTTTAAATTTTTTTGAAAAAATAAGTAATTTTTAGATATTATAAAAATATTTATAAGGTATGAATTGATAATTATATTATTTTATTATTATTATAAATACAAATTATTTACAATCACATGATATAAAATAATATTCTTTTTCTCTGTACTTTCGAAGAATCTCATTTATGACTTTTGAACTCTTTTTTTTTTCTTGGGAGGTCAAGATCAGAGAATCCCCCCCCCCCCCGAAAAAATATACCACTGCCTATTATTATATAACAATTAATTTAAAATAAAATGTCTATAAACAGTGGCGGTTTTATGGTGAGAGGGGATCCAGTGGGTTTAGATCTCCCCGAACCATGCATTTAGGTTGTGTTATATTATATTTTATATATTTTGTCTTGTAACTAGAATGCTATGCCATGTTTTTTTTGTTTGTGTAAGAATTACATTTTAAGATTTTAAATAATAAATTATTAATGAGTTAAATATTTTTTATTTTCATATATTATAAGATAATGTAAAAGGATCCCTCCCAAAAAAAATTAAACTAACCACCACTGTCAATAAAAATATATTATTTTGTACATATATTAGGTTAACTGAGTATAATTATACACATATAATTAAATTTCACAAAAATGTAAACAATCATAAACAAAGTATTTTTTTTTTTTTTTTTGGAAATTAAAACATTTTCTTTTAAGTATACATAATGAAATAGCAATTTCCCAGACAATTGTTTCACCATAACTATTATCTGCTTGAGTAAAATTACATCAACATAATGCTATATACTAAAAATTACAATTGCTAATAATGAGACAAATTAAGCTTACCTAATGAGCTAGCACCAACCATTATGGTATACAAATTTAACTGCAACAGTACGAGAAGACTTAAACCCAACTGACCAGCAAGGAACACCCATGCATCAAACATACTTAATGATTTAATGACAAGTGGTCGATTTTTTGTTCTTTCAACCTAAAAATGTTTCTTTACTTAAATAAAGACTTATTGTTATACTGTACATACTACATTAATGATAGTGAATCAAAATAAAACTTTTATTTTAAATTTTGAACTTTAATAATACTCAAAATAAACAGATTTATTGAAGTAAGTTATTTAAAATTAATATTTATAAATATAGTTTATCTACCCATTTATCTATTGATTTGAGTATTTTGTTAATGTATAAATTCATATTTATTCAATGAATAATAAACTCCAAATAAGCTCAAAATACATAATTTGTTGTCAAGTTAATAATATAAGTATTACTTGATGACAAATAATGAACCAAAATTAAACTTGTATTGACATTTTTCAGTTTTAATACTCAAATAAACAGACTTATGAAAGTCATTTAAAATTCACAATAGTTAATATAGTTTATAAATAAATTTAAATATTTTGTGAAAATATGAATTTACATTTATTCAACTAACAAAAAGTTGCATATAAATTAAATATATTTAAAGTGAGAGTTCATATTAGTAGCATAAGTTTGAATAATTCAAGCAGTTAGTAATAAAATAGATATCACTACTATTATAGTAACATTACATTAGAGTATAAATTATTTGGAGTCAATCTCTTTAAAAATAATGTTGGTCTCTTATGGGTATACAATTATTACAATCTTAATTTTTTTTCTTTATGTAAATAGCAAAACAGGTGCTTAGAATAGTAATGAGGGAAAAAAATTCAAAATTTAAATTTATGTATGAAGATTTTACTACAGAGACTGTCTCTTTATAGAATTTATACTTTACAGAAGTAATCATATTACACATTTATCTATATCTCTGTCCCACATGTCATTTATCGTACAACCAGCACCTCGCATCATTACAGCTCCCAAACCAAACAAACCTAGCATTTCAAAGTTTGGAAATTCTCCTGCAGCAGAGGCCAGAGCTATACTCCATGTACACGGCCAATATAAAAGCAACCAACCTAAAAATAAAATGTCCGATAAGCAATTTGAAATTATTTTTGTAGCGTACTATGTATATACCAATGGGTCTAGAAAACCGCATGAGTTCTAAGTACGGACTTAGGGTACTGATGACTATTCTGTTATTCTTTGGCTTATCGATTGGTTTTGATTGTTCAGTTATCAGAACCTTTCTGTCGGTGGAACAGCATCGAATGAGTCTCATGGGATTTAGTGGCAGCTGATTGTTGCACAGTGTTTTTCTGCTTTCAGTCAGCAGAGTTTTGCAGTTGACACGGACGCCAGGCAATTTAAGACCGGAGCCGAAGCCCTTAAAGAACGTCTGCGATAACGAACAAAAAAAAAAAAAGGTTTTCACCACACGGATACACTCATGTTCTAGCTGATAACGTACCTGGATAATGATCATCGTCACAACCAGTTGTTCAGGTCTAATTCAAATGCAATTATAATTGGTCCCAATTGATCGTAAACGACCACGAGGATGTCGGGACGTTCATTTTCCACGAATTGTCGGAACGACTGCTATAATTGTTCTACGACGATTGCTGTCCCCAAGGTCGGCGGCGACCTGTGATGATCTGAACGAACGTGAGCGCACAACAGAATTAATTGCTCAGCGCTTGATACGAGAACGGTTAATGTTTTCGAATAAAGCCGATAAGGAAACGATCGTAGTTGCGTAACACCGCCGTTTGACGGGCGCAGGTGGGGTGGCACGACGAAGGAGGAAAACGAATTGTTGTCGAGTTTTCAGTTCCTCTGGGATGATCGATCGGCGGAATCGACCTTTGACGGCATGGAGCCGGTCGTCGGGGGGAGAAAAAATAATAAATTAAAAATTTTGAAATTCTTTTACACCGATAACAACGCGCCGCGGTGTTATCAACGGAACGGAACGAGTTCACGACCCGTTGCGGAGGGGGTGGGCGGTTGCGTTTGCTTCGATTGCAGTTTTTCCTCGATGAGCGGTTCGCGTACATTCCGCCCGATGGCGCTGAACGGCGCACGTTTCGCCGATCCACACAGCCAGCCTGCCGTGGTCTACGTTTTCCGCGGTTTTCTGTCCACGCGTGACCACCGCTGCCCAAGATATCCGTCGGCAACAGTGTACGTGTCCCGTCCGCTGGACACTAACGTTCGTGGCCCCCAGAAAACTGTCGACGGTTAGCATCGACACGCGTCCGTTGAGCGACCCGTACGGGATAAATGACCATATAAAGCAATCCGACCGATACCACTAGTGATTCTTCCAGATTCATATGGGACATGATGAACGGGTTTAAACTTCATTCGTGAAGAATCCTGTGCCTTTAAACTTGTTACGATTTCATCAGGTCAAACCTATCTGATCCCTATTCAAATCCGTGAAGAATCTTCAATTTTTTCATGTCCCGTGATTAACAGTATATTGATGATAACTATGTTGAAAATTTAGAAATTAGCTAATACTATTCAAACGTTATGTAGTGGCGAAAGATTGTTGAACGAGAAAAATCTCTTCATAGCCCTAACATAGATTATGAATACGCTTATTTGTCTATAGGTATTGGTGTAATTGTGGGGGAAAAGTGCTACCCCCAATAGTTTTGAGAGGGCCAAAGGTATTGTTTAGCCCCCTCCCAGATGATTCAACTATACAAATATTTGAATTATATTAAAAAATAACGTGATATATTATTTAACATATTACAAGTTTTATAATATAACTCAAATAACTATATAAAAGTTTTTATTTTAAATTTATCTTGTAAATGTTATTGCAATAATCACATTAATTAAGTTAGGATCAAAATAATCTATTAATAATATTATCATTGCATAAATTTTGAACGCGATTTATTATTATTATCTCGAAATCGTGATTATGACTAGTCTAATGAATATCTATAGACTATACTGTTTTATTGTTATATTTATATCAAAAAATGATTTTTAAAAAACGATACATGAACTTTCTACATCATTCATCAGTTAATTACAAAGTAAATCAACATACATATCTCTATTTAAATGACTTCAAGATACCTTTTTATGATTTATATCAGTAAAAATAAAAAATTGTCTTTTAAACTTTTGTTAGATAAAACTTATTTTCTTTGGAAATATAATTTGAATATAAATTGAATTTGACACATTGAAATTTTGAAAAAATTGTTGATTTTTTTTCTTTCTATCAACCCTATAATTTAAATAAATATTTCTCAACTGGTGTGCCACAATAAATCTATAAATTGTTTTATCAGTATGTATTTACCAGCTTATTATTGATATTCAAGATGAAAACAAATCAAACTAATCGCAGATACATATAATATTATTTATTGTAAGTATGCCTATTGCAGCCATCTCGATTGATCAATTGCATTAATATATTTCACAATAAATAACCCTCTAATAGAGGAACTGTAAATAGTTTACATGTATATATATATATATATATATATATATATATATATATAATATGGTTTACATAATATATGGATTGGTGTGCCATGAAAATTTTGTTGAAAATGAAGTGTGCCGCATTGTTAAAAAAGCTGAAAACCACTGATTTAAATTGTTGGTATTCAAATATTCATAATACACAAAAGTAACATTGCAGCATTGAATAATTTTTATATTTCAATATGTTATTATTACGTTTTACATTTTACGAAATTTAATTTACAAGTTTATTCAATTATATATTTATACGATTATGTTAATTTTTAGAGTAATATAACTAAAAACACAATTAATTTAATTTTTATATATATTTCAATAATTTTATTGACCCATCAATTGAGGTGGTGGAGGTATCATGTTATTCATCATTGATGGTGGTCCAGGATTATACATAGGCGGAGGAGGGAACATATGAGACATCATATTTGATCCAGGTTGATGCACCATGTTGTGTTGTGGTGGTGGTGGTAAAGATGGTGGAGGAGGTTTCATTGGAGGTGGTGGCTTCATTTGTTCAACCTTATATGCAAATTGTAAATAAAACTGTTTGGCTTGAGTATTCCAATGAGCCCAAAATTTCATTTCAGATTTATCTACTTCACGACTGGGGACTTTAAAAGCTATTGTTTCATAAGGTTCAGCAGCAAATAACAAATACTGCCATTTCCTATCCGGTGGTTCAATTCTCTGCTCGTAGGCTGACATGAAACGATGACGTGGTCGCACATTATCAGTTATTTCTAAACATTAAAAAGTTATATAAATAAAACATAACACAGAACTAAAGATACTATAATGATAAAAATAAAAAATTATTTCATACACAAATAATTTATTAAGTTGTTAAATATTAAAAAAAAATGTAAATAGTCGTCTGAAATTTATTGATGCATAAACATTTACAACTGATTTTGATTCAAAAAATAATATTCTGATGTAAAAAAAACATACTATAAAATAAAAAAATACACACATCAATAAAACTTCAGGTAAGAGTTTTTATTTTTATAATCATTATTTAACTTATATTATTTAAGAATATTTTATTATTATTTTAAAAGTATTAATCACAAAATAATTTTATTCTTTTATATATTATAGTTAATAAAATGAAAAACAAACCAGGATAATCAATTTGAAAGAGTAAGCTTTGTTGTCCAGTCTCTGGGTCTTTCTGTTTAGTTACTCGATATCCAGGTCGCCCAATCTTGACAAACTTCTTAGTTTCTACACGAGGTTTTTCAGGTGCTGGCTGTTGTGGAGCATCTTTAGCTTCTTTAGCTGCCCGACGAGCTAAATTTGCTTGATGCTTTTTACCTTGAGTATGTGCTAAATAACTACCCTCATTGTTATGTAGAGTCAAACAAAGCTTACATTCATAAGACCCTAAAAATATTTAATAAATTAAAATTAATTTTTTCTGTTATTAGAATAATAAATTAATAATTTACCTAAATGATTTTTCATAAAATAGGGATCTTTTTGAAGATCAATAGTTTCCAGAGCCAATTGTCTAAGACGTTCACGTCTATCTTTATTAGTTTCTGTCCATGATGCTACGCCACCGCCACCAGTTTTACCACCAGGACGATTTTGGTAATCCATAGTTAAAATTCAATTGTAAATTTTTCTGTGAAAATAATTTATCAAAGTATAAATATATTTTAAATAGGAACAGATCTAAATTATCTACCTCACAACTATTCATTTTTTTTTTTTTTTGAAACAAGTATTTTAGTCTTAACAACGATGGTGCAAAATAAAAAATCAATGAAAACAATAATTTTTAAGTTATAACATTTTAAAATGTGCATATTTTTTTTTTTGTTTCCCCTATATATGATTATTAATTACAGTATTTTACAAAGTCAAAACGTTAATTTTAATTATAATAACTACTGTCTACAGGTAGGGGTCTTCAGTCTTCTTGTTCAGTCGATACAGAAGCTCACCATAGAACTTCAATCAAATATATTCACTGATTTTTTATGAAAACCCATAAAGGATAGATGATAGGACAAAGTAAATACGTTTTAGGTAAATAAATCCTCTACAAGTATTTATATGCAAATTTTAAAATACTATAACTTAAAAACTAACATTTTATACCCATTTCTTTTTGCACCATAACTTTTAAAACAGTGAAATACTTGTGTTTAAAAAAAAAAAAAATTGAAAAGTCTTAGGATAGTTAAAATAAATGTATGCTTTTAAATCACAGTCGTATACACAGGGGATGCAGTGTGTGCCCAGGCACCTTCCGGAATATTGCAAATGGGTCCCTACGAATTACGTCAAGTAAGGAAACCATATTTTAACTGATGATGCTCGAATTAAATGTAATTTCTTCTAAAATATTTGGTAAAAAATAAATATTTCGTGATAGAAAAAAAATAAAACAAATTGTTCTACATTTAAGTGCAAAAACTTCCAATGATAATATAACAGCTTTAATTGACAACAAAAGTACAAATCATAAATAATTGAAGTTATCTTAGAAGAAAATATGAGATTAAAGGAAAACATATTCATTGGGACTAATATACCATAATATCAGGGACAGAACTAGGAGGTGGAAGATGGGGATTCATTCTGATGTAAAATTTTAGAAGGTGTAATATTTGTAATTATTAACAACTGATTTGATATTTTTAACTTTGTTAAATATTAATATTAGGTTAAAACTCAATAAGTATGATTGGAATTGTTAGAAAAAACTCTCCAGAATATTTGATTATTGGTCCACGGAAGGGGTAATTTTAAAATTTTCCCCAGACGTAAAAATTCCTAGTTTCATCTCTGCATAGTATTAAATATAAGACTATAGGTCGTTTATTTCATTATTTATTAAATAAATCCATATGTTTTGTTAAGATAGAGCCCAAAAGTATTGTAGCACCCCTGAAATACAGGTTTGCGTACACCTATGCTTTAAATATCTAGTTAATTGGGGTATTTTGATAACTACAAATTCTGATGTTATTGTACAATAATAAGGAATAAACTGGTATATATTTTAAGGACTTTGGCATGACAACAAATAAGTAGCGAAAAGTAATTACATTTTTTTTTCAAATTAAACAAATTATTTTAAGTGTTGCAATAATATTATGTCAAATTGGATACATATTTCCAAACCTAGAAGTTTACTTTAAAAATGTATCATTAATGGTCCTAAGAGTTTTCAAACGTCAACCATTTGTGTTTATCGACTTTAGAACCAAAGGAGATGATCATTAAACGTTCGCGTTTGAAAACCGATTAAGTCTACGATTGTAAATGTTGTTTGAGAACGGGAAAACGACCGAGTCCAACTTACCAAATATAATACCAACAGCTAGTATCAAATCCCAACGATGCGTAGTAGAATAAGCTTGATCTTATTTTAATGTTTAACAAACAACAAGCACATTTTAAACTCAGAAAGTGAATTACAGATACACAATAGGTATAACATATAATGTCAGAACAATATCACGGCGTCTAATCACAATATTGTTACGATTAGTTATTACAACAGTGCCACCATAATGGCGCGGCACTCTGTTGGCGCGTCTTTTGAAAAAATAATAATAATCCGATGAACATTTACAAATTGCTATTAAACATTAACAGAGAATAATGAAAATCAATGTATTAAAGTGTTCTCTTGAGAAAGCACTGAAAAAATGTGGGTGCTGAACAACCGGTGAATAATTTCCCATCTTAAATTTACGGTCGAAATGTTTAATTGAAATTCGTATTGTTTCATATTGTTTTATTTTGTTTATTTCAGATGTCGTTATAGTTCCATTACGATTAATTTTAACTGATGTGAAAATCTGTCACAATTTGTTCACGTTTTTCGCAAAGAACATGGACTAGAAGTTGAAAATCAATCCGTAGAATAATAGACTAAGGTAATCGGCACATGATGTCAACAGTATTTTGTGTTGCCGTTGTGTAAGTACTGTGCACTTACCGACGGTAACCGCGCTACGGAACAACAATCGGCCGTCGCCGTGTTTGTGTTGATTGTTGATAAATTATTGTTTAACGATTCGCTCGTGTAGATCATTAAAATACTCACGTTTTAGTACACTACTCGCGTTGAACATTTTACTGTCTATTCTTTTCGTTGATTAAATATTAATTTCATCATCAATTTTTCATTTTCATTCCTCGATAACGGATTCTATTCGTAATTGCGATATCGTCATCAAGCGTTTTTTTCCCGTCCCGCGCCCCACCGGACCGTCTGTAAGGCAGTTTAGTGCCTTCTCTACCGACCGCCGTTAAGAGTTCTTCGCGCCGTCTAGCGATGGAGGCCGAAGACAATATACAGAAAATGTATAAATATTTCGGCATACTGGCTGACGCCAAGGAAAACATAGCTGAAGTGAGTCCGAAATGTTTGCCCGCTGTTTATTAATTAAAAATCAGTATTCGGATTTTCACTTATGACTTTTTTGGTATAAAGATAAATTTATTATGTAACAATTATATGATTAGGACAAGAAAATTTAATTTTTTGATTTTATGGTTTTAAAAAGTGATTGATTTACAGTTTAATCATAACTAATGCTTTGAAAACAACTTGGATATAAAGTTAGTTAATACTTTAAACCATAATATATATTAGAGATGTGTTGTTTATGGAAGACCTAATTCAATTGAACTTTTCACTTTAGTAAACGATATAAACTAGTTCATCCTGCATACCGTTCATATCATGAACTACTATATACTATACTAGGGGTGGCGAACTTATGGCATGTGTTGACCAAATTTTAATAGCAAGCATAAAACATTGAAATTATTCAAAATTGTACCCAAAAAAAAAAAAAATTATACTATTTATAAAACGTTGGTTGTAAGAAATTAAAATAAACAAATTATATATGTTTTAAAAATAACAATATTCCTTTTACTTTCATATTTTTCGTTAACTTATGTTTGTGAAAGCTTATTCGTTATAACAAATTTAATTAAATTGAAGAAAAGGAATGTTTTGATCAATGAAACAATTGCTGTTTGTGTTTCACTAATAATGACTAAAATGTAATAAAAATAATATAATAAATCTGTAATTTTGTTTTTAGTCTTTGAAAATATAGTTTTCTTTGGGCACGTGAATGATTTTCATTACCTAAAAAGAAATAATTTGGCACTTGAACCTAAAAAGGTTTACCATCCTATACAGTATACACAACTGTTCATTGTGAACAATGAACGATTTAAAGTTCGGAATGATTAGTTTACTATTTTTTGTGTTTCATTTTTTTAATTTTTAATTGATAAATATCCATGTCAGATTACTTAAATCAATTTGCTTACTTTTAATCAACTTACTCAACTATCTAACCGATACATACTACATTAGTTAAAGATATATATTCTTAATAATCACATCAATATTTTAATATTTTTGGATATCTAATTCTAAATTAAAATTATCTTGTAAATAATTTATAGAAAGAGCCCGAGTACTTGGAAATTTTATCCGCTGTCAAAGGATCTACAAAAGAAAAAAGACTCGCATCTCAATTTATAACTAGGTTTTTTAAGCATTTTCCAAATCTTGCTGCTCAAGCCTTAGAAGCACAACTTGATCTTTGTGAAGATGAAGACATTTGTGTAAGTTTATTAAATTAAACATATTATATGAAAATGTTTAATTGATATTTGTGTACTTAGATAAGAAAACAAGCAATTAAAGATTTGCCTGTATTATGTAAAGAGTCTAAGGAATATTTGACCAAAATAGCAGATATACTTGCTCAGTTACTTCAGGCTGATGATCCGCAAGAATTACTAACAGCACAAAATTCATTATTATCACTATTTAAAATTGATGCTAAAGGTAAATATTTGTGAAAACTATATGAATATTGTAATTAACTGTTTTAAATTTTTTGCAGGTGCTTTAACTGGAATTTTTAGTCAAATGCAATCAAATGAAGAAATAGTTAGAGAACGTTCTATGAAGTTTATATTAAACAAAGTTATGGCTTTAGGTAAAGAAATAATAAAAAAAGATGTTGAGGACTTGATAATTGGTGAATGTAAAAAAGTTATGCAAAATATCACTTGTGAAGAATTCGAAACATTGATGACAATTTTATCATCAACTCATCTAATCAATACTCCAGATGGACAAAAAGAACTTGTTGAACTTTTGGCAAGTACAGCCGAACTTGATCAGTTTTTTAATCCTAAAGATGTAGACCAAGTAAATCGGTTTATAACTTGTCTGGATTTTGCTATACCATTTTTTTCGGTAAATATTTCTAACACTTATTAACTCTTATATAAATAACTTAAAAAAATTTAATTTTATTTCAGGTTCATGTAGAATCCACTCAATTCATTGTTTACATATGTGAATTATTGAATCGTTATACTCTTATAAATGATGTTGATAAACAGTTTATTATTTTAAAATCTTTAGCGGAATCTGTACCGTTTTGTGGTAAACTTATGAATCCTGAAACAGTAGTTGGTCAAGTATATCAAGCTATTTTAGTAAGTATAGTTTTCTTAAATTATTTACTAAGATATTTTGTTTTATATTAATAGAAAAAGTCTATTGTAAAAATGACTACAGTAAAATTTCAAGCATAAAATGCTTCTAATTTTAAATTTATGTTTTGAACAATTTCAAAAATATTAAACATATCAGGAATTTTTATTTTTTACAGTTAACCATTATGCCAAGTGCACACAAATATAACCAAATTAAAAAAAAAACAGTATTATTTTTTTTTATTTACAACTTATTTTGTCTCATTATGTTATGGAAAGTTCGGTTTTTTATTTTATGCGTACACTAGAAATCGGTTATAACAAGTTTCAACTCGTTATATCTGATTACTCATAATAACCATACTTGTAAACATATATTTTAACATATAATCATATGGACTCGTGCCAGGAACTAACCTTTTGCTCGTTGTAAGCAGTATTTTATTCTAAGCAATGCTCGTTAGAATGATTTCTACTGTATTTGATTATTATTAAACCTTGTACGTCCAGCATTTTATTTATTTATATATTATATTCTTAATATATTATGTTCTTAACTTTTTTTGTTTTAAAAATTAATCAGTTTCATGTTTTGTTATGCATGTTTGTATTAATAAGATACTAAATTTTCTTTTATAGTAAAATATGTTAGTAATTCTGCTGACTATAACTATTTAACTGAATTTTTTGAATATAGTTGAAATTGTTCTATTAAAAAAGTAAAATCTTATTGTTATCCTAGATTTCACAACGTTTTTGATTTTTGTTTGTAGGAAACTACCATTATTAGTAAATAGAAATAAATGATTGTCATTTTACTAACTTGATACTAAACATATTTGATTCTGAATGTAGATTTCTAATTATTTAAAATTACTAATCCATTTATATTAAAAATACTATTACTTTGTACTTGATGGTTACAAATATATATTGATTTTTTATTCAAATGTTAAACTCAATAATTTTAATATGCATTTTCAGGATTTAGTGACTGTTCCTGAGAATGATGCCAGTAAAAAAGTTGAAGATATGGATTTACATCGTGTTGAAGCACTTTTATATACTTTTCATAAACTAGGAAGGCAATGTCCAGAATTTTTGAGTAGAGATCCTGAAAGACAAAAGGAATTTAAAAAAAAGTATGCTTTATTGTTAAAAATCATTTTAATATTACTTACTATGTTATTATTACTTTTAGATTGTTATATGTTGGTACTTGTACACAAACATTTGTGAAAATTGTTAGACAAGATTTAAAAGAAAAAGGTGAAGAAGATGTAAAAAATAATCCAGTTATTGAAAAAAAATTAGAAGGATTGAGATTAGCATGTAATATAAATACTTTAATAAAAGAGTTATTTAATATACCTCCTAGATTTAAGGCAACGATTACTTTGTCATGGCTTAGCAGTGCAACTAAATCCAAACTTGTAAGTTATACGAGATATAGTTAAAGAAATTAGTTAATTGTACAGTTGCAATTGTTTTGGCAGGCCCAAATCGTCCAGGAAGGTAAAAAGCATGAACCTATAGTAGTGGATGGAAAGTCTAAACGAATTGATGGCAGTAATAATAGTCAACAGTTATATCAACCTCCAAAGGATAAATTTAGTGCCAAATTCTCGAACAATACAAATAGTAACACTAATACTACTTGTATGATAAATTTCAACAACATCTGTTGGAAATTATTAATTTATTTTTATTTTGTTTTAGATACTAATCGTCGTGGTGGCAGCGGTGCTGGATGGAACAATAAAAGGTCATTTGATTCTAGCAATGGAAATCGTCGTGGATGGCGACCTTACTAATGTATATATCATAAAAAACAACAATTTTGTTTTAAACTTTTGTCTTTGTACTGTTTATATGTTTGACAATTATTAAAAGTAAAAATGTTTGTATGTTTTTCATTTTTAGTATCAATAATCATTAATTATTGTACATAAATATACATTTTTTTGACCAATAAATTTGTAAAATTTAATAAAATATACTAGTTGTTTACCTAACCTAACCTAGGTTAAGAAAAATTAGTTAAAAATATACACCTATCTAAAAATATTTACTGTGGCATTACTTTTAGCCCATAACTATAATCTTTTTTTAATAAATTATTTATATTATTCCAGCCCTCTAATTTATATGCACAATCAATTTTTCAGGTATCAAATAATACAATATAAACCAAAAATACACGCCAATATAATTGCAAACATATGTACTGAAACATTTATTCACCATAATTATTAATCTATAAGAAATAAATCTACAATTATTATTTAATAATTAACTCTAAAAAACAAAGATAAATAATAGTTGATTATAATAAAGTTATTCTGTAATTAAATTGCAACCAATTATTATCATGAGTGAAAAGTACAATTAATCATTAAATATATTTACATTTTGGTAAGCATGATTATAGTCTTAATATTAATGACAAATTAAAAAAAAAATTGCAGAAAACATGGTAGGTCAATAATATTAAAAATTTACTTATAAAAATATAATAACAAAAAGATAAATAATACTTTAAATTTTTAATTGGTATTCATTGTATCAATAAGGTGGCACATCAATTTATCCTTAGGAATACATTTGTCGACTATGGGTTCATCAGAATGTTTTTTTTCCAGCTGATCAATTTTAGATGTATCCACCAACAGTTTAGTGTCAAGCTCTGAGTCCGGTAAATTTTCTAATGTCTGTTGCAATATATCACTTACCTTATAATAATAATAAAATATATAAAACAACATAACATTTTTATGAGATTCATTTATTTACTTTATCTATGTGTTTCTGCAGTCTTATTGTAGTTTCATTCCTTTGTCTTCTCTGTAAATCTAACATAACACGAACGGTTTCTCGTGCTTGGTGAGGTCGAAATTCATTTAACAAATGATGTATGTGAATAAACAGTAAACTTATGTCGTCAACTTTTTCAGCCCTACGAGGAGAGTCAGGACATTGAATTAATAAATCGAGTAGGTCAAGAAAGTTAACCAATAATGAATGATTAAGTTTCCGTAATTCACGCCGCCTATCAAAGTGTTGAGGATAGAGTCGTCTGAAACCCTGAAAGCAAATTAAATATAATTAAGTTTGTATTAGGTACATTGCATTAGTTTCTAAACAGCAATTTAACAGTTTTTTTTCTTACATTTTCTCAATTTTTTAATATAAAATGTTGAAATGTAATGTATTATCTATAAAAAAAAATAAGTACTTGGAATTCATTTAGTAGTGTGTAACATTATGGATGCATCCGAGTTGGGTCTAAAAATAATATTAGTTTAACATTTTGTACGAATTAGATCTGTGTGAATAAAATATTTTGTCTGAATTGTAGTAATAATTACAAATAATAAGAACAAATATAATGTGGATCACATACTTTCTGATAATAAAACGAAATGTGTTTAAAATTGAAATATGACATTTATATTAAAATGAGAAATTCAAAGGGAAGAAGAAGATACTGTATAAAATCTAAGAAATATTTCATAAAGGAAAAATTAATTGCTACAAATTTGTTAAATTTGTATCTTATAAATTTCAACCCAATTTTTGAAGTTTTATCTATAAATAACTAAATGACAAAAAATTAATCAATCACAATAATATAAAATAGTTAAAATTAATTAACATAAAAAAAAAAAACATTTTTAACCATACCTGTAATAACTAGATGTTATTGGGTAGTCATATGTCAGTAAAAATGTGTAGGAAATTTTTTTTTTCCTGGGACCCAATAGCATATATTACATCTGTTATACTTTTTTTAAAGTATTAATATGGTATTAAAATACTTTATAAATGAGACAAAATATATAATACGAATCTTAACTAGAACCTTTTTTGTATAATTTTATGCATTTTGAATCCACAATCAATTAAAAATACCAAATAAAGTCAATAATCCAAAACAATAAATATATAAAAATCGTGATTAAAACAAACCTGACTTTCTAATGGTCTTATTATACTATCATCAGCATTGTAAGGATTTCCAAACATTGTATATGTTTCTTGAATTATTGGTGGTGGTTTAGGAGCTCGTCCTCGCCGTAAGTTATCATCTGAATAATTTTGGAAATATTGCACAGGCGGTAAAGGCAATGAACATACTTGCATTGATTCTGGATTGCTTGACATAACTGAAAAAAAAAATACACCATATAACAGTTTTAAATTCTGTAGTAGTTTCTTACTAACATTTGAAAGGTATAGGGAAAAAACGGTAGTAGTCCATTTTTTTGATTTTGGTTTTATGGTTTGATTCGTTAGCAAATAAGGAGTAATATCGAAAGTTGAAATCAATTCAGTGAAAAAATAATATAATAATGATTCTTGAAATCGTAAAACGCCTACGTTCCGAGTATACAGCCGATAACAATACGCATCGTGATTGAGTTGCACACAACTCGAGCACAGTAACGAGTTTTGTGTGTAACCGAACCGAAACAACGAGCGGCAGAGTTAAATTTGTGGCAATTTAGAAGACGATACCATACCAGTCTTTTAAGTTTAATGTGCACTGCGATGACACTTACTTGAGCAGATTTTTCACGGGATCGAATGGAACGTTGAATGTAGCGTGCCGGGAGCGTACGGGAAACGGGTCGATGGGATGCGCCAACGTTTCGAGAAAACGGGGATGAAAAATGAAAACACCAGTCCCCAACTCTGGATGATCTCGTTGCGTCGTCGTTTACTTCCGCGATTATGTCCGCAACTAACAGATCAACTACATAATTTTGTCGCCGATAACGAGTGACACGGGCCGCAGATAAACAGCGATCGTCAACGGGTCGTACGTCACGGGGGTGACCGGGTAACCGGGAACGTGCTCGCGGTCACCTGTTAGATAGCACGGCTAACACACACGGCACGTCTGTACAGCTCTTCACCCCGTCTCTTTCACCACGGCACAAGAGCAGATACGAGAAACTGGTTTTCGATTTTTGTTTTATTTTCCGTCATTTATTTTTATTTCATTTTTTTTTTCAAATTTCGTCCCGTCACCCAACGCAGTAACACTTGCGTGCACTGTGTACCTCTATATGTGTCGTTTCCTCGTGCTATCCGTTGCGTCCGCCGTCCCGTCAACCGTCCGTTCGTTCTTATTTTCTTCCAGTCCGTCACTACCGTTTCGTTGGACGATTTTCCGCTCTCTTACAATAATATATGTTGTAATTGTAATCAAACATTTTCACCACCATCCTCTGCTCTGTCCGTCCGTCGTCGAACCACTAAACGTGACACTACGATAATGCACCCACCGCTAACAGTTCGCCGTCGCCGTCCGTCGTTGTTCAACACTTGAATATCCGTGAGTAATCAAAAATTTAAAAAAAAAAATAAATAAATAAACATTTGTATCAATGCGTAAAATCGTCAGCTAAAATCGGGATGACCGTGTTTTTAACAATAATATCTTTAATTTTTCAATTACATCTTTAAATTGTTCATCCGCCCGAAACTGTCTTGTGTTTCTGGTGATTATATTGTATGCATGGTCGAGCTTTTATTTTTCCTGAAATGGCTTTCATTCGTTTGATATTAGGTATAGGATGATGGCCAACAAAGACGATTTAGATGACTGTGACATCATCAAACAGGGTCTGATGGTGAAACGGTCACAAAACAAAAAGCGTTTCATGCCCATTAACTACAAACAGAGATGGTTCGTCTTAACTACCAAGAACTTCATTTATTACGAATCCGAATCTGAAGTAAGTTTGTTATTAATAATTATCCAACTGCAATCGATTGAATATGAATTTGATTATTGAATATCTGCATTTACATAATATACATATATTTACTTCACATACAATGCATGAACACCAATATTTCATTGACTGGGATTATTACTAAGCCCATAATTTTTGTAAATTACAAATAATATCCATTTATATGCTACTTATTATTTAAAATGTATGAGTTACTTATAAATTTTCATCATATTGGTCTCCTAAGGTAATTGTTTTTTTTAACTGATTAACTTATTGTCAGATAATCATTTCAAATCATTATATTAGTTTTTATACTCGGCGCTCTGGAACTGTTTAAATTATAGATATTATTTGTTAAACTCAATAAATTTCTATTTAGTGGTATTAATTGTATGGCTTAGAAACATAATAGGCTAAAAATTAGAATAACTTTGAAAATTAAAAATGTTTATTCATTATTTTACTAGTCTGGAATTTCTATTTTAAAATTGGTATTATATAATTATTTATTACACTCAAATAAATTAAAGAATGTAATTAATTTTTTCAGTTTTTTTAAATACTTACATTATTTTAATAAAAATATTTAAAATTTTTAAATTATTGTATATATTTTTCTTTTCGAATTCAAACAAGTATATCATTTAAGTACATTATCGTAATTTAAGTTGCACAGATGTTTTTGTTTTTATTTAAAGCCTAAATATTTATAAGTTATCAATAAATAATGAATTTTAACTGATTTTAATTAAACTGCCTATTGTTAGATACTTATAGTTCGAAAAATAAATATTAAATAGTTGATAGTTAAAATGATAAATTAATTAAAATGTATTACCCGAAATTAAAGCTTCTAGATATAATTTATTTATAAGAGTTATTTTAGTGGGCTTGAAAAAAATATTTATTATTTAGAATTTTCGCGGTTATTATATTTTATTAGGTATTTGAAATTAATGATCTTTGCCTTATTTTTTTTCTAAATAAATTATTCTTTTATGAATTAATATATACAGAGTGCCGGGTTAATATATTGACAAAGTTAATCTAAGTCTAAATGTACTATTAATATAATTAATACCTCAATTAATACCTTGGTAGTTATTTACTTTGTTTAGATTATAAAAAAAAAATTTAAAAATTAATTTTATCAAATTTTATGTACCTTAATTATCTCCTTTATTATTTTATAATTATGTTTCTATAAAGATAATATTAGTATTTTTGATAAAAAATATATAGTCATTAATATACCAATTTTAGATTTCAAGAAATGATTGAATTTATGTATACTTCTTGAAGAATAAAATTTTCAACTTTAACCAAAGTTCTAAACATATTTTAATAATGGTTTAAATTTATTAAGTCATTATTTCTGAAAAATATAAATTTTTAAATAGTTAAATATTATTTTATAAGAAGTAAAATAATATAGGCTAAAGAAGTTAAAAAAAGTAAAATATTCTATAAAAAAAACGTACATAGAAATGTCATACTAGACTAGGCTTAAAATGCTAAATCTTTTAATCCGGCACTAAATACTTAAATAGGAATATTAAAATAACTTATATTATTTGTTCTCCATTCCATAGGAAATTATTGAAAGAAGCTCACTGCCGTGTCTCCATAACATACATCAACTGCTTAACAGGGTACATATGCTTTTATTTGTTACTAACATTTGGACCATAATACTAAAATCATTAACCTTTAGACAATGAACCACCTAAGTTACTTTATTTATCAAGATATAAATTATCTATCTAATGAAAATAAATGTATTTTGCAAGTACAGAGTAATAGTTGGAATGCATCAAATCCTAATGATATTTTTCAAAAGTATTTTTCTTATTAAATTATAAATTTTTCATTTTATTTTATATATTTCATTTTTTCATTGAAATAGTTTCAATACAAATATATAAGTATTAAATACTGTTTAAATTATAACACCTGTATAGTATATTTAATAATTTATATTTAATGAGCTCGTAATGATTACTTGTTTAAATTTATAAAATATTAATGTACATAATATTTTAATAATAAATGTTCAATGGAAATATGCATGCCATTTACACAATTTGATAGTTAAGTTTTTTACAAAAATGAGCACATATGCATGTATGTATTTACTAAATAATTGAATTATATAGTATAAGTTATTATGATTATTAGTTTTTTTAACTATTCTTTAAAATATCAGAGAAATAAAAATTGTTAGATCTGAAAATTTTAATTACACATACATATATATATTTATGTAATATATGTATAAAAATATACTTTTTGTGAACAAAATTAATCGAGACCTTATAACTCTTGATTAACATATTTCAGTTATTTTGAGGTATTTTAGTGATAAATTATAAGTTTTACATTTTCCTACTAAAGTCAAACATAAATTTAAGGTGGTTTATTGTTTTTGAGAAAAAAATTATTTTGATAAATATATTTAAATTATTTCCAAAAAATATTAAAACCCGGATTAAGGATAGGAAGTTATGAGTAAATATTTTTTTAATTTTATAGTAAGGTCAAATTCTGCAACAGATCTTCAATATTTGTATTTTTTTCATAGGTTATTTTTCCAATGGGTGATTGATAAATTTATTGATTTTTACCATTTATTTTTTTAAATGGCATAGTTTCAGAGAACAAACTTACGTCCATAATTATTTATTACTTAACCTATTTAAAGTTAATATTATAACGTAATTTATACATTTAAATAATTTATCTACATATTTCAGTATTTATAAATTTTGATTTATGTTATGGCTTAAGAGGTTAATTATATATGAAGACTTATTTCAAATATTGACCCCTGAACTTCTTATAGCCTTAATCTGGGTATAGCCATATGGTTTAAACTGTCAAAAATTACTTTATACTTAAAAAACAATTATTATATATTTACATAAATTAGCTGAGTAAGTATATAACTGTTGTACTATTTAATTTAATAATCCTTATACAGGCACTTGATTATAATTTATATCAAATGTTTTTATATTTTTAATATTTGTTATAAAATTGTAAAATAACATATTTGCAGTTTTTTTATCATACTTGATAAATATTAATTTAATACCCTCTTAGTTAAAGATTGATTTAATCTTGTTGACTTATTGTGGATTAAGGAAATAACACAAATAGTAATTATTTTTTATATAAAAAAATATAATAAATAATGTTTGTACTTTTAAACATTAAAATAGATCTAAATATATATAATTAGTATAATTTGAACTTTTTATACTTTTAAATATTTAGGATCATTTATATAAAAACACAGGGGCTTTGGCATGTATTTAAAACATACGATTAAGTGTGGTTGGATGAAATGGAGAGAAATAATAATTGATAGTGGACAAATGAGAGAAAATAGACTATGATGGTTTAGGCTTGTGATGAGGAAAGAGAAAATAAAAGCAATAAGAGTGGTTATGAAAAGAAACATTTAAGGGAAAAGAGAAAAAGGAAGACCAAAAAAAAGATGGTTGGATACGATTGAGAATGATATGAGGGCTGTTGGTGTGTGCGTAGAGGATGTAGAAAATCGAGACAAATGAAGATTTAGGACAAAGGTGGCTCATCCCAAATAGTTAAGAATAAGGTTAGGGAAAAGAAGAAGCAATATTTTAAAACATATTACATTTGTTTAATAGTTCCATTAATCTGATTTTGATTTGTTTTAATAAAAACTAATATGACATTTTAATATTGAATAAAAATTAAATTCTGATTTATTATTTATGAATTTAATGAAAAAATAACTATAACTAAATGTATATCTTTTATTATTATCAAGATTGCGAATTGGTCAATTATTTTTAAAATTTTATTTAATAGTATTTCAAGTACAATTAAACTTATAATATTATTATTAAAATATTAATATATGTATTTACTTTTAATAAATAATAATGTAAATATAACTTTAACTCAAAAGTGGTTAATTCCATGCCTAACTATTAATATGATTGTTCATTATTTTTTTGATTAATTTATTTTTAAATTATATAACTTTTTGAAATTGGTTTATTAGTGATAAGAATAATTAATTAATAGCCATACCCTTGGCACCTATTTTACTATAAAATGTATTAGTTTATATGTCTTAAATAGGTATGTTTATCTCTAAAATTAAATTTTATAGCGTAAAAAAGAACGAGGTCGAATAAAATTATCATCAATAACTGTGATTGAAACCGCAACAATAACTTCATCACCGATAATTTTATCTCAAGATACTACTAATAACGATGGTGAAAATGGGTATGCGTTTCAAATATCGTATAGCGATGGAAATGAACAACAATATACACTATATTTAATCACTCAAAAAGTTCAAGAACGATCTGATTGGATAAGAACTTTAAGAGCTGGTATAAATATATATATATCTATATAAACGTATTTATGAATAATTATTTATCATGTTAGTTTTATATCTTAGTTAATATGAATATTTTACTATTTTAAGTGTGCACCGATAATTTGGGGAAAAATGAAAAATATCATGCATCAATTTGGGGTGGCAAAAAATGGCAATGTTGTCGAGCTCCAACACGCATTGCTGAAGGCTGCGAACCATGTTCCGAGTGGAACAAATCTCCGCCTGATTCGCCTATTATAAAAAATGGCGATAATAATAGTCCAATTTTAGGTAAGTGTATTATTTATTTTATTTTAAAATGTATTTAAATTGAATTAAACAACTACAATCTTATAATGTATTTACGTATTTTTAATGTTGGTCATCATAGTGAAAGTGAATTCAAACATTTTTGGATTTAGTTATGACATTGCTAATAACGTAAGTTATCCACTCATTCTTAAAACTGTTTATTTCGCGTATTATCTTTCATAGGTTAATGTATTTTTGAGATTTAAAAAATTGAAATATTTTTTATCTGAATAATATAAAACGAGTTGTTCAAAAATACATAACTCAAGACCATAATATTATTTTGCTAAATTCAGAATTTAAATAATAACGTGGATATATTAGAAATTAGAAAAAAGTCTGGTAGATATATTTTTTGTATCATTCTTTAAAATTATTTTGGTATTTATCATGTTTAAATAATGTCCACTAAAATTGTAGTTAAAACTATTCCAATAATTTTATTTGATATCGCGTTATTTTAAGTAGGTAGTGTATTATAACTGGATTTATTAATTTATATTTTTTTAACAAAAAAATCTACCGTTTAATCTTTGATTGTTCAATCGGAAGATTTTGTACATACTCACGACTACTGCTAAAAAATTACTACCACCAGTGTGTAAATTATACAATTTTTCTAATGACAAATGTCGTTTCTCACGACTGTAGAGATCAGTTAACACATTTATATTTTGTAGGTAATTATATTTTTAAAAAAAGAGAAAGGGAATGTTTGTGTAAAATATAAGAAAAGGCTATGTAGGAAATCAATTATAGAATTGTTAAAAATAGTGTGCAATAATAGAACCTATTTTACAATTACCATTTTTTAATGTATGCATAATATTATGGTACGGTTTTGATTTTTTTTTTTTAAATAATATTGCATGCAACTTTATTTTTATTGCGTTTATTCAAAGTGTTAATTATTATGATTTGTTTACATAAATAATTAGTGCGTGGTAATATACTTGCATTTTTACCTAATCACATTTTATTTGATTCAGTAAAATAAAAAAAGTATTTTAAACATTTTCATCTAATATCTTGGGTTTGTATTAGTTAGGTTAGCTTATTTTATTTTATTTTTTTTATTAATTATTTTCAAATATTACGTATATTACGTAAAAATGACAAATTTATATTTCATTTATATATTTAAATATATAGTATTATTTTGATTGTTCTTAAATAGTTCTGATATTTAGTGGTAACATTTAGTCTAATAATATGAGTATTTTGAAAGTATTAATGTATACAGTTAATAATAAAAAATAACTAGTTGTTTAGCCACAATTAAAATTTGACGCATGTATGTCTCCACACATCATAATATACTCGTAAGGTCATTTTACTGGACAACTTTTACTTACAATCTTACAGTTTGACTTAAGTTTTCAAACTAAAAGCGAAAATGTAAGATATTCTAGAAAATAAATCCGAGGACAGTTTTGTATTTATATATGTTTAATAATTTTTTTTTTCAAATAAATAAAACTTCATTAATAATTTTTTAAAATTAAATATATGTATAAATATTTAAGTAGGTATTTACCAAATTACCTATTTAGTATCTATTATAAATTCGTTAAATAAGATACGGGCCTATTTTAGAACGTTATTTTCTATTAAAGCTAATCTTAACCCTCGGTTTAAATTACATGCATCAGGATTCAATGAATTTTCTTAGAAAATACTAAATTAAATAATTTGACTTTTGCCTTTTGGTATTATAGCATTGAAATCGTTTATAATTGTTCTAAAAAAATAGTTGTTATTAATAATTATAGACTATTTTTGTTCAATTGAGAAATATGCTCTTAATATTATTCATATAGTTAATTTAGTAGCAAATCTTGTTATGTTTAACATTGCCGATACATTTTACTAAGTCATTATTATTTCGTTTATTTACCAATATATTTAATAGAAATAACGCGTATCCGTAGAATAATAATTAACATAATTTAACCGGTTCATGTTTTTAACTCGTTAATTTTGGAATTTACCGTTTTCAAGCCCTTGAAGCTGGCCACACTGCAGTTTTAACCCGGTCAATAATAATATATACGTTCAGTGCGCTTGCCTTGATGCGATCTCCCCTTCTCACTGCCAAACGCCCGTAGTTCTGTACCTTCTGCCATTCACTCTTGTTTATCCTTACTTTATGCTTGACCCCCACGACGAACCATCCAACTAGTTCAGACAGGTATTAGTACACATCTCGATTGTGCGTGTACCGAACGTTGTTTATGTGGTAATGATCAATTCGTTAATCTCGTGAGCACTTAATCCGCTATAATATACTCGTTTAAAAGTGTATTAAGAATGCATAGCTGCAACGAATAATTCTTCGGATATTAACTGAAAAAAGGTGCGTACTACCCTTAAACGTTGATTTTAAACTGTTTATTGTACTGCGATTGATATGTTATTGGGTATGATATTTAGCCAAAATGAACTGGAAGTGAAATATTCCGATCGCAATACGAATTTCATATTTTATTTCGATTAAATTGGTCTTCTATATGTATGAGAAGTACTTTCTTTCTACTGGAAAACAGTACGTTCTATAAGGTGTGTTGACTTACCTCAAATCAATATAAATATAAACAAGACTCAGATATGACATTTTTAGTGTAGTACAACATTGAATGAGGATACTAAAAGTCAATGCATTTGTATTAAACATTTTATCAATCTGAAATTTGAATATGGAACTTTTTATAAACATTTCAAAATAATTATCTTTAAAATATATATTATTAAATATTATTAGTGACCAATAAAGTAATTTTATTTCGACGAGTAAATTACTATATTACTCAAAAATTCATGTAAATTTATTTAAATATAAATTTACTATATCTTTCAGTATTAAATACAATTTTTAAACGATGATTATTGTAATTCTTAAATTAAAATTCGGTTGTGATCAATAACTGTTTCAAATATAACACATATAAGTAAATTTTACATAATAAATACTCTTGAAGAAATAATTTAATGTGAATTATGTTCTTTGGTAGTATAATTTTTAAATTTGTTAATTATTTTAAGTATAAATTTGTTTATATTATGTAAGTTTATACTATGTTTCAAAAACGCAGATTATTAATTATTTTAATTAATTAGATGTTAAATTAATATGATTAATTATTTAATGATTTTTATGAACCATGCATGTAATTAAATAACTGTAAGTTGAATTTAAAATATTTTGTTTACCACCTAGATTGCATTATTATTAAAAACAAAAATTATTTTCACCATTAAAATATTTATTTAAGTTATTCAAAATTATTATTGCAACGATTAGTACTAGTTTTTTGATTCGTATGTTGTAACCTATAAATATTGTTAATTACGATAGTCTTTTCGTATTTCGTAGTGTTTAATCATGAATAGTTGGCCAACGTATAGTTTCTTAAGTATACAATGTATTTATTCATAATATTTTGAACGAAAAATCGCTTTAAGGTGCTAAAATTTTCATCATAAAACTAGTATTCAGACATACCTGCACTGTAGATTTAAAAAAATCAAGGTCGGCCTAAGCAAAAATAGTGCACTAGGCAAAACCAAATTTTGTCGCTTCTAAAAAAAAAAAAAAAAAAAAAAAAATGAGCTCTTATTTTAACTTAGCCCCTCCCCCTATTTTTTATATGACATATCTACATAAAAAAATGTTGATTTTTTATTTTATGTATAAAATTATACTTAAAAAGACTTTAAAATTATTTCTATAATTATTACTCAAAACCCATCATTATCGCGACTGTCGGAAATCGCGGAAGTGATTGTGTGGTTATTTATATTTTTGAAATAGTTGAAAACGCCCTGCGTAGGCCGTAATATAATAACTTTAGATAATATTATTTTATTATATAGGTAAGTGATTTTCACGAATGAATTAATTTAAATATTTTTCTTATAAAACACCGACAGAACTAAAAATAATGTACGAGTCAATTTTGAAAATGCCGCCCCAACTAAAGTGCCGCTCTAGGCAGGTGCCTAGCTCGCCTATACCTTGAGCCGACCCTAAAAAAAAACCACTTAGGTAATATAGTTGTATACCCAATACATTGTATTATTATTGTCATCATTAACTTTTTTTTTGAACCTTATCGAATTGAGAAATCTAGAAATTTGGTCAACCATAACAACGTAAAAAATGGACTTTAATATACTTTAATTTTAATTATAAATTATACCTTAAGGTCTAAATAATTTTTTTGAAATATATAAAAAGTAATTATAACTTCTCAGGTTTAATTCATTATAATTTTTACGTATTATGTTTAAAATGTATTAAAATTTCTTAATTTACTATTATATATTTTTTTTAATAAAGTTACAAATAAAGATATTTATCTTCTTCTTTTAAAATTAAAACATTTTTTTTTTTAAACTAATTAATACAAACTGTTATACGATTAGATTTTAGTTTATATTTATTTTATCTTTTTATTTTATTTCGCTTGATATTTTCTATAAAATGTCCATTAGGAATTAATTTTGTTTTGTTACTCCTGTTGTAATTCGTTCGGCGTACAAATCTTTTTTAAGTTATGAACATCTTTGTATTATTTTTTTGACGTAATTTCAAGCTTCTCGAACCATTTTGTTAACTTGTTACATCGCTGTTTTGAAAATAATGATAGGATATGTAACTAGTCATATTGCAAAATTTTTCTTGAATATCATGAACAATACTCGTTATTATTCGTTTGGATTATTACTCGTTATTATTCTAACTGAAACTATAATATTTCGTCATTGTAATTTTACTTGATGTTTTAGTGGCACAAACTCGTGATATTATTTTACACCCTGAAAGATTTTGAATTATATGAGTCATCTGATAATGTAATTTTATACCGGGTGTTTGTTCCCCTTATATTCATTACATTAACACGCTATACTCGGTGTTGGTAGTTATTTTGTATTAACAGACACGATCTATGTGTCATATACATAATGATTAATACTAATATAGACCCCTTGTATAAGTATAATTATATTCAATTTCCTGGTAATTAACGATGTGTAAAAAATATTTCGTTTACTTTAACTAATGTAGTAAATAATTTATATTTATATTAAAAGTTAGAAAATAAACTTCAATTAGTGTTCATTTTTTTAATTTAAAATAAAATAACATAATTTTTCTTAATACTTCTATATATAAGTACCTGAAATTATACTAAGTACTGACACCCAAAATTTAAATACGAACCATTACAAAAATTTTATTTAAATCGTATTCGTGTAAATATTATCATAGTACAAGCGTACATAATAATTTATATTTTGTTTCAAATTTAAAATTTAAATTAAATATAAATAATTTAAAAAAAATTATATACAGTGGTTTCCACCTAATGGTGGGCACCAATTAATATGAGCATCCGCGTAATATGGCAAAATGGTTTGGTTCCAAATTTATTGTTAGTTATAACTGTTATAATTGTATTATGTTTTCACGTTTAGCTTAAGAAATGTTCTGGCCTTTATTTAATCTGTACACTGATTTTAAATTTTCTATAAACCTATAATAATTGGTCGAACATTCTATACATAATACTCGTATATTAAAATATACTTTCTATTGCAGAATGTACATTTTATATTTTCTTACGTACTTATATACTATTTTTAAGGAGAAAATGGTATTTAAATTATTGTTTATATTAGTAATATCTATCTAACAAAATGCTTCAAAATGTATTATGATTATAAATTATCGCTTTTTAGTTAAAACTCGTAAAGAAAAACTACTATTTACTGATATTTCAGTTATTCAATTTGTGTATTAGGTGTTCTTATTTATTATATTACATGATGTGTAACTGTTTTGGTTGGGTATTCATTGCTTGTGGTTTGTTGTGTTACTTTTTTCTTCAAATATCACCAACACGAATGTCATTTTTTTTAAAATAATTGAGTAATGATTTTTCAACTGATAGTGGGGATATTCTGAGTGAAGAAAAAACAAATAAATAAAGTATTTGTAGACCACCTTCGTTGAAACACACGCAGCTGTATTTTATTTCGATGCACGTACAAGAATAGGGTGCATTATATTAGGAACTTTGAGACAATGAACACACATGGTCTTTGGGTTCCTCCTATTCTCCATCATTCGCATAAAGGCGTAATTGTCTTTGAATAATACGTGTGTTGTGTTTATGTATAGACTTCATACGCTGATGCATTGTATTATCTTAGGGTGGATAGGAAGAGACGAAGATAGAAAATAGTGGGAAAAGTATTGCATCAGGTGAATGACTTTGTGTTCTGTTCTGTTTATGGTAAAGGTAACAGACGGAATGGTCCACGTTCAAAAATATAATAGAAACCAACGATTATACAAGTAAAGAGTGTAGAGGATTTTGTTATTATGATTATTATTATTGGAACAAAACAATAGTTGTTCTCGAACGAATGTATTATATTTCTATATGATTTTTTTTTTCGTTCTAAAACATTGATAGTAAAAATGTTATGTCGCCGTATAGTTCGTGACTGTTGTGTTCATACTTTGTAAAATTACAACAAAATTACATTATTCATGTTACGATGTTCTAATTCCCTCAATATTTTAATGACAATTTATTTTAACTCGAAATATCAACTAATTATAATACTAATTAATGAATTACTTACCTATTTACAGCAAAAATATTTTAGAAATAAAAATGTGTATTTTGAGTTTATGCATAATTATGTTATAATTTATTTTGATAATATTATATTGTAAATTGATCAACTGAAAGTGTGTAATAAAGAATATTTCTATAATTTTTTTAGATGTGGTTAATTTTATGCATTTTAACGCTTATAAATATTTGGTGTGATAAATAAACCTAGTGAAATTTCCATGGTAGTTGCTTCTGCTTAGTTGAGGTCAATCCACCATGACTGGTAACACAAATCTTATTTTATCTGACCCCATTGTATTTAATGAAAACTAATCTTATTTTATTTATCTTTATATTATGATTATGATTTTTAAAAATTCAACCATATTAAAACTATCTATTTTTTTATAGCGTTAACAGCCAGTCCAATAATGCCTGGTGGAACACCTACTGCTAAGTTAAAAGTAATAATTTGTTACTTAATAATGTAATATTAGAAAAAATAATAATTATGTTTTTTTATTTTATCAATAGGATCAAGTACCAAGGATTAAGGTGGTGACTGCACTCTATCCTTTTAAAGCTATTGAACCAGGAGACTTAACTTTAGTTAAAGTAAGCAAAAAAAAAAATTGCTTATACTAATATATAAATAAATATTATAAATATTTATTATTTTTTGTGCTAACAATATTATAATTGTGTATATTTTTAACTAATTTTTAAACTATTTAAGGGAGGTGAATATGAGGTCATTGATGATTCTCAAGATCATTGGTGGAAAGTGAGAGATGAGCATGGGTAAGCAAATTATTATTCTTTTATAATATTTATTTGTAACTTCAATCTAACTATCATTTATTAATATTTTCAGTGCTATTGGCTACATTCCTAGTAATTATGTAAAAGAAAAAGAATTTCTTGGTCTTCAAAAATATGAGTATGTATATCTCACAATTTAATAAGATTAAAATAATTAGATGACAACTAAACTCTTAATCACAGTTTTAAAAAAAAATATATATATATAACTTTATTTTTATTATTTTAAATATCAGAGTATTATCAAGGAGTAGATTATTTTAGAGTCAATTAACTGCCAATATTTTACATGTGTCCAAATACTTTTATTGCATAAAATGTCATTTCCTATATTAAATATTTTATTTTTAATTTATGTTGTATTTGTTTATTCTAAAATTATCTTAAATTCTACTGTATTTCTAAATGTTACATTATTTATGTATATTTTTAATTTTTATTTATCATTTATGTTTTAATATTAATTATTCTAATATTTTAAAATACATTCTTCTTCTATTTAAACAATAACGTATTTTTATTTTATTCAAAATAAAATCTTGTTGATTTGAATTTGAACATACTAAAACTAATATTACATCTAAAAAAAAAAACAATTATAATTTTCCTAGAAACTGATTACAAAATGCAATTATATTATTAATTACATTATACAACAGGCTCAATGTATTAATGAAGTTTTATTGTTCATATTGTTATGATTTTGAATATTATTTATGGTTATTTATATTTTAGTAATATTTTTCAATTTTCCCTTCACATTTTATATAGACAATATTTATTTTAAGGTGGTATGTTGGTGATATGTCAAGGCAGAGAGCCGAATCTCTTCTCAAACAAGAAGATAAAGAAGGTTGTTTTGTTGTTAGAAACTCTTCAACCAAAGGTCTTTATACACTTTCACTCTTCACAAAAGTGTAAGTAAACAAATTTTAGTATTTCACTTCTTATACATATTTTGTAAAATTAACCTATAAATAGTTTTTTTTTTACTTACCCTAGAGCTAGAATTAAATTAATTTGCATTTAATTCTTTGTTAACAGTAATAGGACTCTGTATTAGGTAACCTGGGAGTAACATCAAGAAATCAATAAAAAAAAATAATATTATTATTATTATTAGAGCTAAAAAATAGGGAAATAAAAGAACTAAAATAAAATAGTAAGATAGAAGGATTATCAGGAAGTAAATAAAAAAAATATTAAAATATTTACAGATTATATAATTAATTATGAAATTATGTAGAATATAAGTAGAATTTTGTTGGTTCAGAGTTAGAGTTCAAATCAATGTTTGTGTAGAAAATTAAAAATGAGAACATTTTTCATACATTAAAATCATGTCTTAAATTAATTGTTCACTTGATATTTTCTATCATTATTTATTATAACCATACAATTTTTTTTATTTAATTTGGTTTAGTTTAAAATATTGAAATAATAAGTCTTATATTTGACAGTTCAATCTTTTTTTGTTAAATAAAATTGAATTTGTATTGAATTAAATTTTTTATTTTTTTTGTATATTATAGACCACATTCTCACGTTAAACATTACCATATTAAACAAAATAGTCGAGGAGATTTTTTCTTAAGTGAAAAACATTGCTGTTCAACTATTCCAGAACTAATAAACTATCATCGCCATAATAGTGGTGGATTAGCATCACGTTTAAAAGCCTCTCCTTGTGATCGCCCTGTTCCTGCTACAGCTGGTCTTAGTCATGGTAAATATAGAATTTATAAATTTAAATTTTATTATTTATGTTATATATCTTCTTCTTCTTCACTTTTCTGGGGTTGGCCAGCCTTTTTCTAACCCTCTACTTGTCTCGATTTTCTACATTCCCTACGCACATACCAACAGCCCTTATAATTTTCAATTGTATCCAAATCTCCCTTTTGGTCTTCCTCGTTTCCCTTCATTGTAATTTTCATAACCACTCTTCTCGCTTTTGTTTCCTCTCGCCTCATCGCATGCCCATCATTCTATTTTCTCTCATTTTGTCCACTATCGATACTACATCAATACTATCTCTCACATATCCATCTAAGCATTCTCATTTCTGCAACATTTATATTCTTTTCTATTCTGTTAACCGCTCAACACTCCGAATCCAGATTTTCAATTCATTATACTCATAAAATTTACCTTTCAGTCTCATTGGAATTATCTTATCACATAAAATGCCCAATGCTTCTCTCCATTTCATCCAACAGTACTTAGTCCTATATTTTATATCCATGCCAAAGTCCCCAACCCTTTTATACCAATGATCCTAAATATTTAAAATTCTTGACTTCACCAATCATATCACTGTTTATTATCATTGGTCTTTTCATATCCTCAATTTCTTATTATCTTCCTCCTAAGTCATACTCTGTATATTCTGTTTTATTTCTACTAATTCTCAATCTCTTTCCTTTAAGGGCTAATCTCCACGCATCCAACCTATTATTAACTTCTTTCAGATTTTCTCCTACCAAAACTATATCATCAGCAAACATCATAACATCATACAACATGGTATTTCGCCCTGTATATCTTTTGTAACTTCATACATTACCATAGAGAACAAATAAAGGATTTTAGAGTCCATTCCTAATACACACCAACTCCTATGTTAAAATTTTCTGTTATTCCTCACAAATTCTTTATACTAGTTCTCGAGTCTTAATACATATCCTGTATATATATGATATATTATATGTATTTGTACTCAATTCATATTTGTATTTCTGCAGACAAATGGGAAATAGATCCTGCAGAACTTATGTTATTGGAAGAACTTGGATCAGGCCAATTTGGTGTAGTGCGCCATGGAAAATGGAAAGGATCCATTGATACAGCAGTCAAGATGATGAAGGAGGGAACTATGTCAGAAGATGATTTTATTGAAGAAGCTAAAGTTATGACGTAAGTGTAAAAATTTTTACTATAAAAGTCAACAGTTAAAATTATTGAACTTATTTTTATAATTATATTAATTTGTATTATTTAGGAAACTCCAGCACCAAAATCTAGTCCAACTTTATGGAGTTTGTAGCAAGCATCGTCCAATTTATATAGTTACCGAATATATGAGACATGGGTCATTACTGAACTATCTTAGGCGACATGAAAATAGTTTAGGTGGAAACAATGGCTTATTGCTTGACATGTGTATTCAAGTAAGAGTTTTGTATTTAATACATTTTTTTCTTATTGTATGATCTATTACTAAATAAATTATTTTGCTTATTAGGTATGCAAAGGAATGGCATATTTAGAACGTCATAATTATATTCATCGTGATCTTGCTGCCAGAAACTGTTTAGTGGGCTCTGAAAATGTTGTAAAAGTTGCAGATTTTGGATTAGCTAGGTATTAATAATATGAAATGTATTTTATTGTTTAATGTGGTTATTACTTTGTATCCCATACTTAATATCAGCTTATATATTAACAATTGATCATATAATAATAATTTATGAATCTGTTTTATTGAAAATATTTGTTTAATTTAATTTTTTTTTTTATGTTTTTAATTCAACAGGTTCAACAATACTAAGTTTACTAAAGTTGAACTTTCTAGAATTATTTAGATATTTTTCATGTAACATTTTGCATACTGTTAATTACAAATGTAACTTAACATTTTTCAATTGGAACTAAATTAATTGTAATTATTTCTTAACATTTAATCATTATGATAATAAAATAATCATAGGCACACGTGAAACATTTTTCTATGATGCTAAAATTTTTTTTTAAATATTTGATTTCATATTTGCTCTCTTACATGTAAAAATATTGTACTTAAACATTTTATTTCATAAAGTTTAACACTTTACTTATTGGGTATGACTGTTAATATGTACTTACGAATATAATTAAATTATTTGATTTATAAGGTATGTCCTGGATGATCAATATACCAGTTCTGGTGGTACTAAATTTCCTATTAAATGGGCTCCCCCTGAAGTGTTGAACTATACAAGATTTTCTTCTAAATCTGATGTTTGGGCTTATGGTAATTTCAAAAAATTAAAAACTTAAATTACAATATTCCAGTCTGAAGTATGACTATTTCATTTATTTTAGGCGTTTTAATGTGGGAAATATTCACATGTGGTAAAATGCCTTATGGACGACTTAAAAACACTGAAGTAGTTGATCGTGTACAAAGAGGCATAATTTTGGAAAAACCAAAAATGTGTTTCAAAGAAGTTTATGAGGTAGATTATTATTGTTTTAATATACTACTAATTAGTATAATTAACACATCTATAATTTTTATCTGATTAAAATATGAAATTTTATTTTCCATAGGTCATGCGTAAGTGTTGGAGTCATTGTCCAGAAGATCGTCCATCCTTTAGATTATTAAAAGATCAACTAGCTGTCATATCTCAAGTTTGTTTAGAAATATTTACCTCATAAATTCTAATAATTTGATAATATGAATATTTTACAGGGCTTACTGGCAGATTGACGTGTTATGCAACAATCTTGCAATTGTGCTATTTGCTTGTTGATTGACATTGGTTATGAGCCACTCATAAAATTGTGTCAGATTGTACTTGAAAAAAATCGCCATGACATTGTTTAATTTGACAGTTAAGTATTATATTTAGTTGTCAGAAAATAATCAGTGAGTTTATCTACATATTATTGATCTCGAACTCTGCTATAAGTTTTGTATAACACTTAAGTGCCGTTGTATATTATATAAGTTATTATTCTAATATTGACATCAACTGAAACTTCCTTTTTATATAAATTATTTATTGAGTAACCTTGAACAATTATAATTAATAAGGTGTTCATTTTGTACAGGGTTATTTATCCAAAATTAATTTTTTAAAACTTGAAAACATTTTTTAGATTTTATTTTGGACTAAATTTACTTTTAAAAGTATTTAATATGTATTTACCTACATTTTTTTATTAAAGTTTTTCTAAAAAACAAATCTAAAACTTTTTTCAAGTCTTCCATTTATAGAAAAAACTGCCTAATGCATTTTATTAAATGCTCACTTTGTTAACTCCCAATAATTATTGTGATACTGTATTTTTATTTTAAATAAATTATTAAACAAATTTTAAATGGATTCACAAATTAGCAAATCAAGTTTTATATTAATGTTGTAACAAAAAATATGTTATTTATTTTGAGTATTGTGAAGACAATTTTTTTTTTTTTTATGTGCTAATAAAATAAGTTTTAAAATAAATAAATAAGGCCGATCTTATTATGATTTTATTAATGAAAACAATAATAATAAATTTATTTTATTATTATATATTTTCATTTTTTAACAACAACTTAATTTTAACATTTTTATAGTACACAATAAAATTTATTTATTTAAAATACTACAATATTCACAGTCATTATTTCATATTTTTAATAATGTGTTATTTTTATGACCACCATTGATTATAAAAAATACTACATTAAGCTGAATCTAAATATTTTTTAATGCTTAGGTATCTAATATACTGATTACATTTAATTTTGTTTAATATTTGTTTTGTAATATGTTATAAATTGTATTTATATTTTGTAATTCAAATGTGTTAAATTGTGTGTGCTTATTTTATACTATTTCAATTATTATGACAAAGATTTCTGTTTATCTTGGTTAGGATAGGTTATACTGATTTTGGTTTATAAATGATCAAATAGAGTTTTAGCTTGTTCACTTATATTGAATAGGTATCAGCTATTAATTTTAGCTTCAATTATATTTATAATATTATTGATAGCAAATTTAAATATATTTTTGTGAGTTTTATTTTTTTTTCTTGTATTTATTATTTTAGTGTTTGTTTGCTTCAATTTTTCAGAAGATCTTTATTTCTTTTTAAGCTTCAATTAATTTCATTGTATCACTCAATTTAGTATTGGACACATAAATGTACAAGAATACTCTTATTTTTTAAATTATATATGCTCAGTTAAATACTACTACATTTTGTTTCAACCTGTTTTATGTACAACATTGTTTATTGGTATTTTTAATCATAAATCTAGAAATGTATAACCTCATATGACACCTTTTTAAACAATATTCATACTAATTGTACATAAGAGAATACTAATTTAGAAAATTGATTAAATAACAGTAAATATTTATGGTATAGATAAAAAAAAAATACATTTACTAGACTGTTTTATTATTATTTTATATTAAAATAAGTTTTATTTTATTAATATTGCATGAGGTTCAACATTTATATTTTTAATTTGTTAAGTTTAAGACTGATTTTTTTTTAAGGACATCCATATTACTTAGGGCCTACCTATTTTATATTACTTTGTATAGCTTAAATTAGTTGTTACTTAGTGTTCTATAACAATTATTGGTAATATTTGTCTTTTTTACATTTTTTTAATAATGTTTTATTGGAATTGTGTTGTTGTTAAACAACATAAAAATATAACTGTCTATATTGATGAAATTATGTTTCTTTTTTTATTTATATTTATATTATTCTTTTTATATAGTACGGCTGTAATATCCTTACTTTCTCGATTCAAGTGTTCATTATTTAAAATTAATTTATGAAAGTCTATAAAAGGGTATGAAAGAATTCATGATGTACATAGATTAATTGGTACATGGATATGTTTTACTCACAATACAATCATGTACGATTAACTGCTTTCCTAATAACAATTTACTTGATGATGTGTGACTTCCGGTAAGACATTTCCAACAATATTTTAGCAAGAATTCTAGCAATAAGATTTATCCATATCAATATTATGGATGAATAAAGTTGATCCTTATTTTAATAATTGAATCAAATTATTTTGATTATAATAAATTATATATTATAACTCCTGCTCAGTATAGTTCTGTCTATAGCAGAGTTCTTGCTTAATAACTACGGTTTTTGGTAGTTGCCGTGACTTTAATTTATAGTGATAAATATTAGTATAAATATAAATATTAGTCTGTGACAAGTAAATACTTGTCACAAACGACTATTAAAAACACGTAAACCCATGAAGAAAAGAGGGGCATAGGTAAATTGAGTCTCAAACGAATTTATCTTTTTTCGAAATAGGTAAACTGAGTCCTAATAATAATATTGAACTTGGTAAACTGAGTCCGACGTATAAAATTTAAAAAGGTAAACCGAGTCCCTCGTTTAACAGTTAAAGCGGCAAATTGATTGCCGTCTAAAATATTTAATGAATTCAATTTATTTAAATGTATTTAAATTATAAATATAATCGTTGATATAGTTATAAACTCACCGAGTGCGATAGGTAAGTGTATCTTACCATTACATCCAGTGGTTGAATTGGGGGGGGAACGCAGAGGGTCTGAGCTACTCTTCATTTTTCTTCATATTATAGCGTACCCCTTAATTTAATTCATCAAGGAACGCAAGGGACGCAGCGTCCTTCAACAATTATATGAATATGAATTTGTTTCTTAGAAAAATTAAATAAATATGAAAAAAAATTGGAAACGATTAATACTTTATTTAATTTTTGGTATTAGTTCGTAATCTGTTCATTATTATTAGCACATATGTATATTAGGAACGCAATAATAAAATATATAATAATGTTATATAATTTATGTAACACGTTTCAAGTGTTTCCACTGCGTATTAATTCGTGGTATAAACTGTTTAATTGCTAAAAATATAACTATTACGAAAACTTCCCTGGGTGTACCGACGATAACGATCCATAGTAAACCACTGACAATAATAATATATTGACTCCGTATTTTGAGAATCCGTCCGTTGTTTTAGTTATCGACGATTAACAAATGGTGATCGTTTTCAAAGAAAATTAAATATTATTTATATTTTATTTGGAAACGAGGCGCGCCACGAATGAGTAATCAGTATTATGTTAGCTTGTCGCGTACTAGCGTATGTAATTTATAAATTGTAATTTTGTTGAAAATAGTAAACACCTCAACCGCACCCCTACAGTCCTACACGTCACGTCAGCAATAAACAAATAAACATGAATAAACGTCAAAAATTATCCATATCGGACTTTTTCAATAAAAAGAAAAACAATGACCAAGGTAATTAAAACACTTTAATTTAATAATAAATCATAGGCGTGCGCAGATTCCTGTTACCGGTGTACTTTTATTTTTTTTTTGATAATCCACCCTCATAAATCCCGCCTTAAAAAAAAAAAATAGATATACAAAACATAAGTAAGTAGAAATAAAATTTATTAGAAAAACTGATGTACAATCTGATTATCAATGAACGTCAGTCCCGGCAATTTTTATTTTTTTGTAATTTGATAAAATTGATAAAAAAAACTTGATTTTCCAAAAAAAATTATTAGCCCTTTTTACTTAAGTACCTAGTACCTACCTAAAAAAAAAGTTAATAAATACAGTTAAAAGTTCCTTAAATTTTTTTTGGTCATACATTTTAAAGCAATACATATACATACCTATGATAAAAATAATTATTATTTAACTCTCAGCAAATCTTAGTCCTAAAAATAATGTGACGGGATGAAATAAATTATTTGACTAGTATTAAACTTCAAATATTAAAATTAATGTTGACAAAAAAAAATTAATATACTAATAAAAGAGTAACATTTATAATCTATAAATTTAATATTTACTTTTTGTAGGCAACAGTAAAATACATGAATTATTTTAAATTGAAAGTTAATTGATTAATTAATTTTATCATGTGGCTATATATTTACATTTTAGATTTTAAATTTGCTAGACGTGTTGCTGTGTTGATAGAATTAATACAAATAAATACCTATTAGTATTGTTTATTATTTGTTATAGATATCTGTGTTAATCATTAGATATATTTAATTATTTATATTGTAGATGCATTTAGGGGGTGGGGGGACAGAGTCCACCTTTATTTTTTTTTCCAATTCAACCACTGATTACATCGTTAAATATTATTATATTTCGCTCTGTATTACGCGACATTTTTATAAGTACCTAACTATGTACAACAACGCTGAGTTATATGTGATAACTGATAAATGTAAGTTAAATGTACGTAGTATATAATTGTGTTATAATTAAAAATGTGTTAAATAAAAAAACGGCATATCACTATATTTCAAATTACTTATTTAATTTTTATACAAGGGACTCAATTTACCTTTTTTTTTTTTGTGGGGTGGGACTCAGTTTACCTTAAATTAATAAAATGAAACTCAGTTTACTAAACCCGGAAAAGATATCTTTATGCTTCAAGCGTATACCATTTTATTATATTTTATTTTAGTATTTTGAATAACATTACTATATATATATATATTTTGGTTCTTTGATTAGAGAAGAGTATATGAAAATTCACTACATGTGATATTATTTTCAATGTGGGTTCTATCCGAAGGCAAATTGTTTTAATAAACTATAGTTATAAATGTTTTGAATAACGTATTTATATATTTTTATTAGGTACCTCTTCATTGAAAAACTGGTGCTCGTGAGTTCGCGCACGATTTAAGTGAGACATGTTCTCCGTTTTGGGACATGCTAGCGATTAATGTCGGGGTAACCGATTGGGTTTTCGTCGTAAATTTTTCATAAAATGTTGTTTAAATGTTTTTAATTAAGGACAGTCGATTGGGGCAATAAATATGATCGGTTTTATGTTAGTGTCTGTTTGAACTTTTGTACTTTTTGCCTGATAATTTGATCACTCGAAGCTTCACTATATTTACTAGAAACCGTTATTATAAAAACTGTGTGTTCCTTTTTGAAACAAAATGCTTATCCACAAATACATACTACCTGTACCGACCTATGTAATATCTCGAACAATCACATTTGATCTTTTTCATTTTGAACTTACGTAGGTATAATAATTATAACATTATGTCACCGGTTGACGTTAATGAATTCGAATATTTGTTTTTGTATGAATTAACTAAGTTCGTAGTGTATACAAGGTATAGGAATACTATTATGAAACTGTTCGAAACACGTGTGTAAGTACACATCATACCAGCGCATGAGGCAGTCGCTTCCCTCCATGGACTTTTTTTTTCAAAATGGTATTGATTATTTATATCCAGGGCCGTCATTAAGGGTAGGCAGTGCTGGCATTTGCCAAGGGCCTCGCGCTTGTAGGGGCCTTGCAATTCCTACTTATATTTGATAGCAAAATATTATTCAAAATTATTACATATATTTAGTTTTGTATTGATATTATTTTTTAATCAAATGATACAATGAACATTACAACATTTGTATTTTGTATGATGAAAAACATTATGCTGTTGAGTTTTAATTTATATATTGGGTATTGTAGTATAATTTAAATTTAATGCAGTACCTACCTAAAACATTATTTTTAGTATATTATTATCGTTGTAAACGTCTGCAGCCCACACTCCACCAGTGCCAGGTTAAGATAACATAATAATATCGTAATTAATGACTAACCAGTGCGACAATATGCCGCGTTATACGCACGTGGATATTAATAGCTGTTAGCTTTATATATTTATCTACATAGGCGTCAGGTTTTCAAATATGTATTGGGTGCTTTTACCAATGTCAAATAATGGTGCATGCAGGGTTGTAGGGGAATAAAAGGTTTCACCCCCCCTCGAAATTTCTCCGAGGCCTAGTATAATGTTAGGGCTATATAATATTTATTTCTATAGTAAATTATTAATAAAATAACACCCCTCCCCCCGAAAAAAATCCTGTGTGCAACTGACGTCAAGTATTAGTGAGGGGCTTTTCCCCTCACTCCCTATACTAAATTTTCTATAAACTGGTAACTTGGTAACTGCAAGACCTTTGTCACTTTTATAAAATTGATGATGAACATAATACAAAAAGGTTATCTCATCGATACAATGGCTACGACTACGAACAAAATATATTGTACTGTTATATGATTACGACTCACAACTGTTTGTTTTTGTGTATTATCCACGATTTAAGATAATATCTATATAATATATTACATCTTAAGTCGTGATATTATCTTATGAAAATACCGGGAGAAATCAAAATGTACAGAAAAAACGTGCATCCAACAAAAGAAAAAATTTTTTTTCTAATTTTGACTTACGAGGTTTTGCTGTGTAGCCGCTAATATCATACAATGAACGTGGTGATAACGACGGTTTACCTATTATAATTAATATATTGATCATGAATATTTTCAATGGGTGCTCGAGCAACCATGTACTTGGCGCCTATGTATGTAATATATAATCATAATATGTAATGTTAAAAGCCAATGGACTAAGATTTGCTGATAATACAAAGATCATAACCAAAAATTTAGAAAGCGTCAATACACTGGTCAAAATTACCAAAGACTTATTTTCTTCAGTGGGAATGCAAATCAATCCATCAAAATCTTACGCAACTAATATCAAAAAAAGATAGGTGTAACTCCAAAAATAATAAAATTACTAGATTCTTCCAAAATTCCATCGATCGATGGAAATAATTGCATTAAATACTTGGAAATAAATTTTAAAGATAAAATCGTTTTTGATCAGAAGCAATTTCTTATAAATCTAGAAAACGATTTAAAAAATCTTTTCACCTCTCCTCTTCCAAAAGGTGAACAAAAAAAAAAAAAATCAACATTTTGAACCAATACGCCAACCCGAAACTTATCTACTTCCTGCAAACAACACCTGTAAACCTTTTAAAGGTAACACTAAAATATTCTGTCCAGTGACATCGAATTGATATGCGGTTTTCAGGGGGAGATAGAAAAATGTCTAAATACACATTTTTTCGATAGTTTTAAAATTGTTAACTCTTTTATTGAGCACATGCGCATCACAGCTTGCATTTTTTTTCAATAGAAACACTTAATTTTAACAACAGATTTGGATAGACCGACATTTTTAAGACAATTTGAACCATTTTACCAAAGCTCTAAAACCAAAATGAACTAAATGCCAATGAGTTAAAGTTTCAATTAATATCACAATTTGTGTCATGAATGTGAAAGAATCAATTAACTCTGAAAATTATAGAAAATTTGATTCACATAATTCAAGCCATGTTATAATCAATTCGGAGTGACATTAAAAAAACAAAAAACCGATGATTTTAATTTAAAAAATGTAAAAAAAATAATTAAACAAGTTTTTAGAATTTTATTTAAATCTTATTAAATTCATTAAATATTAGTGTACTTTTTTTGTTTTAACTACATATTAAATAAAATGATTGTATTGTTTATTATGATTATGTAAATTATTGAAATAATACTGCATATACATTATTTATAACAATCATTATTCCATTAATATTATTTGTTTGCTCTGTCAAACTTTATTGTTATTATATATTTAATACTTGTCGAGTAAAAGTAGGGAAAATTAAAATATATAATTTACAGTATTAGTGGCTATAATATTATAGCTAACTATATGACTATTTATATATTTGTATTATTCCATCAATGAAACTGATATTATAAAATTCACACAATTGCATTGGTGTCGTACAAAATTAAGTGTTCGCGCCAACGGACCTTACTCAGGCGTACGTCGGACACTGGGTCCTCCGGACCGTCGTGAGAATAATAATAATAATAATAATAATGATATTAAATGATTGATATGTACAAAATGATATTAATTGAGCAACAAGTATACAAATGATTGTTATGAGAGCGCATATACGAGCCAATATATTATGGGCGAGACGGGGAACACCGTACCGAAGGCCGGAGCTGGCGATGGATGGCGATTGATGAGCACTGACCCTGCCGTGCGGAGCTGCTGGTGTAAGTCCGGTACTGGAACCACGTGGTTGCCCGTACGGCCGCAAACTGGGTGATGGTCGGAGCTGGCGATTATTGAGCTGCGTGAATATTGTTACGTATATGTTCGACCACAATGGTGTCGAGAATAACGGCCAGCTCTGGCAACCGGGAACAAAAACAATAGCACGTCGAACATCGTGTGTGTGTAATGCTTCAGAGAGAAAAACAGAACAGATAACGATCAAAACGACCGTTAGCGGCGGTGCACGCGTCGTCGACCGGACCAGGGCGACGGCTATGCAGTGTCGCCAACTTCGCGGGTGACGGAGCGTGGTCACTTTCTTACTCAGGTCCAAGACCGGGGGCAATTCAAAATACACAAAATGATCGAACATTATGAAATGAGTCACCAATAATTGTAGTTATTTGAAATATTGAATATGAATACTTACGAGTATGTGACGTATAACAGTAACGTATAATGACAACAATGTGAAGTTTAGTTATTGTTAATAGGTATATATGATATACATAAACCACCCATATATTTTTCTAGTCAAAATGGAATAAAAAACAAATTTTTTTTATCTTTGATTTAATAATTATTAACAAAATTAAGTACTATTATGGTTTTAAGGAACAAATAAATAAGATTAAGATTAATTACACTAATTTATTAGAATGTAACTCATTTTTATTATTAACAAATTTTTTATACATATATTGGAAAAGCGTCTACTTAAAGAAAACGGTCAATGATAACTGTAACATTGAAATAATAAGCTATGAAAAATAATTTTGAGTTAGCGCTGATATTGCGGTGTTTATATATTATATATTTTATTAGTGTAGTTATTTATCCCGATACACCACACACAGCCCCTGTCATTCACCGTCGTCACCCGTTATACCATCCACTATGCTGTATAACAGTGTATACACATTGCATGTACAAATACTTGTTAAATAAAATAGAAACAATAATTCATCAATACATTTAAATTGACCATCGTTTTTTTAACTTTAATAAACAGGACCTTTTAGTATCCCGAAGATTCCCTGGGGGACAACAGGATGTATGGTCCTAACCTTATAGAAAACAGATTTTCTCACTGTTGATTTTTATTGATTTATTGATGAAAATTACCTCAATACCTATTCTGTGAACCCAATCTGGATAACATTTTCAATTAAAATTTTTTAAACAGATTTACAACCTGAAAAGTGTTAATAGATTTGAAACAGCAAATTTTATGAAAATAATAAGAAATGATGAATTTTAAACATGGATTTGTATTGTGATACATTTATTTCCCAACCTCTCCTGTTTTTTCAACTTCTTGCTTCCTTGTACATTTTTAAGAATCACATTAGTAATTTAAACGAATAAAACATAATTGTCATTCTTTTTAATGGTTTTAATATTTAAGACGAGTCATTTGTAAGAATTTAAATAATTTATCATGGTTATATATTTTTCTTATTTTATAATAATCTTTCATTCCACGTCTTAGTCCATAAGTGTGTTGCAGTTGCTATATATACACAACAATTATATTATAAAATCTCAGTTGAAAATGAAAACAAATATAAGTTAAATAAATAAATATTTATACCATCTGGTTAATGCCTGTTTGATAAATTGTTTAATTATATGTGTGAAATGTATTGTTATTTACGTGGTTAAATAAATATAAACAGCAATACCTTTATTATACAATCTTTATTGATATTTAATAAAAAAAAAAAATTATTCTACGAGCACAATTTTGTTTCCTCAACTTGGATTATTTAAATATTTATTTCACGAGCAGTATGCATTAAGCATTGATTCAAGCGTTTTCGTGTACATAACAGTTGAACAAAATTCGGTGCAACACGATTGTGCAAAAAATGTGTAACACGATTCTGAGTGTAATAGATCGTTGCATTTATTCAATAATTGTCTTTTGAAGGAGGCAGTCTTAGATTTTCTATCGTATCTTATCGCAATATTTTGCATTTTAGAACAAATAAATAAATAAACGGCAATCGATTCAGGCTTGGAAAACACCTGACAAATATAAATGTATTTATTTTTTAGTTAAATTCAAAAAGTCAACCGTAATATGTTGATCTGACAACATTTAAAATACCTACCATTTCAAAGAGTAATTTAATTGTATATTCTAAATGATCAACAGTCGTAATGTTGGATATCAATTCTTCTGTTGATGCCTCGAAATTTATTGAAGTAACAGTGCTCATCAATGACTTAATTACACAAAATTCATTATGAAATAAAAACTTCAATATTGTACACAATCATTTAAAAACCAAAGGACACAAATAATATAAAATTTAAGTTGCTAAAATATCAAACATTAAAACATACAGAGCTTTACTTTTAATATGGTAGACGTTTCAGTCAATTCAAATGAATTTGTTTTGTAAGAGTTGATCTAAAGAAAAAAATTCCAATAAATAAATAAAAAATAAATTATGTGTCAGACGAGATTAAAATAATATTTTACCGTAGTCTTAATTAAAATCGATTGTCCTGAGTTCATCCTTTCCTCAAAAATGTCCTATTAAAAAATTGTAAAATAATAAATACTTAAAATCCCTCACAAAAATGAAAGATAAAAGTATCTAAGAAAATTATTTCTCACTTTTAGGGTACCTAATATTGAAATCGTTTGTGATGAGCTACTCGAATTCTCAGAGAATACCTGAGTTAGACAAAAGTTATAATAACACATAGCTTGGAAATAATCATTAGAATATAAAATTGAATAGGTAAAAGAAAAAAGTAATCTAATCCCAATCAATATAATACCAATGATTGATTGAACACGGAGTTCTCTTCCGAGTCTTTAGTCGGTCCAATGTTCATTTGATTTGTATTCCCTGATTCCATAAGAAATTAATTAGATTTTTGTTCTAGCACTTCATACGAAAATATTAATCTAAATTTATTACCATTTGATAAAGATGTTGTTGAATTCTGGTAAAATGGATTCTTAATTTCATTATTTAAATTTTGCAACAATCTATTGTTCATCCTACATAAGACTGATGCGTGTGGCCTCGGTCCCACATAGGGGACTAACTGATTTTTGTAGATATTCATCATCCTAAAATATATATTATGATTAAGATGATATTTTTTGTAAAATCAATGATTATTCAGATATGCTTACCGACTGTCGTTTACGACTGAATGATGGTTGGATTCATTTATTTTTCCAGGTAGTTTTACTAAAAGGAGCCTCCATTGAGTCTGTAAAAACGGATGGTTTAGTTATTATTGGAATTATACGAAAGCATTTAAAAAGTTGTAATTACCAATTCATTTACTGTATGATGTGTTCTAATGAATTTCAATAACTCATCGGATATGATTAATCTATTATTCTTGCTATTTGATGGGGTTGTTTCTGAATTCTTGTAAAATGGATTCTTAATTTTATTATTTAACATCTGCAACAATCTATTGTTCATCGTACATGAAACTGATGGGTGTGGCCTCTGTCCCACGTACGGGACTAACTAATTTTTGTAGATATTCGTCATCCTAAAATATATATTATGATTGACAAGTTGACTGGCTTGAGTATTATATTTAACTCTCACGAGTCGAACACGAGAACGTCAATAGTTTTATATCATACTTGCATTTTTCGCTTTGAGAATTAAATTTAACTCTCAAAGAATTAGTTCTCCACGCTACGAGAGTTAAAAATGATTCTTATTTGTTTATTGAGTTATAATAGACAAAAGTTTTTTTTAACTCTTATTTTGTTTCATATTCGGATAGAGGAGAAAAAAACATGTATTATGACAAAATACCATTTCGATACTTTTACTATTTAATAAGTAGCAGTATTTTAAAAATTACAAGTTAATTAAGATATTAAGTACTTTATTTTATATTAAATTCTTCAACCTATAATACTATAATTATTACTTTAACATATTGACAATACCTCTTTCATCCAAGTTATTCAAAAATAAGTTATAGTATCACGCATAAAAACATAAAAATCACAATATATTATATGCAATAAGTACAGAAGAACATACATGACTGACGACACACTTGATATCATATCGCTAATTGTATAACATCGTGATCAGTAATATGTTCAAAACAAAAATAATAAATACAATTGATTATAAATACTAGTAGGTATCTATAGAAACTGTCTAAATATATTGTAATAGGCTACGAGAGTTAAATTAAACTCTCACTTATTTTAATATTAAAACCCACTTAAATCGATAAATATTATCGTTAAAATTGATTTGTAGCATCAAATACTATTTTTATAACCAAAAAAGCTCAAGCCATACTATGGTAAACTAAAATATTTCAATCGGCGCCGAGGCAAAAATATTTGAGTATTAAATTTAACTCTCAAAGCCTGTAAAATGATTTCACTGAAAATTTCTTGCCAGTCAACTTATTAAGATGATATTTTTTGTAAAATCAATGATTATTCAGATATGCTTACCGACTGTCGTTTACGACTGAATGGTGGCTGGATTTATTATATTGTCCAGGTAGTATTACTACCAGGCGCCTCCATTGAGTCTGTAATAACGGATATTTTAGTTATTATTGGAATTATACAAAAGCATTTAAAATTTTGTAATTACCAATTCATTTACTGTATCATGTATTCTAATGAATATCAACAACTCATCGGATATGATTAATCTATAATTCTTGCTATTTGATGGCGTTGTTTTTGAATTCTTGTAAAATGGATTCTTAATTTCTTAACCTCTAATATAATCACGAATCACTCTTTTCGTAAATTAGTTTTAATATATCTAAATTATGAAATTCAACAACGCGTATGAATGCATTGTACTAAATTAAAAATTACAATTTTAAAACTGAATATAAATTAATTGACATCAATGTACAAAAATTATAATCATACTTGTCAAGCAAATTATCTAATAAATACTTAAGTAATGTTATTTGTATAAATTGAACTATCATTTTTAATTCTTAATAAATACAATAAATATATTTAAATTAAAAAATAATTTTTATACATAAATAATATTTTTCTTAAAATAATAGTATGCAGGAAGAAAAAAAACAGGTAATTTTTGGTACATTACAGTGGTGTCTATAGTGGGGGGGTCATAGTGGGCTATAGCCATCCCCCTCAAATGTTTTAAAAAACTTAAAAATTATTTTAAACGTATGTCATATTTTAATGGTGCTTTATGCTTATTTAGAATTTGCGTCCAATGTCAAATCATTTTGGGCCATTCTGTAAATGAAATGTAGATAAGTACCTACTGTGTCTTGTTAGTAATTATTAGATAGCAATGGTAATTTAACTCTGTCCATAGTAGCCCCTCCCGAAAATTTTTTCTGTATCCGCCTCTGGTACGTTACATTAAAAAAACTTCCCACCACTGCTCTAGTATGTAATCATAAATCTTAATAAACTTGATATATATATATATATTCAAGTAATTCAAATATAAATAATTTGAATGGTTTTCATGGTACGTTGTGCCATTTATTATAAAATAAATTTATATTCTACGAAAGGTGATATTGAATAAAATTAACGCAAGTACATTTGTTATGTTTTTGCATAGGTAGATAAAAACAAGTATTAGTATTTGTAATAAATAAATTATTACTACAACATGTATTTTTGTGTCTTAAAGGGGTTTAATTTTACTGAAAATGTATTGTATTTATATTAATTTATATTATTGAAAATATCTGTCAACTGTCAGTGCATCAATAAATAGGGATAATATGGACAACAGAATTTCACTTCTTAACCCTCATAACCATCGGGCCGACGATATAGACTTACATGTACCTTAATTGAGAGAAGCAATTGGTAATTAAAAACTTGATTCAACCAATACATCTATAAGAACTATTCACAACAATACAATTATCCAGTAAGTTGTATTTTATTAACTATTTAATGCCTATAATTATTTGTACTTATACATTCAATTTAGACAAACATATTTTTTTTTTTTTTTAATAATTTAAATTTTGATTTATGTTGTCTTAAAATGCACAGAGGCCTCTTGTAATTGAACCCTCTTGAACCCGTCTATGATAGTGTTCACATCATAGTTCATGAATGCAGAAGTTGCAAAGGTACCTAATTATTTTTCATCAGCAATTATTTAAATACGTAAGTAATATTTTGTGCAATCGAATAAATGTAATTCGTAAATAAATTATACTGGTTTAGAATGATAAGTTGTCTACATGGTTTGTTCTATTTATAAATTTATTTATTTTTTATTTATAAAGCTTTTGGAAATACTATTAAATTCGATAATTATAATCAAATACATCGATACATACTAATTAAATTAGTAGGTAGTAGAAAGAATAAAGAAAAAAAAAACAAAGATTTCAATCTTGATAATTGTTTGTTATGAATATAGATGGTAATTTATTATACGTTAAGTGTTCTGCAGTACGGACAAACATATTTTTTCCAGATCACTTCGCTGCAGGCCATGGTTCTCGAAGAAGTCCTGCAGAAATTTCAATGCGGTTCCGCGTGCGTCGAACCAAAGCCCAAATACTTCCCACTCTCCTACTCCGTAGAGGTAGTTCAGGTTGGGTGTGCACGCTAGGTATATAACCTCTCTTCTCTTTGTGCACATTGATGTCTTGTTGTTCGTCGTTGGTTTCCCAACGAATCGTGGGGTCTAAGATCATCTTAGGCCTCGTCCGTTCCTTCTGTCTATCACTATGATATCAGCCCTTCTGTTTTGAGTTGCTCCTTCATCAAGTGCTGCACAGCACACATCTTCGTGTACTTCGAAGTTTTTGCTCTAAATAAGTTGGTCAGGGTGGTACGGACTTTGTGATGGGCATTGTTGCGAAGAAGTTCAGTCTTGGGGCAGGATCTTCGAATGTGGGGCAAGATTTCAATTATATTATTCTCATTGCATGCTAGATTCCTGCAATGGGGATTGCCGAAACTCCTACCTCCTGTTCCTCGGTTAGACATCGAGTTCATCGATGCTTTAATAGCGTTTGTCCACTCACCACTTGAGAGCCCGCCTTTTTTTGATATCCAAGCGTTAGTCGTAGTACAACTGCTATACCATAGTACGACTATTCCCCTTTGCCTCAACTCTTTCCACTTATTGAATTCATCACAGCTTAACTCAGTGAGAATCGCGCGTGGATTTAGGCCGGTTACAGGACCTAAGCATGCGCGAGATTGTGCTTCTTCTTAGCGTAGATCGCGAACTACTAGTAGGTGTGGATCAATGACTAACTATTAATTAATAACTATTAATGTTATAAAACTAATAACTATTAGGTGCTTGTGTTAAATGATCGGCGAGCCATGAATGCAATAGGTATACCTAAAATAAACTTTGAATACAGACAATGATATCGCTTTTATCTCAGTTATCGGGACCACTTGACCAATTTAGAATCAACCGTTGTAGAAAACCTAAATAATATGTTCTCAAGCAAAAATTATCAAAGTAGTAGTAAAGTATCTAAATATGATCATAATATTATGACGTGTGTGTGTGTGTCAGAGGCGTATTTATGGAGGGGCCGAGGGGCTCGGGTCCCCTCTGAAATGAAAAACACCATTGTTAAGGATTGTTATTTTTAACGTGGATATGTCTTAATGCTGGGGATTTCGAAAATTTGTCGCGACACTGAGAATGTTGCTTATGCGATAATTTAAAATTTTATATTGAATTTTGAGTGACTCTAATAAAATATTTGTCTATTACAATGTAGTTTTTATACTTTTAAAAAATAATAAATCATTAAAACAATTGAGTTTTTTATTTCTCTGATGGTGTAAAGACAGTCGAGAAGTCTTATAGCGTTAAAGTAATTTTTTTTTTGTAATAGTGGGCTTCCTCCTTCCCTTCCATCCAAGAGTTTTTTAGTTATAGTCTATATTTAAAAGGTAATTATTAAATTTTATAAATATAAAAACCATGTTTTTTCTATTTTTTTATCGTTATAATTTATAAGTTTTTACTTTTTAGAATGACAATATACATATTTATAGATAGGATGTTAAGTCAATAAAAAATTTGGCTGCCTAAAAATTTTGAAAATTTAATACAAGGTTTTTTATATAAATTTGACACGGTTCATGAATACGTATACAACTAGTTTACGTAATGAGCCAATAATCTTATAGTTAATAACCATTCTGTCCACCTTACAACAATATATTATATCTGTTGAGTATTATGTGAAGCGACAAGAATTGAAAAAACGACCAGATATTTGATGTGTAGGTACCTGCGTGTTCCGCACTTTTTTATATCCGAGTTTTCCACACTCCCGTATTCATACCCCCATAAGCTTCATATAAAAATTATTAGATATTTTTTTATTTTTATATTGTCATTATTTATATAATGGTTGAGTAGAATATAATAAATTTATATTTTAAATTTCAAAATAAAGTGTTGTGAAATTTGTCGCGAAATAAGTTACATACTTGTATACTACCCCGCTACATACTGAAATTAGTTTTACCTATCGCAATTAAAAAAACTACTTATATAAATATTATATACTAACTTTAACAAAAATTAATATAGTGATTTGCCAATTAATATTGTTGAGAAACACTCAAGTCTGGTTACTCCAAAAAATACAAATACACCACTAAGTCAAAAGTCAAAAGTAATCAAATCATCGTCATTTGAATCTGTTCAAGAAAATTAAACTGAATTGTTCGAATATAGTTTTAATACTGATTATAATAGCGAGGATAATTCTATAATTGCCGAGTATGTCATTATTTGTTTTATTAAAAATTATTTGCTTTTTATATAATTATCAGTGACGGTGCTAGAGTTTGCGAGGCCCTGGGCTAAATAAATTTTGAGCCTTATAATTTATATTAATAAAATATTATAAGTTCAGAACCATGGGGCCTTAATTATAATTTAAGTCACGGGGCTCTAGGCAACTGCCCCTATTGCCCTCCTCTCGCACCGTCCCTGATAATTACATATATATATGTGTGTGTGTGTGTGTGTGTGTGTGTGTGTGTGTGTGTGTGTTTGTGTGTAAAAGTCTTGAAGGCCAGAGAATTGTGGATATTAAATATTTGTTTGATCAAATACAAAATAGTAGACATGAACATTTTTATTTTTTATTTTTGAATATGGTTTTTCAATCAGAATGTCGTAAAGGATACATGTCTGTATTTAATTTTCTGTGTAAAATGTGTAATATCAGTTCATATTTTACTTCTGAAAATATTCAGTATACCAATAATTATTTGTCTATTGATAAAGCTATTGTAAATGGCAGTTTAGCAATTGGTACAAATTTTTTTGTTCTAAAACTAATTTCAATTGTAATTAATTATTTATAATATTTTTAAAGGTACTGGTCATACGCAACTTAGTGAGTTGTCAGCATCTATTGAACTTCCTTCTTTATCATCAGATCTTATTTAAAGAATTTGTCTGTTATGAGCAATTCTATTTTAGAAACTGCAATAGATGAAATGATGATAATGGTACACCGATATGTATTGTAGTAGTAGATGGCCAACGGTCGAAGAGTTCGTACAAGACTAAGTATAAATAATTTTCTGGAGCAGTAAGAAATAATAGTTTTTACATTTTTTATTACTTTTAAAATATATGACAATTATAAATAATTATATATAAAATATGAAATATAATAATTAAATAATTATGCTAATAAAAAGCTTAATAATTGTAAATAACTTTACAGGCTACTATTATCGGTTATAATACAAAAAAGGTGTTATTCGTTGGAATTCGTAACAGATACTGTTCCGTTTGTGAACGAGCAAATAAAAATATAAAGGTGTCAAATTCATAAATGTTTTTTTAAATTAGAAAAAAATCATCAACGGTAATGGAAGCAGACGAAATAATCGAAGGATTTATTAACAGTATGAGTATGCATGGTTTAAAATACAATAAATTGATTGGTAAGTTAAATTATAATTTCCATTTTCTAAATTATACTTATTAATTTTATTTTTCAGGTAACGGTGACAGTAGCGTCATAAAACGAATAAATTAAGTTGTGCCATATGGACCAGATTTTAAAATTAAAAAAGTCAAATGCAGAAATCATCTACTGTAAAATTATGTGATGAAATTGAGTGCCCTTACAAAAAAAACAGAATATCCTATTATTTTCCGTAAATTTATAATCAACAATATTCTGCGATTTCGGTCTGATATTATGAAATCAATTAAATATCATTTGAGCACAAATTTAACACTTCAGCAAAAAACCGTAAGTGAAGATTAAAAACATATAAAAATAATTAATAATGGTTTGTTAATAATTTTATTTGAATAATTTATTTAGAGCTAAGAAAAGACATAAAAAACTCACCATACCACCGTCTCGGTCAACAATTGTGCTTCTTACTTTTGTACGGGACCAAAAGTTGGTGATATAAATTTGGTTCCGGAGGCAGAAAAAACTGGTTTAATGACTGAAATTCGTAATATAGTTTGTAGGCTAGTTCTAAACTCTGATAGCTTGATAGAGGAAGTCGATAATAACTCGTGTGAGCAGTCTAATTCCATTATTAACAAACATATCGGAGACAAGCGAATTAATTTTACTCAAGGTAATAATTATCAAACACGAGTACAAGCTGTTATTGTCGCATATTATTCGAGAAATTACACGCGAATAATACATAAGAAAATTATGCTTAAAAGCCCTGGTAAATTATTTAAAAACATTTATTTGTACATAATATGTAAGTAGTAATAAAATATTTTTACAATAGGAAAATTGGCTAAACTGCATTCGAATAATATTGACCGTATACGAAATAATACAACAATAAGACGACGAAAATTTTTTACTGTTTAAAACCCAAAAGAAAATATAAACTGCCGGACAAAGACTATGACTTAGCAGAGTCTTTGGATGATGCTCAAAGTCTCAGCCCAGAAGATTTTGCCGAAAAAAAAAAGGCAGGGGTGTTATTATTGGTACCTATACGCGGATATACAGCGTATTCACATCAGCAGGTTATTAGCAGTTAGCAATTATTATTACATCTAGTGCGTTCATCATTTTAAATTGACGTGAACATTTTCCAATATAATTTCCTTGTAGAATTTTTTCATGACAGGCCCATCCTATATTATGATATCCAAGGTATCATTACACGTTTCGGCTAAGTGACATTATCATGTATTGAAATTATACTTTAAGAGGATCTCAAGTTTTTCTAAAAACATCCTAATTAAATCGGGTGTTAAATTAACATTAAATTAACATTTAAGTGCGAGGCACGTAATAATATGCTGTATCGGGCGCCGCGAGAGATTTGGTGAAGGGAGCCGCGTTGGAGAAACCGGAGAAACCAATGTAGTGCGTTAATATCTAATTAAGTGTACGAATGATAATGTCATTGATAGTTCAGGAGCCGTGGGATGAATCAGTTTGATGAATACCTCGGCCATAATTTACAATATAAGTTGTGTTTTCAAACGGAAACTGTGTACTATAGTAAGTTAATAGTTAAGCCACCATAGCTTTTGAGAACCTGTTTCAGTTAAAAATCAGTTCAACAATCCGACCCAATCAATCACAGTCTTAGAACGAACAGAATAATAGTCATTATTTTAAATTGAATGTTATATGTTGTACACGTCAAACCATGTAGGCCAACCACTTGCGTTTACTTATTACGTTTTTAGTTCATTTTATTTCAAGTATAATAACATAGAAGCATCTGAGTCTTAAGTTTTTGTGCATTTATAATTTTCTGAAATCGCTGATTATTTAATCATAACTTTCAGGCATCAAGGTTCTAATCGTTGTAATCGTTGTCGTCATGTATCTCGTGGGCAGCAAAATTGAATAATTATGCTTCGTTTCAAAAACACACAATTCGATGACTTGATGACAAATTAAGTTATCAATTATTATGAATTTATTATGAATAAGTATTAAATCATTATTTTGTATTTGCAATTGTTTTATGCAACAGAAAAGTATATTATTTTATTTTTTTTTATAACGTTTAAGTTTAATTTGGTTATCACTATAATTTATTTTAGCGTTAAAATGACATACGAGTTCTGGAAATTAATTATACAGTGTGTTTCTTTTTAAATGTAACACTAAATAATTCTGTCCAGTGACATCGGATTAATATGCGGTTTTCAAGAGGGGATAGGGAATACATAAATACACATTTTTTAATGATTTTTACATTTTTTTATCTTTCCATGTGCGCATGCGCAATACAACTTGCATTTTTTTAAATGGCAACAGGTGTTTTAAATACCAAATTCGGATAGACCGAATTTTTTTAAGTCGATTTGGTCCTTTTTACCATAGCTCTAAAATCAAATTTGACTAAATGGCAACCAGTCAAAGTTTCGATTAAAATTATTGAATTTTTCACCAATCATACTAGAATTTTATGAATTATTATGAAATTTTATTTATTATTTTTGTATCCGTAGGTTTGCAGATATTATTAAATCATTTAAATTTAATAATTCTGGATAGAATTATTTAGTGTTACCTTTAAAAGGAAACACACTTTATATATAAGGACTTCACAACTGAAAAAAAAAAACATTATTGTTTTATTGTATAAAAATGTAATTTAAAAAAGAATGATTTTGGTGGCCTGAAAATTGTTATCGGACTTTTACTTAAGTGTTTAAATAAAAATTACGTTTTACACGTGAAGTCATTAAATCACACTGTCCGACAGGCTGTACGGAAACGATGGTCCGACAACAATTTTTAGACCACAAAAATATTTTTTTTATAAAGCACTATATTTTTACGAAATAAAACAAAAACTGTTTTTTTTTTCAGTTGTGTAATTTTTTAAGAAGCACGGCTGGTAACATAACTGTAAGTGATCGTACTTTGTGATAAAATCTATAGCAATTTAGCCAGCATTACTAATTTGCATTGATGGCTTTGTTTTGAATATTATTTCTTCTTAACTTTCATGAGTGTTCGTTTTCGACGTTGTTACACAAAACTCCTTAAATATTTCAGGCAGATAGCGTGGCATTTGGATATTGAACTTCAGTATTAGGTCGCCTCTCTCATCATTGCTCGTTCCGAATACAGGCATCCCTTCGCCCCGGACGATCTTTTGATACGTCGGTCTATTATTTCAAGAGCATACAGACAAAAGCATCGTTAGAAAACAGTGCCAGAAAAAATATTAATATTGAAATATTGGTACACGAAATCCAATAGAAATGCCGTGAATTATATTGATCGTAAAATAGTTTATATTTTATGCATAACCCGTGTGACAAACATTGCAATACTCGTAAAATCAACACTGACCTCCACAGGGGCGAATAGGACCACCGGAATATCAGGATTTACCCGGTGAGCCGCTGCTTATATTGATGAAAATGGGCCGATAAAATATATTACTACTAATACTATTATACATGTACATATATACAAATAAAAGTAATTAATTATAATACTGATAATATATATTAAAATCTATAAATATCATAGTAAATTCCTTTAAAACGAAGAAGAAAAAGTATTTACAGTAGTATTACATAATTTTAAATGTAATTTTTTTATGTATTATATTAATTGAATGATCAAAAATTAAAAATTCAATTTTATTCAAAATTTTGAGTGCAAATTTTTCTTTCTTTATGCATATTTTAACATATTAGTGTATACTTGTGCATGTTAAAGATCTTTTAGCGCATATTTGATTAGCTTTTAATGCATATAATTCCGTGATATAATGATAACTGATTGTTCAGATTTAAATTAATATAGTCACAAATAAAACCCCACGGCAAAGTTGAATACTGATATATCATGTTTTTCCACAATAATTATACGTAAATCATGTAAATAGTATAATATTGCTAAAATGTTGTATAACCAGGTATGCTTCAAAACGAATTAAAAAAAAAAAAGGAGGTGCAGAAAATAAAAGAGATAAAAATCGTAGAGTTGTTAGAAGAGAGCATAACATGTGTAAAATTGGATACTATAATATATATTATAATTTTAAATATTATTTAAGAACGTCGAAAAAAAAGGCGGTGATTGCCAACCCGGTTCTCTCAAAGTTAAGGTAATTGTTTAGTTGGAACTTGAATATAATCATGCGGGCCGCTGTATTCTATTTTTCCCGGGCCGATCAGATTATGCCTATCCGCCCTTGGGCTTCGATATTTTTAGTTAAAACACATTTTTAAAGATTTAATCCTAATCATAACTAATTTTAGTCCTAACATAATTGTACGCAAAGAACAGGGACGGACTGGGTATCGAGGGGTCTGGAGGATTATTCAATTAGACCTATTATTATCATATTTTAACTAACTAATATTTTCAGTTAATACTGCTCAATTCACCTTTTTTGAAATTTTGTACAATTATGTTTTATATAAATAAACAAATGTATATTACATTTTTGTATACGAGTATATGTTATTTGCATTAATGCGACACTATCGAGAACCCGGAAGATGATTTCCCCTTTGTCTTCCTGGTCAGACCGCCTCTGGTAAAGAATAATATTATATATTATATATATACTAGTATGTACTCGTATTTCTAACGTGTACGTCGGTGTTTCCATGCACCGTAACTGCAGTAGTCTATAGAACGAGCATTAATTGCAACGTGAAACACCGGTTTGTTATTTTTAATCATATAATAATATGTAGCTTCTAGTTTTTGTCATTTTTTACTCGGTAGGGGAGGAAGTCGTGTGTCCCTAGCAGGAGCAATCCAGCAGAACGGGTAGGTGGCCACACCCCACAGGCTCTCCAAAAATGTTATGTTTGGGCCTCAACCTAAAATTGCTCATGTGACACGAGTCGCTTGTTTGTTATTTTGTAAAACTTATACCTGCCCGGGCATTCGGATCCTCGGTCAGCCCCTGGTCCCTAGTAATATTAATCTACGTGATTTCTAAGTAGTAGAATATTTCAAGTGTTTGTTTCGGTTTTAACGTTACAATGATGTTGGTGAACAAAATTACTATCGCAGAACAGACGAAAATATTCGTGTAGATAAAATTGATGATAATGTTGATAATGAATATATCGTGACCAAACTATAAGGTTCGGGTTTGGGTACATGGTTAACTTCGTTATGTTTTTTCCCATTCGTTTTTATTCATCGTATACGTACGTTATCATTTGTGTAATGTTCACTCTCAGTAGCTTGTGATCCAAGGTTTTTATCACGCATTTAGCACCGGACATCATTTCTTTGAACGTCACGTTGTAGATGCTTATTAAATCTCGACCGTTCCTCACGAAATCGGCATGAGGCAAATCATTGGTGACGAAAACTGCGACCGAAAAAATACATAAACAGTTTTGCAAGTTTTATGTAAATTACACATATATTGTATATTAACGAAATATCTAAATCCTTCCGGGTAGTGACGGATCCAAGGATCGGGGTGACGAAAAAAAAATAACAAATAAATAAAATAATTTAAATTCCAGGATTTTAAGACGTTACAAACGGCTTTTACGTCAAAATACCTTAGGTAAAAATAATTTTAAGAGAAAACAAAGAATATTTTTAATGTAGATATTATACAACATACTAATTGTATGTAACAATTATTAATAATATGTACCAAATAGGAGTATTTCCAAGAGAAATCTAGACATATATTATGCTTTTTACTATAACTTTTTCGAAAAATTATAAAAAATTATTTCTGGAAAGTCCAAAAAAAAAAAAAAAAAGGAAGAAAAAATATAAGGACTATGACAAAAGACTTTTACGTGTCGTTGAAAAATTCAACGAAATGACAACTCTTCACTGTTGAAGAGGAATCACTCAAATTGATAATCTCAAATTTTTAAGGCTGTATTAAGCGTGAGATAATTTTAAATTTATAATAAATAATTATAATAATAATTAAAACTGAAATATCTTTTGCCAAAATATTTTTAACGGGGATATTTTGACGGAGATATTTTGTAGGAGATATTTTTACCGGGGATATTTTTGCGAGTCACCAACAAATAGATTAGTTACTGTTTAAATTATACATATTAAATCTAGGCTCAAACTGGCTAACGTGTCGGCTTGAATGTATTCCATTCGAAATTTAAAAACCCCTCCATCTCCCGTTACGAGAAATGGATCCTGGGGCGCGGATTCGCGTATATTCACCAAACCGAACGTATAGATCTAATTGATTTGACCTTAGTGGAATTTAATCTTACATTATTTAAGGTACGCGAAATGATCAATACATCATATTATTATTAGTTGATTTACGTCTACAAATGGTACCTAAATGTCGTTGTATTCGTTTTTAGTTTTATTTATTTTTTTACTATCTTTTTTTTTCTGAAATTATTGTACTCCTTTATATGGTATGCAGTCACTGTTTAACAATAAACAACCTTTTTCATACGTTACTTCCTATCCTCCTCTCTCACGGATAATTAAAATAACGATTTCGACACAATGACGTATTAATAAATGATACCAATTAATTTTGCACCTGTCAGAGAGTATTTAAATGATTTAAAATTTTTTTATTGACGAAAAGTCATATTATTTTTATTTTTTTTATCTAGTGTAACCTATCCTTGAAGTAAAATTGGATTTTTGAAGGTGACCGGATTTCTACGGTTTCTTTATAGTGCGTATGCATCATATTATATATGTCACAGTAAAATACGTTAAATTCATATTAATGATATTATCTAGTAATTAATGTTAATAGGTAATAATCAAGGCTCGGAACTTTAGGCATTTGCATACTTTTCTAGAAAGTGCATATTGAAATACTGATTCGATACAAATTCGATTCATAGTATGTATATTTCAGATATAAACATTTTTGTTGCATAATTTTGCATATTTTGTTACTTTTTGTACCAATTCGCATGTTTTGGGTTTAAGAACATTTATATGCATATTTCATGGATTTAACAAAATTTTTTTAAAAAAATGTATAGTTTAATAATAAAATATTAGAAATATGACAGTCAAAATTCTAAGTTTTATATCGTTTGACAAAATAAATTAATTCATCAACGGCTATTATTTGTATTGCTCCGGCCCCCAATGCACTTAACAATAATATTATAATCCTTATAGTACCGAGAATTCGTAATAGTGACCACCGCCGGCCCGTATTTATTTTTATACAAATTTTATACAAAATTATACAAATATATTTTTTAGCGCAAAAGTTCCGAGCCTTGGTTATAATACTACATATATCTGCATGCAAGCGACTTCATTGTACAGTGTACATTAGTCAGTAGTCAGTCTATTATTTTTAAGCAATTATTTTCCAATTTTCTACTGCATATTATACCGTATATTTTGATGTTTTTTAACGCATATGTATGCGCATATTTTAGTACTTTTTAGCGCATAAAGTTTCGAGCCTTGGTAATAATGAATAATTTGCAAAGTTCTTAACGTTATTGACTAAGAATTCACGTTAATTCTAAACAATATAAGATAATGATGTTGTAATTCAAATATAATTGTATGTTAATTATTGTATATTTGTAAATTAATAATAAACAAAGATATTAAAATTTGTATATGATAATTATATATTTTCACACGATAAAAATTATAGCATTTCAAATTACATAATTTCCTAACTACTCCAGAGGTACATTTATTTGTTGTACATTTCGTCTTACAATGACATCTTTGATAGCCTTGTGTACCCAAAAGACATTCAATAATTTTTCATTGACTTTTTTCCCCATGAGTTTTCAATACAAATTTTGAATGTTTTAATTATTCAATACGAATATTGTATTCATCAATAGTTGGAAATTAGTTATTGTCACTACGTATTTTGTTAACTATATCAAGTATAATATTGTTAAATTTACTTTCCATTTTAAGTTCATCCATGTTGGATAAAAATTTACACAATTTAAAGAACATATACATAATCTAAAGAAAATTAATACATAATTTTACGAATATTTCACACGATGCTAAATAACGATAAAATGATACCAAAGTGTTCCGTGAAAGACCAATACAAATATTATATTTATCCAAGATTTTTGTGACAAAATCGTCTGTGTCTTATCAGAGAGCTTCACTTTCATTTTCTTAATATCAGTGATGATATTTCTTCACTGTTTCTCTACTAAATATTATCTACAATAATTATAAAAAGTCCTACTCTAGTAAGCCCCACTAAGCTTATTAATACTGCAGCTGTAATATTATCTATGGCCATTATGATAACAGCATTTTCCACCATGGGTTGAAATTTTCGATAATCAAACCAAAAAAATAATAAGTAACGATATTTACTGGTTTGTTGGGTAATCAACGTAATTTTTTAAAAAATAATGTTGTTTGGTTTATAACATCATTTATTGTAACATATATATTTATATATATATGTTATACAGTGATGCTTCCGAATTTATCGTTTATATTTACATAACAGTCAACGACGAATTTAATGCGTTTTAAAAAGAGTAACAAGTTGCATTGTTGAAATTGCATTACATTTCAAAAAACTGAGTAACTATATCTGAACAATATTAACATAAAAATGAACTATATCTCGAAATGGATTCCATACCTATGTTCCAAGTTTGTCCAAATATTATACTTTTGAGAAACACAAAATAATTTTACTATAATCCATTCCCCAATAACATATTTATGAGAGCGCCAAAGGGGCCTAATATCCCCCCCAAAATTTCAGGAAAAAATTTTTAATTTTAAAATTTATAAACTTTAATTTTAAAGTTTTAGTCGGCATACTAAGCATTTTCAAATGATTAAAACGCATAATAAAATAAAAATATAATTAAAAATAATAAATAAATAAATAATCAATATTCGTAAATTAATATATAAAAAAATAAACAAATAGTTTATATTATGAAATAAATAAATAAATATAATAATACTACCAGCTAAGCTTTTATTTATTTATTTCTATGTATGGATTTATATTGAATTTTATATATAATTTTAATTGATTAATTTATATATTGATTAAAACACATTTTATTTTATATTCGTCCCTGAGAATTAACCTTTATTAAACAAAGCGCCAATCACGCGTATAATAACTAAGAAATTCACAACATAGACCGTAAAGAGTACGCAAGTACAATACATAATGGGCGAGGGAATAATACAATATAACACTGGTGACATTGGTATCAGAAAGAAATTCGGATAGGAGTAACACTGACCTTTCCTACGTCGAAGTGAAACGATATCACTGTGGCAACATCTATAGCATATATTTTTTTATAAACAAATAGCTTGACACGCGTTTGTCCGGAATAATAGGTACTAAACGAAACTACCAACCCGATTGACACGTTTTTTTTTGGATTCTGTGGACAATTTCCCGTAGAAATACACGAACATGGCTATTCGTTATAGTATATTATAGAGGTACGCGGGGGCAATATTGCATTCGAGAGCACTACTTTCCTTTTTCGGCACGATTATTCCAAAAATTACCCCCGAGCGTTCCTCCGCCACCATGCGAAAAACGAGTACAACTACAGTTTCGCATACTTGGATGTGGTACTCGTACTGGTGTACAAATGCGAGTAATTATTTTATTAATTTATTTTGTAAAAATATATTGTTATTGATGTTTGTTTTTTCGAAAATATAATGGAAAGATATGATGATTCAAATATCTATTTTCGATTTTTTTTTTTTTTTTATTGAAGTTCTATCGTCATTTACAGTGGCGTGAATTGGATCCGATTTCTGGTGGTGCAGAGGCATATTCTCAACTTATAATTTCCAACACACTAATTTTCCAATATCCTAAGTAAAATTCTTCTCAATAAACTATATATTCTCCCATATATTTCTTTAAATAACAAATAAATTTTGAATTATTTTAGCAGTAAAACATTTATGATTATAATATTAATAAAAAAAAACTATCAAATTTTGTTTTTAGTATGCTGATTTCCTTGACTCTTGAAAATAATATTATAGGTATACAAATTTCAATAATTTTGTGGTGGTGCAAAAACATATCTTTGCACCACCACATTTTAGATGTGGTGTTACAAATACCACATTTGCACCACCCAGTTTACGCCACTGATCATTTATTATTTTCATTATGTACAACTCACTTATTCTTCTTCTATCCTCGAGATTATGAATTATTTCACTGTTAACCGGTAAACCTTTCGGTATTTCTAAGTTAACGACACAATTTGTTCCATCTCTTTCAGGGACGTACATTTTTTTTACTGTCCCAAAAAATAACTGAAATCGTTTTTAACTTTATTAAAGCTGTATACACTTTTTTTTTTTTTAGTTCCTTACATATTTACGGTTAAATAGTTTAAATTATCTATTATAAATTTTTCAAAATATATGCAGTATGGTTTAAACTTCGGCAAACAGTCAACGATACAATACTTAACAACTAGTACAGTATAATAGTTTTTAAGATTATTTTGACTCTGTTTTGGTAATTTTGGAACCGCGTTTGTTGCATTGTACATAGATAGTTATCAGTTTCAATTTTTAAACAAAATTAATGTACCTCAGTTAAAACGTCCAAAAGGATCGAAATGAGACGATTGATGTAAAAAAATATAAAAATAATATAAAAAAATTGTAAAATATTATTAATATTTTCACAAGATCATTCTAATTAATGTATTCGGTTAGTGATTATGATGTTTTGCGTATTTATTGGCGATAGACTTATTGTATTTTCGAATATTATTATAAATGGAAATAGCATTCGATGTAATATTATTTTACTATATGAAACCTACCTTAAATGAAACCACAACTGAATAAGAAAAGAAACTTTTGAAATGGGCAATTATACATATTTAAATTATATCGTTGATATTCCTAATGACTGGGTACTATACATTATCAAGGCCGGATTAAGGAGGGGTCCAGCCGGGGCGGTAGCCCCGAGGCCCTCTCGAGTACCCAAGTGAAAGGGGCCCAAATAATATTAAGTCGATACACGTTTTTTTATCATACTAAAATTAGTAATTGTATAGACATAAATTATATATACCTATTAATTTTATAATTTTATAATGCAATTGACAATTTGTGAAATAGTTAAAAAAATATATTGTTCTGCGAGCGTAGCGAGCAGCTTTGTAAAGCATGTTTTGTCATAAGGGCCCATATGAAATCTCATCCTCGGAGCCCAATAGGTGCTTAATCCGGCCTTGTGCATTATGTTAATAAAAATATTGTTATGACATTAAATGACGTAGTTAAATGTTTACGATGGAGTCGCCTAAGGTTAAAAAAAATACTATCAACTACAACTTTTTAGAATGTTAGGATAACGTAATTCAGTATATTTTAAGTAGTGCGTACATAATATGTACTAAATTATAAAATGGAAATTGAAAACCTTTTTGGAAACATTTACTTATTTGATTGATGTTTATTTCAAATCCTCTCGGTGGTACCTATAACATTTTGTGTGTCTACGAAATACTAAATGACTCAACTAGAAACAGCTTATACCGTAGTAACTCACTTCGTTTAATGTCAAACTTATGGGAATCTTCACAATTTCCAGTTTCTTATAGTTCTTTTCCATAGTAACCTCCGTGTTAGAAAACATGGATATTACATGCGTGTACGGATTGGTGGATCCATAAACTGACCTAAAACAAAAAAAAATAATTTGTGGCTAATAAAATATAATGTATTTAAAGGAATAACATTTGTACTAAATTTTCTAATATTCGTTACTCATGATGCATTTTAATAATTTAATAGATTTTAAACTACTATTAGTTCGGTTCGGTACTTGAATTATTTCGTTTTAGTACCATTGCTATGTGTATCTCAGGTGTTTATCGTGTAAAAACAATTTTATGTAAGATATGCATAATTCGCTCGTGTCTATTGAAATAATATATTTTTTTTGGTTCTACGGCTTATTCTTACTCATATTGCAATAAATAGAGGTTTGAGCAACGTACTCGATTAGACGAAAACATTAAAGCAAATTTTGTCTTGTGGTTAAACTCTAGAGTGTTTATACAATAGACGCAACGAATGCATATCACATCAAACAAAACATGTGACTGGCGAGATACGTAGTTATTCCTTTTACTCTTAATCTCAAGGATTCGGGATTAGTATTACGATGACTATTATTTTAATATATTTGTCTACTCGAACTTAGTGTAGTCCGTGCAACTACCTACGCGTCTGTCTACAACGTCAAATCTGAAGAATATAACCTCGTCCTGCGTAATACATCTAATAATGATGGTAACGATGAAGTGCCTTTATTCACAAAACATTATGAGTAAAGAACAACAATTATACTATTTGGCGTTTATGGGTTGACACAGAGTGGGGGGGGGAAGAAAATTAAATTACTGTTAATATTGGGAACAACTCAGGACGAAGGTTATGGTGGATAGTTCTACAGGAGGGAATCGTGAGGGGAGATACAACTGGTATCGGTCGTTGGGTAACCGAAAGACTGAAGATGAGTGAATGAAGATTATTGGGAAAGAGAGAGAGTGAGAGAAAAGCATAACTGAAGAGTCGACGGTGGAAGTCATACAGAGCTTCCACGTGATAAATAGTGCAGGAATTTAGTAGAAAATCTATGGAAAAACGAGAAGGGAATAATATAATAGTCGAGTTTTTAGCACGAAAAGGTCACGCTTGGAAAGAGGAAGAAAATAAAACCTTGGTCGGGTACTTGCTGAAGTACTCGTACAATACGGTTCAAAACGAACAGGAATATTTACTAGAGTTTATCAGGGTATTATCGGAAATGTGTAGCAATATAATGTTACATATTAGATGGTAGTACACTTTGGATGCACTTTACTTATAAGTTAAAAATATGTCGCCATGGTACGAATATCGTTTCATCTCGTGTTCGTCGTCAACGAACACGCCTCTTTTTATCGCGATTTCGCCGAATTGATCATACAGGTCACGCCATAACGGATCGCTCAGAATGTCGTAAGCTTCGAATGCAACGAGTCGTTCATTTGTCCTCCCGTTGTCGTTCAATTTTTCCATCCCGTATTCGTTTACAATTTTTCGAAATCTGTACATACAAATAAAAAAATAAAACAATATAAACAAAAAAAAATCTAATCCTATATAAATACGAGCATATAATTAAATTGATCCTATCCGAAAGGATGAGTCCTTATAATCGTTTATAACTCTGTTTCCACTTTTTAACGATTTTAGAACAATGCTGAACTATCGTACTTGAAAGAACATTTTATCATATTATTTGTGCGCAAAAGTTGCTGTAAGGTATTCGAATTGATTCGCTCGTTATGAATATTCTTATGCCGTGGCACAAGTAGAAAATAATATTGCTTAGCTTTATGAATAAATAATCAGTATTTTTTTATGAACGGAAAACCAAATTTTCTTCATCTGCATTATAAATTTATGATCTTTTGGTTTTACAATAACTATCAACTTAAACACGTAAAATTTACTCATTGTATAATATAAGTATATGAAAGTATACATAATGTATCATTTATGAAATATATTTTATTGAAGATAGCTTTAGGGGATATTATTATGTAATCGGATTCAAAAATATAAGGTTTTTTAGAAATGTATGTTACTTTTTGTTTTTGTTTTTTTTTTTTATGTTTTTATCACTTACGCGTTCAGTATTTCCAGATACGAAGAGCTTCTTTTCAGTCCTAGTACACAGTAATAATCAGCGCCCATGATGATGATACTATATTTTATTGTACGTACAAAAATATATAAAAAGAAAAAAAATGAAACCGTTGTAAACAACGAAAAACTGCGAAAAATATGGTTTCCGGGAAAACTTATTTCTACGCAATCACATAACTCTGTGTACATTTTATTCGAGCCAATGCATTACGATTTGTTCTTATCATGAATTCAATATTGTTCTGATATGCTAATTTTCTGCGCGAATGCATGGATGTATTAATTTATCAGACAAGATTATACATTTCAGTACATACTTACGTGCTACTTATTGCTATTCGATCCTGAGAAATGTCAAAGCTATTCGTATACGAAAATGTCATGCAATATTATAATATAAAATATCGAAAACATCACGAGTATATATTATATACTCATATTGTTTTCGATTTGAAAATTAGATACGCGACAGGATTTATAAGTTTTGATTTATTATCGAGACAATTTCCGTAAATGTGCAAGATTATATTGGAATCAATTAACCGTTAGATCGTTAAATATTTACGTTTTTGAAACATGTTTAAAAAAAAAAAATACGACTTTCGTGTTTTAGATTTGTTGTGAAACCGGTAGAGAAAAAAAGAATTACAAATAATTATTTTTGTTTCTTTCGAATAAACCGATAGTTTTCAATTTACAGTTCGTACGGATCTGAAAAAATAGTAAATAATAGGAATAAGATATATGACCGTAAATCATAACCTGTACACCTATACCACGAGAAATGGTTAACCTGCTGAAAAATTAACTTTTTTCTAAAAATCGATATTCTAAACTGCGTTAAGAAAAAATGTAACATTATAAAATCTGCAGCAATTTATTTTAAATACATCTATGATATAATATACTGTATAGTATGTAATATGTGCGTATGTGTACCTATGTCCGTATACAATTTAATTAATGGTGTCATGTTGCGTCTTGCATACAAAATGGTAAGGTAATCCAAATTTATTTTTAAGTTTTAACGTAACACACTAAATATCTATTTCTTTACTTATGATAACACTAGTTAGTACGTACTAGAAATGTGCACGGGCCGGGTCAGCTTCATTTGGGCCGTGCCTTGTTATAAATATTGCGGGTTAGTTATGGGTGGGATCGTAGTATTTTTCTTTAGACTGGGTTGGTCAAAAATAAAACTACCTAATTTAATTGGTAACACAGTGTGATCGGTATTCATAAAAAACTACCAAATTAAACTATAAAAATAATTATTTTTTACCTCTCTTCCAGAGTTGGCCAAAATGTTATGTAGATAATTATTCGAATAAAAAATTATTCATATTACAATATTATAAAATTATTATTTAAAAAATACATCTTATTCTTCACTTTCTTCTATAGATATATATTTGTTTTATATATAATATTTTTAAATTTTTCCTAGTAAAATAAAATGTAAATCGTGTAACTTAAAATACAATGTCAATCTATCTATATACATATATATATATAAATAAGTATACATTTTGAATAAATTCTATAAAAAGATCCACCAAACCGATTTTGATTTGAAAAAAAATTTCAAGGCATATTAAGATTGATATGTAGATAGCTTCTGTGAAGTTTGTACGCTGTTTGATAAGTGGTTCCGGAGTTATAGCCTCTTAATTGCACATCTGGCGACATGGTCAAAAATAACAACAAAATGTATGAAAAATGAAAAAACATTTATATCTCGAAAACGGCTGCTCCAATCGCAAAAATATCTGACATTTTCGCACGGGCAACTATACGTGTCCTGTTCAAAAGTTAGCACTCCAAATTGTTTAGTTGTGTATGCCTCAAATGGACAAACAAAGAATATTGTTTACGCAAATGTGTTGGATTGATAATAAAGAATTTGGAAAAAAATAAATGATATTCTAGGAAAAATTATATGACTTTTATTGCATTTTTGTTTTGGTGCTGCGAAGCGCACAAGGGCCGGCTCTTAATCACCTATTATAACAGTAACTGTACAACCTACGTGCTATTATTTTCATTTGAAAATTCACGTCGTTTATTTAAAGAATGTTACTAGGGGACGAAAAAAAGAAAGAAGGTAAATAATAAACATCTGATTTAAGAATTTAATTTAGAAAAAGCAATAACTACACACGAGCGAAACCGGGTAATTCAGCTAGTTGTTTATAAATTATAATATGAGCCTGTTTTAAATTAAGAACACTATGTTTACCCACACAAAATAAACGAAAATTATTCGAATAATTATGAAAAAATCATTTGAATAATTATTTATTCAAATAAAATATTATCTAAATTATAATCTAAATAAAATTGTATTCGAATAATCTATCTTCTCTACTCGCTCACTGGTAGTAGTCATTGTTAATAAATATAATATAATATAATAATAATATAAATATAATATATGCTAAAAATAACGTTTTCAATCCATAAATAATGATTAACACAGCTGTGAATTTCACGTATAAGTATGTTTTTTTTTTTTGCTACATCGTATAAGAAAATGGATTTGATCAAAATTTGTTTTGCATTGTTCATAAATTAAATACGAATCTTATTTTGCATAATTTTGCATATTTAACCGATAAGGGCATATATATATGAGTTTCTCATGTTATTTACTTTTTTGGTGCATGAAATTCATAGCCCTGATGTTTAGTAATTGAGTATAAGTTATACGAGTATAAATATTTTTGCGTTAAACATTTCGGGGTCAAATCCTCATTACAAACCGTTTTCGTCACGTTTACGGTCGTGAGATTTAAATATTCAAACGTAACGGTGTATTAATGAACATGTTTTAAATAATTTTTTATCGACACCATTATAAATCATATATCGGGTGAGATACACGCATGGTAGATGATGGGATGGAGCAGAGAGGGATAGATCCCCGGGGCCCATACCTCCTGTAGGGCTCGTCGCCTCAGCCTTTAAAAAAAAAAAAAAACACTCTCGCCTTGGGATTTTCTTAATGCTATCAAAATTTTGAAATTGAAAAATGTATTTTATAATCTAACTGTGGCTCTTTGGATACATATATAGAAACAATTATTACTATATTGCTTCGTTGCCAGCGAGCGGCGTTAGATGGTTTAATAATTATCTCCATTGTATTAGGTATTGTATTAGGTTTATTTTTCACCGAATCCGTCGTTGGAGTAGACGGAGGAAATGATATTATGTATTTTATGTGTAGCATATTCCTCAGTAGCGCTCAAATGTACCTCGTTTGCACGTTGGCCGTGAACAGGAATCCGTTTGTTGCACAATATTTGAAAGCATCAACACACGTTTGAAAATATTTAACGCATATAATGCAGTATCACAATAATAGTTCTAATATATCATAATACAATTTCATTAATTTAAAAAAGTTAAATTTGGAATCTAAGTGTTGCATTCCAGTATACATAATATTATAAATTACTTACATCTTACACGAAGAAGATTCGCGATGACGTCGATTGATGTTCGAGTTTTTTTATGATATTTTATAATATTATCTATTATTCACGGTTTTGGGAATTTCGCGAAATCCGTACCTAAGCAATAAAAATATGTTCCTCCTCCCCTTCTACCCCCCTCTCTGACACACCTATATGGTATTTTATGAAAAGAGTGTAAATCAATCCAATGCACAACATTTTTATAACGTCAAACACTACTGTTTTGTCGGTATTTTTTCTAAAAATAACATTTTTACACAACCTGCGGAGTCGCGAATGCCATTTCTAACAGTTTTCGGTTTAATTGACAAGTGCTCTGTGCCTTAACCATCGACTCACGGAAATCGTCGTGACACATTCTGGACCCGTAGTCGACTGCTGTTGAGCATTAACGTTTCGGAGTGTTGACTGACTTCACGAGTAGCTTTTTGGTCACGATTGGACTGCATATTTTATAAAAAAAAATCAAAAACGGGTTTGATAGACATTTAACCAGACGCGTAATTTATTACATTATTGTTGGTTTAGTCGAATTGAAAAAAAAAAAAACAGTTTTACTCGCCGAGTGCGTACACACGTTTGACGGTTGACCTTCGAACGTCGTTTAGAATTCAGCGCAGACAGTGTAGTGGACATCGGTGCGTGTGCTTTAATCGTTCGTCCTGGAGGTTTCTTTCTCTCTCTCCGCCCAATTACACCTTGTGAACGTTAACGATAATAACACTACTACAGCTGATCGTCGAAGTTTGTACAATTTTCTTTCAGCTCCAAACGCCGACTTTTTTTTACACGCCTATCGCGCGGATTTTTTCGTCAACCTTGACTGCGACGGAACGTCTCATATCGTATTATGATGTAGCGCTGCTGGAATCGTGTTTGTAGTGCATTACTATGCGATGAAAAAAGCGTCACGATTGCACCGCATAACCATAGAGGTAATTGGTCTCAAACAAAAAATATCGATAGCACAAAATCAACGATGAATTTAATTCCTTCAAAGGTATAGCATAACACTGTACATTTATGAGCTGTTTAAATTATAAATTTCAACATATTACTAAGTTTCGATTTTTTCCAAATTTATACCGCGGAATTTCATTATTTTTCTTCGTTTTTCAACAAAACTTTCTGTATAAAATTTTTTTACTATTGTACGAAAAACAGTTTTTTTTATAATTCTTGGTTTTTTTTTTTTTTTTCTACAGAAACTATAGTTTACTCGACTCATCGGGTTACCAGTTCAACAATGCTTATGATCCTAAATGTTCTGTGTTCATCTTCGATTTCCCCTTTTGTCATTGTTGATGGTTAAAACGAATCACAGAGTTATTGTGTATAATAAAACCCCTAGATAATTATTTTATTTTATTTACTCTTTTGAATTTTGGATTTTTTTAATACACAGTTAATTAATTTGAACTTCAGACTATGATTTACAAGAATCTGTTATTGTTGTGCACAACGGATGTCAGACAAGTTTTGACATGTTTTGCGTAAATTGTTTACAATTCACGTTCGATCCCGTTAACCGATTAGGAAAAAATATATAAAAATTCATATTTTTTAAATGACAACATTTGTTGTCTTGATGTTTAAACTGTACATCAGTGTGTAAAATAAATCTACACAACACCTAATTACCGAGCCGATTTATAATTCATCACATATTTACTAATTATGGTTCGGGTTAGCGTTATGTGCTGTTGGCGCACGTATGTTTATCGAAATGTAACAAATTTACCATAACAAATTCTTTTAAAAAAAAAAAATTAAAATTTCGTTACGTATTAAAGTTTCGAACGAAATCGTATAATGACGTGTATTATTTGACTGCCATGTTACGTTTTAGAAACGGATAAGTGACGGCTTTTTCGGCACGCGCACTCGAACAATAAATATACCATCTAATGGTACGCCATCGTCGTCGTGCGCGCAAGCCTTTGGTGGAATTAACAATGCTCTGCTGCATAACACGTGCAGAAATCCCGTAAAGACGCTGTTCGTCAAAAATCGTGATTGCACGCGCGCTGACTAACTCGTTCGTTACCGTTCATAACCAAAATAAAAAAGCTCCGTCGTCAGTGCGTGCCCAGCCGGTTTCGTTGTTCATGTTCAACGTGACCGCAGTACCTAGTACACTTCGCGAGTACCGAAAAGTGCCCGGTATCTGTTTATCAAATCCTGCATCTATTTTCAACATCGTTTCGACCTCACGTGATTTTCCGGACCATCCGGCTCGTTTACGTCTGAAAATCCACCACAAATCAAGTAAGTGCTGCTCTATTTAGTCTCAAAGACCATCCGGTCACATTGCTCTGCTCTCGGACATTTGTAATAACGACCATCCTCCGTTAAACAAGGATGATGGTGAACAGACCTACGTCACATTAACTTACTCAGCGCCAAAACTCGGAGTTCAAGTCTGGTCTTGACCAGACCATACTTTTAGAGGGGGGAGGTGCCGTGGTGGATTTGTACACGAGTGATAAGTGAATTGATCTAATTAATTATAAATCATAATACTGCCAGTTTTAAAATTACCGTTTGAGACGTTTAAGTACATAAACGCTAAAATAGGTTAACAATTTTTAGGAGGAGTCGAATTCCCAATCCCTTAAAGTTTGTCCTTGTGTGGGGTGGGTTGTAATTTAGGTGACTATTGCCCAGACCATTTGATATTTTGTTCGGCACCACTGTCCTCACAAACACCACAATAATCATATTCTCTTAAGCGACTTTTCTTTCTCATTAACAAAAAGCAAGATGCTAATGATATTATTGACAATAAACATTTTTTTTGAAATGACTGATTTGAGAAACCGATCGGTGGGTTGAGGTTTTGTGAACGCTATTGTTTTTTAACAAAAAAATCTCCGTAGCATTAAAACCCTTGGTACGGAAATAAAAGTCGATGTTTTGTAAAGAAATGCTTTTACATAATGACGAATAACCGATTAGAACGACGTTTAGTTTCATATGGATTTATTGTAGTTGAGATCCCAACAAAAATGCACTGTGTAAAACCGTCGTTAAATAAATAGTAACAAAAATATTCACGTGAAAATAGCGTAATAATATAAAAAGAGGTTTAGCGATTTCATAATTAATTACATAAGAAGTATTTATGACTGTGCATTGATAAAGTCTGTTTAATGCAAATAATTCAACCTGATTTGATGGTCACTAGTTGAATGTTTTTAAACAGTAGTTTGTTGCATATTACTACTCGTAATTACACTATGCTTAAGAAATTCTAGCTCTAAAAAGAACCAACTATGCGTTAAAATATGTTTTAACTTTTTTTTGTTTTACTGATAAATTTACCTTAATTTACTATATTTTACTAATAATTTAGTATACCTTAATTTTAATAATTTTATTTTGTCAATGGTAACCATTTTGTGTTTTCATTGATTTGAGAGTTATATATAAAAATCATTACCTATTTGGGGACTTGAAATACAAAATAGAACAATGAGTTTACAGTAAATGTAAATTATTTAAATTTTTCACTCATTTTTTACCTTGAAAATTGCACTATACTTTAAGAAATTTTCTTATGATTTCATTTCGTAAAAATCACCTTTTAAGATTTTAGAAATTTTATACACAATTTTTAAACCAGAATTTTTGTTTAAACCATTATTAAGCTTCTTTTCAAGTGTACTAATTTATATTTATTTATTTTCTATAACACTTAATGAATCGAATAGCTACATTTATAGGTATATAGATACATTTCTATTGGCAATGCGTATTAATATGAAAAATTTAAATCGAAAAACTCGTATAAAATCGTGGCTTGTATAAATACGTGACGCACAATAACTGCATAAGTATAATATAATATGACCTTTTATGGCACTTAAAAGAAACGCACTATCAGTGGCGTATAAATAAGGTTCAAAAGTTGACTAACTTGACAGGAAGGTACAGAGAAAAAAATTATTAATTAATATTATGCTGTTATTAATAACACTTAATTTGTATTTATAATAACAAAAATAGAATAATATAATTATTAATTCATGTGTATTTTTTATATTATAAAATCAATTATTTTTCTAGAAAAATTTAAAACCCCTTCCCTACAAAAAATTGAAGAATAAGCCACTGCGTACCGCTAAAATATGCTCTAAAAATTAAAAACTGCGAAGTATGCAAATATATGCAAAATAATAACATTTAGGATTTAGATTTCTGGCACCACGAACAGTACTTCCGTCTGATTCTGCTATTTTATGATTCTTTTGAAAAATAAAAAAAAATGCGAATTCTAGAATTCCCTGAGCCTACATTTACTTATGGATTTCACGTGGTCGGATGATTGGTAAAACGCGTGGAAATCGTTCGCCGCTTTTGAGGTTTGTTTGGTCAACATCGGATGGTTGTTGCTCGAACATAAACGTTTTGTTGTCATTGTTTCGCTCACAGTTTTTCCGTGATTCAATAATAATACGTATTGTGTACGCGAACCAACATAAGTAGGCTCTATTTTTACGCAACAACAGCCAACAGTATCCGACGTGACACACTGGAATCGACCGCCACGATACGTCTTAACAAATAATACGAAACACGTTTAACCGTTTCGCGATACAATAATCGTAACAATAATAACCCGATATCATGATAATGACAGAGGTGGCCAACTTTTAAAGAATTGTGACTTGAATTTTTCTAGGCGTCACGATCGACCAAAAATAAAATAAAAATGGTTGACACTGTGTTAAAATATATTTTTTATGTATGTTGCATGCACATACACTTCCTTTATTTATTCTATTTAAAATATTAATAAGTAATAATAATTTTAGTTTCACAGTTTTACATAACACGCATTTTATTGTAGATGTCATTAATTCATACGAATTCTCGATTCATACTCGATTTCAATGTATAATTTCGTTTTTCATAGTTATCTCTTACTATATATTGCCTTAATTAATTGTTATTTATTTAATTTTAATACTCATGGATTGAACAAAAATATAAAAATAATTGAAAATGAATCACGATCGACTGGAAATCATGTCACGATTGACCTGTTAGCCACCCCTGATGTACGCGTTGCAGCAACCACAACAAACCACATTTGTTTGGAATCGCTACGACGTGTGCCGTGCATTTCGAAATTTAGAACGCGTAATATGAATTGAAGATACCACGTAGTGTTTATAACTTATTAAAAGAAAAATATCAACTTCCTAAGGACTCCCATTAAGAGACACACGTTTGAACGGAAATCTCCAGCGTTTAGCTTTTCGAATAAGCTTTTAACTTGGATTCATCCCACAGCTATTAACATTTGTAGTGAGCATATCTGGATGACATGGATTATTCGATTTTGTTGTTTGATGACTCATTTTTGTGTTCTCATAAATTTAATTAAGGTATGCACGTAAATATTAGTTAATTGGGTTTACAGCCATGATATCATTGTAAGTCGTAGAGGCATAAAATAAACTCAATCGTTTGATAACTCGTTTTGGTAACTAATAATGAACTATGAAAACTGTTATGATAATTATATTTCAATTCATAAAACATATTTTTGATTTGTTGATTTGTTGTTCAATTTTAATTACATAAAATAATTTGTTTTATTAGAATTTAAAAATAATTATTTTAAATCACATAAAAAGAAACTCGTAAATCCGGATAAGAATTTAATACAAATCCGGATTTGAAATTTCAAATATCATTTGGGATTTCATGCCCGTCCCTAATATTTATTTTACATATAGGCGCACAAACATTATTAAGAGTGGTCGATATTCATGTAAGGTAAATTGGATTTCAGACTACCTGGCGGCGACCGACGAAAATCGATCGATCGGTCGAGCCGCTGGTCATCTATAAGACGACGACGACGACACGAACACGACCGGTTTGGGACGAGTGAGGGCCGTTTCACACTCGAACTGAACTATCGTGTGAAAGACACTTAGCTGACTCCGACACCGCAAGACAAGTATGTTTCATGTTTTTCACATAAACACATTTTTTTTCGTTGCACGGTAAGAGCCTTAAAATTGAGAGCCGACATTTGAATTTTGTAAACAGAGCGCAATAATCAATTAGCGTATCTAGTATTGCGTGGACCAGGAGCGTATCCAGAAATTCTTTATGGGGGGGGGGGGGGTCCAAAATGTTTTATTTTATCCGATAATGTGAAATTAAAATACACTATATACTATTATTATATTATTTACTATTAAATCGTTGAGTATGTAGACATTTCAATAAGAAGGATCCGGACCCGAAACTCTCCCTCTTGGGTACGCCCTTAGTGTAGACGTTTAATAGAAAGAAGTAAAAACAAGTTGCATCGGGTCCATCCAATCAATGTAAATAGAAACGAGGTCGGTGCAAGGTTGAGTTTTGTCTTCCGTAAAATGAGTCGGCCGTACACCAATGTTATAACCTATACATATAATTGACTTTATAATATAAACAATTATATTTATTAGTTATTTACTATTAATTATAATTTATGTTATAGTATAAAACAACCTAGAGATTCTAATAACTTGTAAGAATCTCTAGGACAATTTCCACTACGTCGATATTTAAATAGTTGATTTGAAAAACTGCGTGAAAACTACGTGAAAACTACGTGAATAAATTAAACACGCACGTAATTTATTTGACTACAATCGACAATCCAACACGTGCCGACTAGATGTGTATACAGCTCCGTGCCTTGCTCATTGCTGGTATTTTATTCTTATCGTTCAGACGACTACAACAGTCGGTTACAATTGCGGTTTCCTACAACGAAAGACCGACGGACGTTTTCCGTTTACACAACAACGAAATTTATGAAATGTTTATTATGCTTTTGCTCTTGATTGCCGTAAACAAGATATCGTTTACACAATAGTCGTTCTGATGTAAAACAGTACTAAACGGAAGTGTGTCTAGCGTTGAGCAATTTGAATCGATATTTTTCATGCGACGATCAGATTTTTCGAACCAATCTTTTAAAAGATCGATTAATTTTTGTGACGATCGATTCGAATTGTTAATCTAAATTTCTGTGTGAATCGATTCGAATCGTCGATAAGATATTTTATACGAATCGATTCATTATTGATTGTTGATTCAATTTCCGATTTTTTCGCAATGCTGGCGCTTTCATTAAATGGTAAGAACAAATTTTGTTCTTACCACGAACTTTCAATCCGATTTTGAATCACTTCATTTTCAAAAATCACTAAAAGTTACTACACATTTTGTGTATTTTTATCTACTTTTCATCTAGATTTCAGGGAAATCTACAGTGAGTGTCATCTTTATTGATTTAAAAAAAAAAAACCCCGCATATAAAGTGAATCGATATTTTTTCATCGATCTCTTTTTGGATCGATGTTTTCACTAGTGGCGTCCAGGGAGAAACGAGCAGAAGGTGGGGAAACGTGTTATTTCATCCGGATTCTTATAAGGGTTTGGGAAAACGCGTACGCGAACCCTACATGCGTTCCGCCGCGAGATGCCGAAACACGACCGGTACCCGGGTCGATGTTGTCGACGAACGCGTGTACTAACCATGCCCTGTCAAGGGTTCCTCGATTCTCGTATCGTTATTATTATTAACTGGTCAAATAATTCGGCTTCACACGAAACGGCCTTGACTGGGATATACTCGTAGTTTTTAACGGATAATAATCTGTTATAAGTAATAAGCTTGCACTATTTAAAGCCTAGCATCCAGTGCCGCAACTACACTAACTTAGGTCAGTGTGAAAATAAAATTAATACCTCCCCCCCGCATCTGGACTCTGCGGGGAGACCGTACCTTTAATCGGTTGCATCTGAAAACCGCACACTTTTGATTTTGACACGAAAAAGGTCGATTAACAAAAGCCGCATACTTAATCGGTCATTGTACAACAAAATACCCCAAACTTATAGAGGTAAAACCGCACAATATTGTTAGTGTTAACTAACTGATTAGAAAAAATTATAAGATATACTGCAATAATTATGCTAACACGTTTTAATACTTCAGTCACTACTCGTTTTTACTTCATCGGTCTTGTCTCTTGTTTATGCATATATAGTCTATTTTTATAGTATATAGTATATTTTTTTACATTTTAGAATAGTAATTGTTGTAATATTACTTGAATATGCATATTTTTTTGTTAGAATCAATTATAAATTATTAAGTATATCTAACCTATATAAGTATAACTTTTTTGGGGTTGAAATTAAAAGTGTACGATTTTTGCATACAACAATTTTAAAAATGTTGCGGTTTTAACCAAGCAAAAATGTGAAGTTTTGTTCTGTATTTTATCAAAAGTGTGCGATTTTAGGAGTCAACGCTATAATCAATTGTGACCAAACTATTTTGAATTTCGATTGCACAGGCCTTAAAAAAAACGTTGGTTTACGATAATGTGTACAAAACAAAATCAATCAATTACTGTTCAATCTTCGTTAATAATTATTATTATAAAATGGTTTTATTTTCTTGTTTTCTACATATTTACACTATCACCGTTGGCAAACTTATAAGAAAACGCCTTTTATCCAATTGAAAATTTGATATTATTATATATTTCCTAGCTTTTAACCTTTTTAATGAATTTTTTTTATTAATACAATTTAAATTTTAAGTTACTTACCTACAGTGTACATTTTTATCTTTGAAAATTTGCTATTTTCGTTTTAAAAATGACGAATTCATTGATATTTTTTCCTACATGAATTTTCTTGTGCTATTTTCATAATTTCATCATTAAATGTACAATTAGACAAAATCTAAATATTTCAAAAATTATAACGGAAAATTTTTATTTTTAAGGTAAAATAAAAATACGAATTATGCACGATTTTGCGCCTCTAGCGTAGGCACAGTTCACCATGACCTTGCTACGCCACTGGTTATAAAAAAAATTAAAGGAAATTTCAAGCAAATCGGTTGTAATTTTGGTTGTACGCTGAGTCGTACCCGGTTATCCATCACGGAGCCGTCTTCGCCGGTGCCAATCGTTTTTAAAATCCCATCTTGTTGCACATGCAAAGTATCAGAAAGACATTCAGTCAGATTTCAAGTTAATACATTTTTTCGTTTTTAAAGCGCGGCGTAAAAATCATTTTCCTCGGTGTTTCTACATGATATAAAAAAAAAAAAATAATAATAATACTCACCGAATTCCGTTGTCGTATTTTTGGCGTTTCCGGCTGCGCAATGTTTTTTATAACTACCGCTTTAAGTTTTACCCCCGTAGGAATTGAATTTTGGAAAATTCTATCTTATCGCACATCCAGACTGTACGTGGAACACTACGTCGAATTTCATGTTCGTACGCTCTGTCGTTTTAGAGACGATCGGTCAATGAGCGGGTATTTGATATACGTACTCGTTTAGATACGTATTATTGTTTTTTTTTTTTTTTCTATTGTTTATCATTTCACTGGACAGCTTTGCCGTATTAATTTCTAACCGTCGTCCGCGAAACAACAACAATAACACGTTGACTCGTCGCGACTCAGCGGGTCACTGCTCATCGCCGTCTGCAATACCACCGCGAGCACTGTTAAAACAGCAACTCGCCCGTCCGAACCGGTCAGTAGCACTGGAACGGGAGAGGTCAGCTTCAGCTGGACACTCTCAGTCACGATGCCAGTGCCAGTCCTGCTCTATCAGCCGTACCTCAGACAACCGTCCACCGAGTGCACTTCGGGAAAAAATTTCACAGGTCAGTACTTTGTCAACTATTTTTGCGGTCGTTTTTTTTTTTTTTAATTTTTCTTTTTACGATTTTTCAACGCAAAAACATCTTGCACGACGTTCATATACGTTTGCATACATATTCCGACGATTGCCCGTCTTGATACTTTTTGGTTTTTCTCTGTTCGAATTCCACGCGTGGAAATCGCTCGACCGTTAAGAATATTATTATCTAATAGTAAATACGGAAAATCGTGTAATCGGTAGGATGAATGTAAGTTCTCACACGAGATATGGCAGGTAAAAATTATCCCTAGATATGCATACGTAAGTTTCCATACGAAATAAATTGCACCCGTACATAAGTTCCCACACGAAAAAAAATTATACCGAATACAAACTTCCTTCCAACTTTATTCAGACATAGGACTGAAAAATTACATGTAGTTGGTGTGGTTAAAATTTGTTTTGTTTCCATATAATATATAATAAAAATTAATAATACAACGTGTATGTATGGTTCACATATTATTTTTATAGGTATAAAATAATAATAATAGAAAAAATCAAATTTTATTTGGCCTATTGCGAAAGCTCAAACAATTTACATAGTCATACTGTGTAATTATTGTTAAGTTATAATCCGATATTTTATTTTTGATAAACTTTTGTTTTTCTTCTTTTTTTTTTTTTACTTCTTTTTTTAGGTCTATTGAAATCCGATGTTCTTATTTATATATATATTATTTTGAAACATTTTTTAAACTTATATTATTTTAAATATATTAGGATGATGATGATAAAAATTTGAATTGAATTCAGAATGGAAACTTTCACAAGCGTTTGTAGTAAGGCTTGTATCAGAACTAGCACTAGCCCAAATACTAGGGGGGAACGTACTCGTATTTTCGATGTAATTAGTCACTTAATAATCGCCAAATTCATTTATTTTATTATTTTCTGGTTTTTCAGCCATAAAACAATCTCAAAACTTCTATTGGATTAAGAAACGGTAAACCAAATATATGAACCAGCCACTTTTCTAATTCATCATTTGCAAAATTAAATTCTTGTGCAAACCCTAAGCTTTGAATTTTATGGTACCAAGCTTGGCTCAAATGGAAACGACATCCCCATATATGTGTTATTGAAAATATAATATTTATTGCTTGGTGCATTGATATCTCTAAGTCTAAAACAAATTTATTTAGGTTTATTCCAACTGCATTAATTTTTTTTAATAATCCAATATATGTTTTCAATGTTTTATCCGGTAAAAAGCTAAACATTAATGAAATATAAATATTATTTTTTAATCCATGAACTGTATATAGTTGAGTGAAATTTTTATCACAATAATTAAAAGTGCCATCCATGTAAATTATTTCCAGTTTTTTCAAAAATTCAATATTAGTATCACATGAAAATATAATAATCTCATTCAAATCGTCAGTTTCAAAAATAAAATTTTAACTTCTATTCGTTTTTACATTAATTAAACTCAAAGTATTATGAACTTCTTTTCTTAAATTTGATATTTTAGGATAACAACTGGCTATAGCATTTTGTACATTTCCATAAATTAGCTTTATATCAGACATTAACAAATTACCTTCATTTTTATGTTGTGTAAGTTCTCGTCTGATCATTTTTGATGGTTTTTCAACAACGCCTGTCTTTTACAAGAATTATTTATTTTTTTGCCAATTTAAAGCAGTTCCTCATGGGTATGTACAAAACACTTATTTTTATTTTCAACTAATTGTTCACTATCGGTGTAATATGTAGCACGACACTTATTGTTTATACACATCCACGTACATATATTTGTTGTAGCGGTGTGTTTCTTATAAAATGTATAATTATTATGGACTAAAAGAGTTTTTTTCTTTTCACTAAACATGTAAGAAATAATTACGTGCATTTTTATAAATTGAAAATTTTTTATATAAACTGTTTAAATGTTAACTCTGTTAGTAATGGACAAGTACTGTAATCAATAAAATGAACTGTCCATACTATATGCCAATATGTAATAAAGATAATTCTAGATAGAATATAATGCATTAAATTTTATCATCACGTGGGAAAATACCTACATATTGGTATATTTTTCGTTTAGCTTCAAATAAATTATTGAGGGATGATTTACAAGTACCTTCGATTTTGTTTCTTAACTAAACATAAAAATAATAACACAGTACGACTATATCGTGAAGTGTTTAATCAAATAAAATTTGATTTTTTCTATTATTATTATTTATTTTATACCATACCTAATATAGATTAAATTAAAAGGAAGCTTGTGTTCGGTATAATTTTTTTTCGTGTGGGAACTTACTAAACTCCAACCGGTAAATACGTGATTGGAATTAAACTGTTCTCAATTTTCTACGAATTTGGTTGATTTGGATTTCAATTGAAAACTTTTAACCTTTTTATGCGAACTGAGTCTAAAATCGAATGCGATAAATCGAATACTGTGTTCGGAATCGAACATTTTCAATTTTATTTATGTTTTTCCAATTAACTAAAATTAAAAATTTTATGTAAATATCGTAATAAACTGTTTGTTCTGAAAATTATAGTCTCCTACGGATACTAAACCGGTAAATATTAAATCATACAGTTCAAATTAAGTCAAGGCTAATAATGTCATCGTTTATGAATTTCGACATTTGTTTACTATATTTTCGATATTATGTTTTCTACACATATAGTATATGTATTCAATATTATATATTAACTGGTATAAAAAATGGGACATGAGTTCTTATACTTCTAAATGTTACTCTATAAGTTTTTATTGGTCGCGATCACCTATAAGATTTACATAATTATTATTTTTTCTGATTTAATAAAAAGTATATACAATCTCTTTATAATAACATTAAATACTTGTGATAGAGTAAAAAAATATCAAAGAAAATTTAAACAAGAATTATACGAAGAGTGAGCCGTCTACTGACAGAACCTCAGAATCTTATTATTATTTATTATTTATTTTTATTAAAGTAATTATTAATAATAATTTTTTTTCTTTTTAATTAAAGTAATATGTCTCTTAACTAATATTTTTCGAGACGTCGGTTGATGTGTTGAGAGAATAAATAATAATATTGCATAATATGTATATGCATATTATTTATGTGAAGAATTATGTGGACATTTAAATTGGAGTGGAATCTTTTATAATGGTTTTTGGAAAGTCCATTTACTGTTAGTATTTTTAAGTCTTTGTGTAGAAGATCAAAAAACATTTCAAACATTTCTTGTTTCATTCATTTTTTATCAACCATGAAGCATTTGTAATGATCCGTAAAGAGATGGCTCGGTAAACTTAGATTGGGTGAATAGTTTAGGGCCTAGCAGGACCTCAAATTTAGATACCATAAGACTATATGGGTTTAATGACAGTTTTGAATATTGTTTTTAAGACTAATTTTTGTTTTAAGATTGATCATAGTAAGTGAAGTCGTGTATTTAATTGATTGTATTTTACTTTTGTATGGCTAGATGGTCTAAATCATTTAGCTCTAAGAGTATTAGGATTTGTAAAACGCTATTAATCTGAATTTAAAAATTTTCGATTATTCATGTGACGCATTAAGTTTGTTTTTAAATATATTTTAATTATTATAAGGCATCATGCCTTTCCACCAAATTGGGTGTTGATAGTATCGAACGTGCTAAGAATCACTTCCTTAAAATGTAATGTATTCTATATAAACTTAATATATTTATAAAAAATCATAATTACAATTTAATTTGATCAAGTTTGTAAGTCCAAATCCTACTGTTACGTTATAAACTCAAATATATTTTTAGTATAAGTACATAAATTAATTTTCTTTCTCTTTTAATGTTCCTTCTTATAGCAGCCGTTTAATTTCTTTTTTTTGTATTCAATCTTATAGCACTAACTATCAAACTTACTCTTCATTTCCAAGAGCATTGTCTCTTTGCAATATGATCCTCAACATTAGCTTTTTCTTCTCGACTTTATTTAAAATTTCAATTTCAAGTTGTAACCAAGACAGAAAGGACTAACATTTAAACTATTATTATTGTTTGTCATTCTGTCATTATTTTTTTTTTGTTATTAATATTTATATTGTATATGTTATGTTATGTTATAATTACCTTGTAACATTGTGGTTTTGCTTATTTCATCATTTAAATTTGAATAAAAATTATTATTATTATTACATTTAAGATTCAATTTACCTGCATACTGGATTTGTACTGTTGTTAATCAGTCGGGGTAAATGTAAAATAAAAAATAAAAATACGAACCATAAATTTTCGACGGAAATAATTAACTGACCAAAATGTTTGATGGAACGTTTTAAAAATTCCATTCGAAATTTTTAATGAGCTAACCGAAACCGTACAACTGAAACCAATGGAGAATGTATTCTTTACGATTATTTCTCACGCAATCAATTTTTAATAGTGAAGACACGTAAGATTTTTGTGTACCGGTCAACGAGTTATTTGTGTGTAAATAAAAACTGTGGCTTAAAATTAACGAGGTGCTAACATTGAATCGTACGCGACTCGTACGGTTGTACGCTTAAACTATTATAATGTTAACTATGGCAAATAAACGGACATGATGTTTTCCTTTTCAATCGAATGTAAACGATAATATTATTGTAATCAAACACACAATTAATTTGTTTATGAGCGCGTAACGATGCATGTATTACACGTATGATATGGAGAAAGACCGTATGCGGTACGCATGAAAACTGTGATAATTAATCGAATGTTATTGTTGTCAGGGAATAATAAAAATCGCAAATGGACGTTTGCGAATAACAATTGTTTGAAGTAAACGACAAATACTAACGACAAGTCGACGACGTTAATTGTTATCGATTGAATTTTAATGTTGATATATTTTTGATAAAATCGAATGGACAGATCACGTAGTACTCCGGAAAGCATTGTTTTTGGATTGGTTTAAGCAAAATTTTAGACGAAGCAATAGCGGCAAAAACTTTCTACGACGGTTTTACATCCATGAGTCAATTATGATAAATGGTCGTTATGAATTACACCGAGAGCTAACCAATAAGATTTTATCCGTCGCATGATTAGATGATTTTCGAACAAACCCAGTGCTCACTGACTTACAAAAAATCGTTATTTTTATATTATCAAACAGCTTTGCCAATACATTACGGTATTATTGCGACAATCACATACAAGTAACCGTCGATTGAAAACTTAAACCGAATAGATTATCCGATTTTCTTAACGTTTCGGTTGCGCAAGTCGATCGCTCGTATAAGGTGAAAAATGATAAGCAAACGGTTCATTACTCGACCACACGAATCGGGTGCGATAAAAAGGAAAAAAATCATTTTTTTTTTGACGCGTTATATCATACAAACGATTTAACTATGGAATTGTTTGCAATATTATTTCATGCGAACCTATTCGTTAGCATATGTTTTGTTAGTTTCCCGTCCAAAGTGCCAATCTCGCGCAAAATACACGGTCGACAGAGACAACGACGTTGGAAATTTGCTATTAGCGCTTCAGAGCGTCGGCCAAATAAAAATAGCTGAGTGCGAATCCATTTCAGTATCATACTACCCGCAATATTGCCGCGTTGCAAATCGCCGCGTTGCTCGAGTTCGACTTCATTCGTATTGTCATAAACGTTATAAACCTGCGATCGGAATCGTTTTTCAAGAGTATTACGATATAAAATCGTACTCCAGATAATCGTGCGAGAAGTCCGTGTGAAATCCGCCAAGGACGGATGAGTTAGAATCGTGAACCCCGGGAGTTTCCATGCGCTGTTGATGAAAAAATAACCAACAACCCGAGTGCGTGCGAGTACTGTAAATAACGATTGCCACTAACCGCGAGAAATCTTGCGGTCCGCGCAACAGGTGTACTCGTATGCCATGCAATACCGTGTAGAATTGCGAAAAAAAGAAAGAAAATAACGAACGTAGACGCAGTGCTGTAATATGTAAATATTCGCAATGATAGTGAAGTAGACTTAAAACTAACTAATTACTGATAGCGTTGTCGACGTGATGCTAAGGCATCGAACCTCCCCAATGCATTCAAACGCGTGTTGAATTTTCACGTTCAGGAGTTTAATAAATCGGTGTTTTGATCCGCAGGGTAGACTATTTAGGTGTACACCGTTGTGCGTTCGGTGAATTCGACGAGCTGCAATGATCGTGCCACTCACCGATGCTCAGCTGAAAGCCATTCGGAACTCCTGTCCAAGGTCCCAGGCCGAGATCGACCAGGACTTGGCCATTGTAAGACATTGGCTGGACAAGCAACCGCATCTGCCCAAACCTAGTGAGTGATTTATCATTCCGTTTCATCGAACGGAACGAATTAACAAAAAAAAAAAAACCGCGTTTTGTTCATAATATTTCCGTTACCGTTTTCGAATCTTTTAAATGTGTTGAATCGTAGTTTAATGTTTCGGAATATTCGGTTGTTCATACCCCGTATGCCGCGTACCATCGACTTATGCTGTATACAGTTGATGCGTCGATCTCGTAAGGTCTGAAGGACCCGGAAATAAGATTAAGAGTCTATGAGTTAGATCTTATGTATATATCTTAATAGTTTCTAACGCAACGCCTCGATACGCGTGCGTATTGTGCTGGATTATAGTTTATTATTCCATAAATTTTATTGTATTTTCAGGTGAAAAGTTTATCAAACAAATTTTGTTCAGCTTGAAATACCGCACGGAAAAGGTAAAACTCGTGATTGATAATTTCTACACCGTCAAAGAAACGTTCCCGCAAATATACGGAGATCTAGATCCGACCACAGACGTTTTCCGAAAACATGTGGAATCGGTGTAAGTATAGAAATGTTGAAAGTCTTAACAACTTTTACGATATAGGTTCCCCACTTACGACATAGATTAATACCATGGCTTATTTAACGTCACGCAACGACTATTCGAGTAATCTTATTTGCATATCATCGGCGTCGCGTTATGACGAGTTAATTGCAATAAGAAAAATTGGTCGCCATAAGCGACGACCCAAATACGTTATAATTGACCTCGGTGTATTTTCGATTTCGAATCTGAGAAAAACAAAGTTAAGCGCAATCAATGAGTTTTTGCAAACTTGACGCGTGATATCTGCAGTACGGCTTTTTCGCAATAGCAAAATATTTTCATTCCGGTTCATCGAACTCACGCGAACGTGTCTTATATTCTAATTAGAGGTCACGGTCATGAACGGGTACACGGAACCCGGATAACCGGACTGGAAATATATTAATAGATTCCTGTATTTACTTACTATTACCGAGTTCATTTAACTCTCCCACTCCAAATTGTAATTTCGAATTATTTTAATTACTTTTTTTTTGAGCCAATCGTATATATGTGTTGTTTGTATTAGAGAATGTTTTTTTGAAAAATAAATTTTAAATATGACAAAAAAGGAATTAATTTCATATTATTTTATTTTTTGTTTATACCGCAAATTTTATAATTAAGTATAACAAAAATTATAAATACAAACAGGTTTTTTTTTTTTTTATAATATATATTTAACACTGTAACATATTCAAAATATTACTTTAAATGTACATCATTGTATATTAATACTAAATAGTTAAACCATAATAATATTTGACAAAATAAAATATATTTTCTTCTATAAAAACAAATAAACTAATTATGTATATGATAGCAGCATATTTGTTCGTAAATGTTATTTAGTTAACGTAGATAATTTTTGTTCGAAAAAATCGAAAAAATTAGAAGCTACTCAAATGTTTACAAAATATTTACTTAGTTACCAAGCATCCGAAAATATGAATTTATACATAAATATTTTTACAACTACATTTATATTCTCTCGATCTACTCGGTTAATATGCAACAAGTAGAAAATCGTATACATAGTTATACAAGTACAGATAATTAATTTAAAAATAAATTGTACTTTATCCAAACAATCATAATTGCTGAGCTTTACACAATATAGCTCGAGATTGAATGCGGTAGTTTTTGTGAAATATAACTGATATTATTTAATATCTTTCATTTGGTGGTAGCAAGTTCTAATTGACCAACAAGTTTTCTAAGTCACTTTAACTCGTAAATCATAAGCTTTTTAACCCAATATCGATTAAAATACAGTAATATCAACTTTGATTAATTACATTTTTTTCTACTTAAAAAACAATTAAATAACTCATTAATCTAAATTATATTATTTATTTAAAAAAAAAAAAAAATATTTGCCAAATAAAAAATGTACTTTACATCTCATTCGTAAGCATAAAAACGAATAGAAAATTTCACATTTCACGTTGTGCTGTCTTAAGAAAGTCAAAGGTTATGTTTAGAAAAATGAATAAAACACGGAAAAAAAATGGGTAAATTCAAATAAATTTAATATTTTGAAGAAAAAAAACCACGTCTGAAATGAACGCAACGTTATTCGTCCAATATAATTGAAAACCATTGTTTACAACCGTAGAATTTAGAGGATTAAATAACTTTAATTAAGTCGGCAAACTCCTTATCTAATGTTACAAATAGGTGTTATGCATAAATAAGTAAAAGTTGTACAACGAACGATTACATGGCCGCAAATCGAAAGATTTAAACGTTTGAAAAGTGGCCTATAGGTTCCATCGAATGTTCATTTGGTGGTTACAAGGTCTGCCGGCCGAATTATATTTATGTATCATTTGAAAATGATTGATCACACCGCACACCGTGTCAGGGAAAATAAATCGATTATTAGCGATTTATAATCGATTATAATATATTATTATATATTATTATATTATATAGCGGAGTTCATATGTTCGTATTTCGTTACGAAAACGTGTCATTATGGTAATAAAACGTTACGTAACTATATTGCAGTAGCGCTGGTTGGCTGTATAAAAAATAAAATAAACTATAATTGCAGGGAGGGCAGGACAGGGGGAAAGGCGATCGTAGCTATTTCAATAACTTTTAGTACGTGAATAATTCATTGCAGATATATGTTCCCGTTGCCTAAACTCACTCCGGACTTGAACCGAGTGCTGTGTTATCGGATGGCGACGACGGACGCGAAAGCGTTCTGTCCCGATAATCAGTTGAAACGCAACGAAATGATGTGGAACTTGTTATTCGACGAGGACGAGTTGACGCTGGGTAACGTATGGATATTCGACTTGACAAACATGGACACGATGGCTCAATGGGCGCATTTCAACATGAACTTTATGAAGAAAGTCCTCAAAATAAGCTTGGTAACAATACATTACGACCGATCGATCGTAAAATAAATAGACGAACGTGCACGAAAAAAAAAATTTTAAATTAAACAATTTTTTTTAAGAAAAAAACCATATTAACCTGGGTTATATACATTTTTACTTATGTGCAATATTTATGTCTTAATAATCAGAACCGCGGACGAAAGATTCCGACACATCGTGGAAAAATCTCGACACTTTTATTTCGTCACAAAATACTTTATAGGCGTTAAGTTAACGGCACACACTTCTTAATTTTCAACTGTACACCGTACACCCGAAGATATTAATGATATTCTTCTTAAAATTACGTAAAATTTTCATATAGGTACAAAGTGTTTCGTTCGTGAGAAACTTTTCTTTTTTAAATAAAAAACCAAAACGATGTCTAAAAACTTGAAGTTAACCGTATCGTTACGCGTGAAGACTATTTTTTTGTCAAGTTATTTGTTACCTTTCAGTGAAACGTGAATCAAACGCGATGCACGATGGTCCCACTTTTTCATTTTTTTTGTTATTATATTCGAGTTCAATCTACGAGATGTTATGGTAATCAGTGGTCCGCATATTGTGCCGAGCTTGCCGGGTGCCACTGGTCACGTATAATATTTTCGATTTAAAGCGATGCTATTGGATTTCAGGACGCGAAACCGGTTAGGATCAAGAAAGTTCATTTCGTAAATATATCACAGATGGCCGAAACCACGCTTAATTTCATCAAAAACTTTTTCCCGCAAAAATTCAGAGACAGGGTGAGTAAACGCGCAATACTATATTATATTGCAGAAGGTATACTATGCACAGCTGTATTTGGTTATGGAAATGTATATACAGGTATTATCTACATACGGGTGTCGCACCTAAAACTGATATTACCCATAGGTTCAACTAGGGGCGGAAAATGGTCTTTAGTAGCCCTGAGTTAAAATTAAACACATCTGGAGTTTTTCTTTAGATCAATTTATAATAGTTACAGTGAAATACCATCAATTTTATTTTCAGCAGTTTCAACATCCACCAATATTTGGGCTTTAGTTGCGCCTATGGATGTACCCATTGCGATGATTGTCTCCTGATATAATAAAAATGATCATATTCTATTTTATATATATGTTATGGGTAAAGTTCGAAAATTGTTAGTTTACACATTACCCGGCTAAAATACACTTTATTCGTATATATAGTATAATGTATACATTATCCAGTGTGCTATGAGATTAATTCGAAAAAAAAAAAATGATGAAGTACCTAAATTATGTATTATTAAGTTATTATTTTATATATAAAAAAATTTTAAAAATGAAATATAGTTATTTATTAGAACAGTTTAGATTCGGGTGACATTTTGAGTTGCAAAATATCACCCCAGATTAAAATTACTCGTACATTTATTTATTAAACGATTATTTTCACATAAACATTTTTTAAATTTTGACCACCGAAAAGAAATTGTGCATTAGCTATTTCACATTAAAATATTTATAAATGTTTCATTATGATTTATTTGTTTTTATTCACGTTTCTTATTTCAGAAAGTATGTTATAATATTTTGATTCTGTTAAATTTATTGAATTTTCATTATTTTCATTAATTAATTTATTAAAACTCTCATAAAATTTCTCTTATTATGAAGACAAGTTTTTTTTAAAAAGAAACTAAATAATCAAACATTAATAAACCGAACAAGTGAACTCGAAAACCAATAGCACCGTTTGTAGCTTATAATTATTATACTATATCAATGTACACGATTTATCATAATGTAGGTACAATTTACATTTTATCCTTTTTTATTAATATTATTTACAATTCATATTTTATCGTATTTTATTTTATAAAAACACTTTGTCCATTTAAAGGTAGATAATGTACAAATTACCCAGTTAATGTACCTTTAAAATAAATGTTTTACAAATATGTTTACTTTATTCAATAGGCCTGGGTAGTGTTCACATTACCCGGGTGATGTGTACCTACATAACACAATTTTCGTACTCTACCCATAATATATTATACTATATATATGCAGGGCTGGGCAAGATTCCTAAAAATAGGTATCTAAATACAAGATACTTCTATATTTTTAAAGATACTAGATACAAGATACATATAGCTGAGATAAATAAAAGATACAAGATACTTTAACTAACATTTATTAATATTAATTTATATGTTTATTAATTTACATTCGGTACAATAAAAAAGAATATAAATATATTTATAAATTACAATGTTTATTTATTAACTATTAAATGTTTAAATTTAAAAAAAAATTATATGTAGTATTATAATAAAAGTTTTTTATATGTTATATCCTATGTTTTAAAATAAATTCCTGGTTATCATTTAAAGAGACTAATTTCGATTAATAATAATAAATAATTTCATTTTTCAATTCACATTTATTATTTCATCAAAATTTAATATTGTATATAATGTTCCATCTAAGGATTTTGGAATATTAACAATTACGTTATTATTTATGTTTTTAGTAATAAATACTTAAAATCGGATGACACTACATAAATACCGCGTAGACAGAAAATATGAACCGATCATCGCATAATCACACATTCTAAAATAAATGTTTAGCGCAATAAAAACATTCTGCCGATAAACTGGATTTATGTAACTAACTGATTACAAAATTTGCTCATAATAAAGATTATATGTAATATAATCTTTATTATGAGCAAATATTGTATACATTATTCACTTATCAAGTGAATGCCTTCGACGTGAAAAACTTTAATTTAAATTATTATTAATTATTATTAGATAACAATAGATTGTATCTAGTATCTTTAATCATAAAAAGATACTAAATACAAGTTAAAAAAGTATTTAAATCCACGATACAAGTTACAAGATACAATTGTATCTCAGATACGTATCTTAAATACTAGTATCTAAGATACTGCCCAGCCCTGTATATACGAGATATAGAAATATATGGTAGACTATAAGTGTTCGTATTTTTAAAATAGAAAAATAGTTTATAGTTTAATACCGTAATCAAGGCCGGATTATGGTGATAATATAATAAAAACTACTCAATTTGGCAATGCCCTTTTATACTTAAAACAATTTAATTTTTTATTCAAATTTAGTAATTTTTATTAAATATTAATTCAAATAAGTATGGCATATTTGTATATAGTAGTATAGTCACAATTAATTGATAATACCGTGTGTTCAATTTTAAAAGTAACAGGAAATATTTCGAACGCAAGACCTTGAATTTAATTCGGGTTTTTTTTACAGGGTACAGGACTTATAAATACATATGTTTTTGATAAATTCTAATTTTTAACTTTTTTTTATCTGCGCATGCGCAGTAAAACAAATTTCTTAAATAGGAACCACCATTTTTGACACTGGATTCAGTTTACTCTTATTTTTTGAGCAACTTTGATCTTTACAGTGTTTTGAAATGTTCAAAATTGACATTTTTAAGACGGTCGAAAGTTTTAAATTAGGTAATTCGTATTTATCGCATATTTCAAAGCATTTTCTAACAAGATGTTCCCGCCCATAATGCAATTATTGTTCGAGAATACCTTAACCAAACTTTTAGCAATAAATGGATGGGTACATATGGTCCAGTACAATAGCTCGCTTTATCACCTGATATAACACCGTTGTATTATTTTTTATGCGGATATTTAAAAACAGTAGCTTATGAAAATCCACTTATTAATGTTGATGATTTGAAAAATAAAATAATCATTGCGTGTATTGAACTCACCGAAGATCAAATAATAGCAGCTACACAAATAGAACTACTTAGACGAATGGAAGCGTATGTTGAAAATAATGACAATAATTTTGAACAGTTTATGGAATAATAAATTATTATTATTATCTTATGATATTTGTTTAAAAATTCAATGTTATAATAATACACCTTGTAGTTTAAAAAAAAACAAATTGTTATAATAATATTTGTAAATGCTTGATTAAGATACGTAAAGCGTTGAAATATGCGATAAATATGAATTACCTAATTTAAAACTTTCGACCGTCTTAAAAATTTCAACTTTGAACATATCAAAAAACTGTTAAGATCAAAAAATAGAGCAAACTAAATCCAGTGTTAAAAATGGTGGTTCCTATTTAAGAAATTTTTATTTTACTGCGCATGCGCAGATAAAAAAAAGTTAAAAATTAGAATTTATCAAAAAAATATGTATTTATAAGTCCTGTACCCTGTAAAAAAATCCCGAATTATATTCAGGGTCTTGCGATTGAAATATTTCCTGTTACCTTTAAAATTGAACACACGGTATAGTACTTTATATTTGTTAGCCAACGATTATAAAACACATTGGGAACCCTTTTAACTTGCAACCCGGAGTTATAACCTCCCTCTTTTTTTCCTTGATCTAGCCTTGACCACAATACTAATATTGTTTTAAAATTATCATAAAAAGAGATAAGATAATATCAAAACAATATACACGTTGAAAGTTAGTGTTTTTAAAATAATAAACTCTATAAAATGGCTTTCTTCAAAACTGTATAACAAAAAGTTATTTTATTTCATTTTTTACCAAACCTTGAAGCTCAACAACAAACTGAATATTTGTAGTTTACATACAAAAAAAATATATATTTTCATTTTTTCAGAAAACATCGCAATGAGTGAAATATCTTCGTAGGGCACCTTGTACTGCGTATACGAATTGAATACTTTACATTTGTTATGTTCTGTTTTATAGATAATATTCAATGCCGTTTCGGAAAATCTGCAAGATTATTACCCAATAGACATGCTGCCCTACGAGTGGGGTGGTAAGGCCGGAACAATGGCAGAACTTAACCGTAAGATACAAATGTGTACTTAAATTAGAAAATTTAGTTACGGTTAATTAGTATACTGGCGCACCCGCACTAGTTAAGCAATCTCGCTAGGTAGTCTAAGTGCTTGGGCGGTTAAGTGGTGAGAATTTATTAAGTTTAGTGAAACATAACAGATCAAAGCGCACAATAACAACGATTCAAAATAGCATTAATTTCCGAATTTTGTAATATTTTCCGATATTATGCGTGGTTTACAAGGAAACTCGTTTAAACTCTTATAGGATCGGTCATAATTACTACTTATTATAATATACATAACTCTTAAGGACTGTACACAGTCACGGATGGTAATGTTTTATCGGATAGATTTTTGTAAGATTGTGTTTTTATTTTGGTTGCGAAAAAGAAAACGAAATTATTACATTCCATTCTTCAGCAGGCAATGTTGCCGACTGCGAACCCGCGTGTGAATTACACTGAAAAAAAAAATGAAATCTTGAAAACTTTTCTCAACCATGGTATTTAAAAAATCGTAAACACCCGTCCGCGTTTAAATCCACAAAATTCGTTTCGAGGTGAAGTCATCGATTAGTAATCGGCAATGCACTTCGAACCATCCGTTGTCCTCGAAACGCCAAGGAATAGTTATTAGTAATAACTATTCCGGGGCGTTAGAGCCAAATAAGAAAAAATATGCACGATAAAATGATAAAATATACACAAAAAAAATGTAAAATATGCAAAAAAAAATATTTATATATTTATTAAAAGCTAATTAGTAAATTCTAAACACCTAAATTTAAAAAAAAATTGTATTATTGAAAACTAAAATATGGTGCATAACCGGTTGGTATTTGAAGATTAATTAAACCAAAAAAATAGTTAAACAAATATATTTTCATTATTAGTGAAATACGAAATAAATATGTGTGTTTTAATGTCTGTTATGTTGTTGCATTTAACCACCAATAGTTTCGTTAAATTCATAGTAGACAATAAAAAATAACAATAAATAACCACGAAAAATAATATTGAGTTTTATATGATGCACGTTTTTCACGTTATTTGCGTTGTGTTATGTAACAATATTTAAAATAAATTGGTTAAGAATGAAAAAAATTAATGTTTTTAGAAAATATTAAATACGCGAAAATCAATGAAAGTCGTCTAAATATGAACTTTTTCTCTAAAATTAACGAAAAATGCAAAATATGCATTATTGATTTTCAATTTTTAAATTCAATATTGTTTAACTCTAGCTTGATTTCTAGCTTGATCTGCTATGAATCGAGAGTATACAAAACAATATGCAACTCATATAACTTCCGAACTCTAGTTATTACGTTAATTCGAAACCGAACGCGTCCGGAGTCCATAACGGGTCCCGGAATTATATATCGATGATCGCGCGCACAATCAGCGTTATGATCGTGATTATTTTACGCGCGGACAAGTAATAATACGGTTTTTTCGGTCCGCAGAACGATTACATGAAGAACTAATAAAGCGTAAAAATTGGTTCGTCGAGATGGAACGGATGAAAGCAAATTCCAGCAAACGGATCGGTCAGTCCAAGACGGTCGACCAGTCGATATTAGGCGTCGAAGGAAATTTCAAAAGACTTAATTTCGATTGAACGGAACTCGCAGCCGTCACCCGCGGTCGTCAGAAGATCAAATTTTCTCAATATTTTTACAAACGTACGGAATACAGTAATTGGTGTAAATCGAAATGTCAACCGCACGTCGTCAGTTACGTCTGGTGCTCCTATGCACACTTGCGATATTTCTGGATGGTTCATAATTGTACAAATTATTTATGTAATTGTTTTTCGTTTTCGGACGAGGCGCGCGCAATCGATTAATTTTAATTTTAATTATTACTACTGCTATTTATTGTATACCTTAAATATTGTTCACCTCATAAAACTATATATATAATACATACTAACAAGATTTATGTATTAAGTATCCCTGGTGATTTGGACGTTTCACCCAGCAACGTCGTCGAGTAGATCGCCGGTTTCATTGGTAAATTGTTTAATCATCGAAAAACGTTGTACGGTTTAATACTACGTTCTTATTGTGTTAATTTAAGTACTGCATTGTTCGCGTGCTTCGTGTACTATTGCTCTATTATTGTATAACTGTAAAATATATTGTAATAAGCGAATAAATTATTATGTTCGACGTTGTTGAATGTTTAATATTTTTTTTTTACATTTTATAACATTTATTCACGAGATACAATGACATTGCCGTATGCTTTAAATCCCGACGGTTTCTTGTATTGTACGGAAATGTGATTTTTTTTTCTCCATTCAAAATGTTTAGTCAATAAACGCATCAACCGTACGATCGTGTATAAAATACGAAAACTGTCACTGTTCTTGGCGTACGAGTGTTGCAATCGAGCGAAAAACCCTAGACGTGTGCATGCTGGTTGCGGTGTCCGTGGTGAGTTGAATAAAACAGTTTTCGCGCGAGCATACATATCTGTACGGAACAACGATTATCGGTCCGCTATTACGGGAAACGGCGAGCGGATGAAACCTGTATTTAAATATGCTTGATTATCGTGGTTACCTGTTGACATTTCCAGTTTGGTCTTTATTACCGAACAGATATGCACGTGTAACCGTATTTTCTTCGTCTTGGAAAACAACTACCGTTATGTCCACAATTTTAATTTTTAAATACCAAATAGTAGTACAGTAGTTTAGTACATACACATAAAAACGGTCAATTAGGGGGTGGCAAGGCTATAGCCCCCTTATTCCCCTCCTCGGCTACGTCACTGCGGTTATACGTCATATCGCACCCGTTTGTGTATCAATGGCCACAAGACGATAACTCTGAACCGGTCCGGTCGAACTGTTCATCGCGCTTATTGTCACACAATCACGTCGTGCGTATGTGACTTTGTTATGAGAAAACCATAAAGAAAACGTTTTATAAAACTCAAAATATAATCTATGAATGAATGATTCTAGAATCTAAATCGTTTTTAGTTTCATACGTACTAAATACATTTTTATTCTAATACAAGTATTTTTATTTAATCACATATATTTTTTCATCATATTTTATTAGCTCATACGTTTTTAATTTTTAATTTACATTTTTTCTGTTTTTATTGGCTTTGGGTACTGAACGTTTTATCATTTGTAACATTTTAAAGTTTATCGTTTAGATACAAAAAAAAAAAAAAGCAAGAAGGAAAATTCATCTGTTATCGAAAAAATAAATACTTGGTATACTTTTGAGTATCACGTTCTCAAAAGAACGTAGAAAAAAGAAAAAAAAAAAGAACGTAACGTTTTAGGTTAGGCTATCCGATTGATACGCCTACAAAAATTGTCACTCTGTAGTGGCTATTATGCATGATGTTTCGATCTTAATTGATACGCAAAACGTTTCAACTTACCTAACAGAATTGGAATACGTTCCTATAATATTATTATTCCGTGTTTTCCTTGACAACTAAAAAAAATAATTTAAAAATAATAATAATAATATTTAATAATTTATCTATAAATCAGATAACCAATCTGATGAATTCAGATGTTTCTCATAAAATACGAATAGTCTGATTACCAGTCAGATGCATTTTTTGTATTAGATTAATCGAATTATCAATGAACTAAATTAGACGGTACATTGGACGATGGAAATTCGTTATCTATATTATGAAGTGTCTTCATCATTTAGTCGTAGCCACCATGAATCTATAAATTAGTTAATAGGTCTATATTCACCAAATTATTTTGATTAAGCTTTCCAGCAATCATTTTATTTTATTATCTCTTTTATATGCTCCCATCCCACTTTTTAAGGAATAAAGTGGTACAGTGATCACACATTTGTCTGAGTTTCAACATCCTCCCCGCCACAAAAAAAAAAAAAAGATTGCAGTAAATTGACCGATTGTTAAACTTTAGGGGAAGAAGAACATGATCTTTTTTTGTGTATCAGTTTTTACGATATTTTTAATCTTAAACGAATTATGCTTTTTTTTACTTAACTCTTTTAATTTATACATTTTACGTACCCACTCATAACTCATTTGTAAAACAATTGATTTTTGCAACGTACAGTAATCGAATAAATCTCGGCTTTTTAATTTTGTTCTCATGACCAATATTTCGTCAAAACCGACACCAAAATACGCACTCCGACATTCGTTTTCGCCACTGTCATCATTACTATAAAACATGGTGGTCCAACCCAGGGCCCTCGATGCCTTTTTTTTGCCCCCCCCCCTACAATTAAATTAATTATTTATTTTATTAATTAAAAATGAAAATCACAAAAATATTTTAACAAAATCGTGATATGATCGTATAAATTGTACATTTTTTATTTATAGTTTATGGCGTTTACGCTATGAAACGTAGAAATACGACGTGAGTTCCCATGATAAGACGCGATGGATGGCGTGAATTCTATTCACAATCGCGAGCATTAATTATTTCTCTAAATTAAACCTATTCAGTAATCAATAACCAGTCGAGCCCATTTATTCGTGCACCATTGCGCATAATATAATATTTTAAAATAAAATATAAATCGACAAAATAAAATTTTTTTCTTTTAACGGCCTCCAGTGTGTTTAAGAAAGTGTAAATTGGCCCGAGAACCACAAAAGGTTGAACCACCCTGCTATAAAATATAATACTGCTGATTCAACATGAATCGCTTGGTAAAATCACTACTGATCAGTGTTCGTCGCGGAAAACTGTTGAAATACAGATATAAACGTAATTTGGCCGTCGAAAACCCGTCGTGTTCGATTTTTTTCGACACGTTGATATGTTTGCCCAGAGGGATACAAATTACTCGTGAAAAATTCTAAGGTAACTTCTTTGCGAATTATAAATAATTGTATTTGTTGCGCTTTCCGTCTTTCACATATATAGTGTACATAAGATACACATGTGTATTGCGGGTTAATGTTGACGTTTTGCCTAGTAAGTCATGATGGACGAACGTAATTGTAAGTATCCGGGCGGATCCATTTTCTTCTAAAAATAAGATACAGTTTTTTTCCACTGTCCTTTTTCCTCAAAAAAAAAAAGATTGGATAACATACTCCTCTATATTATTTTTTTGGAATAAAATGATGTAAATTATCCTGCCAATAATAAAATATTTAACCAGCATTGTTGCAGTGCTGCGTATCGTATTATAAAGTGAAAGTGATAGTCTATGTGTATAACATCATATGCGTAAGCCTAATTATGAATTGTTTCGTTGGAAATCGATTTTGATGAAATTGGTACAAATTTATATTAGAGAAAAGTTTTCTCAGAAAACCATAGACTAGATCAGTGCTTCCCAAAGTTTTTCGACTCACGGCGCCTTTTTTGATTTAAGGTTTTTTCAGGGCGCCCTTCTCTAAGTCATAGCATGACTTATCATAAGGAAAATGTTGGACCCGATAGTATTTCATAACGGCGCGGCGCCCTTATACAGACATCGCGGCGCATACTTTGGGAACCTATGGACTAGATATTGTCGCGAAAAAATGGAAGAGAGTACACCTGATAAGGCCCGAACGTAATTCAGCGAGTGATCATAACTGCTATACCGCGATTCATTTGTAATTTCATTTTATTTGTTTTATTACCAATGGTTACGCCAAACTAGGTTTTATATAGTTCCGCTAAAAACCATGTCCCGGCTAAGACTATCCCGTGCGAAGCCAGGTATTCAGTTGGTACGTGATGAACACGAAACATGGCAATTTAAATTTTCAATCAAAGTTGGAGTTATCTACGAATCATTTGAAACGTGGAATAACGGACACAAAAATCTAGAATTACCCGTACACAAATGAACAACGAATAATTTTTCCGATCAAATAATTAGTCAAATACGTGTTTATTCTACTGGCGTCCAACTCTGACGCGCTGTACAGTTTAAGTCGCGGTTAATGCAGGTTCCCACTTGCACTATCCTCTCGCAATCATCACTGCCATCGTGTTATACATCTGTTACAGTCTAATTGTTTGTTATCATCGCGTTGCGAACGCGTAACCGCACCACCGTTGTTTTCGCGTCCTGTTGCAACGCGCTCGTTCCACTCCGACCACGAGTTTCGTCACCACCGCGAGAAAATGATATAAAATACGGTACAACGCTCGTTCGTACATCTCAACTGTACTCAGGCGGAGTGTGCTCGTTAAGATAACAGATCTCCTCGCAACGAGATCACCAAGTGTGACCAATTATAATTATTGTTTTACGATTATGTTTTCTAATTTTTAGTAGTTTTTTCTTTCCTTGCGGTTTCTCGAGAAACGCTCGCATTTAGCGTTTGGGTGTTTTATTATTCTTATTGTTATTATTTTTTTTTATTTATCTTAAAAAACACCTAATAACGAATTACGCGCGATCGTGTGTTGAATATCGTGGGCTCCGAACGCGAACACCTTACCGCTGATCTCTAAATCATTCAGCAGACTTGGTCGACCGGTAACGATTTTGTTTCGAAAATAATTCACTTTTTTATTCTTCAAAGTTTGATTAGCTAAAATCATTCTCCGATAACTGAGTTTGTTTTCTAGGTTTAACGTTACGAATGAATTAATTACAAAATTAAGAATAAATTATTTCGCCATGAATAAACCTAATAATAATTATTCTTGCACCCCGGATGTTACACTCGTTTCAAGTAACAAACAAATAAAATACACTGTTTCTATTGCAAAGACTCAGATGTCAACCAATTACCAATCGAGTATCAACCGATTCTGCTTTTATTAATTAATATACAACATTGTAATCGATTTCGACTATGATTTCAATATGAATTCACTACGATATTATTAAATCATTATTAGGGAAAAGGTCTGAAATTTTCCTATGGTTAAATGCACAATGTAATCACTTGGTACTTTTCACTAGACGAGTGTGACGTAAAAGCCGAATCGGTTTAATATTCGGTTGATAATGCATCTACATCGTTGTAAGAGATCGAGGGAGGTACATTTTACTCGTTTGTACTAAGCGTGACGTTTTGGAAAAAATGTTCGCATGACCCCCAGTGATCAGACTTAACCGTGTGAAAATGTATTAGATTTTCAATTAATATACCTGATCAGCGACGGGTGTGTAAAATTTAGTATTATTAGTGTGATTATATATGTTAGTCAACTAACGACACGAATTACCCAAAAAACTGTACAAGATCATATT